GTGCTGATAGTACATAACGTTTTCCTAACTGAACTCCACCAACTTCAAACCGTGGGAGGAACACAGACATAAAAATATCTCTCCAAATTCTGACTTTGGCAAATATAGTGTGTTCATGTGAGACCCAAACAAATGACTGATCCTACAAACAGGTATTTTCTGTATAAAAGCCTTTTCTTGGCTCTTCTTTGAGTGTACTGTCTTTAAGAACTGTAATGAGAACTTTTATCCTTATTGTGTCTCTTGTTTATGAATCATCTTTATTGTTTTTAAGGAAACAATAAAAGAATGATTAAATGAAAAAATGTCAACAACAATGGAGCCCCTAAGGGGACATGGTCAAAACAAAACCCATTTCTGGTGAGCCCTCCCTGCTGCTCACCATATGATGTAACAAAATATAATGCTATCCTATAAGAGTTTTCTAGTTGTTTCATCTCAATTTAAACTATACCTTAATGTACAATTAAACTCAAATACAATTCTATTTTTAAAAATAAAATTAAAGAAGGGAGCAGGTTTCCGGGCTTCACGTGTTGTTTGGCAGCAAACAACAAATAAAGATGATACAAACCTGAAATAAATAAAGGTTGTTACAAAACTATTCAGGACATAACATTTTTGATTTATTCCAACCAAGCCCCAAGATATGTCATGCTGTTTTCCCTGGAATGTGTCAGGAAAGTTTCCCAGATTTCCAAGAAAGCATGCAGTTAATTGTATATCTTATAAATGAGGTGTTCATATGAAGCTGTTTCTGCCAGGGTATTCTTGATAGTTTGGAGATTGGTGTTTTAGTGTGGCCCTCAGAGGAGAGAAAATGCCGACTTTTAGCCACTTTGAATATCTTTGATATTTTTGTAATTTCCAAGAGGTGTAAGCTTGGGTTGACAGTTACCAATGTCCCCAGTTCTCTTCCCCATGATATTATGCCAGAAATTGACCAATGAGGGGCGACTAAAAAACATATTCACTATGTTGCCCCGACTGGAGTTGCATTTACTAGTATCGGTCATCAAAAGTGACCCCCAAATCTCTTTCCCACTGTGTTCTCAGCCCTCCAGTGCTTACAATATAACAGGATCCCAATCCCTAATTTTTTTGTCCGTCAAACTGTCTGTGTCATTCATTATTGTGAAGACATTTAATCCAGGGCCCTATACAAAATATTGTTTGACACCTTTTTTGCGAAATTTGGAGTTTGGAATGTGTGACATCTTGAATACACAAAACTCTGTTAAAAATCACCCTGTAATCTAAACATACACCTTTTATTATAAAGTCACACTTAACTCTTTTAAAACTCGTAACTCCGATACAAGCAAGAGCAGAAGCAACATTAGGGCTTCATTTTATTCAGTTAAGTTTGGTGCAACTTCACTGATGCCACTTAATCCTACACAAAAGATCAAAATTAGCTGTTTAATGTTACTGTTTCTACCTTAATTGGAACATGAGATATTAAGGTAGCCACGATAACAATGGATTAACTGGTGCACAGAATGTAGTAGCCTAGTTATTGTTAGTTATCGTAAACAAACCATTAGACACTGTTTTCAGTTTTGAAATGTACAGTAGCCTAAATGGACGTTCCATTTGCAGCATATTACCAGTCTCCATTTACAAGTGTTTCTAGGTGCCGCAGTAAGCATTACCCACTGAAGGAACAACAGTCATAATATTTTACCAATTCAAAGTTTCCGTTCTTTAAATTGGCCAGCATTAAATATGCAATGCTGAGGGGATTTTAGAAATTTCGTCACCTTCAAGTTTTTATTTAAAAACGTATCATCTTTGACAGAAATCAGTGCACAGACTTGGCATAGTCAGCATATAGCAACGGGTAAAAATAAAAAGCTAATTTGCGTGGTTATGGCTTGTCCAAAACATTTCAAGTTGATAGACTGCTTGCTTTGTGTCTGGAAAATAAAAAAACAGGTGGACAAAGCAAGGCTAGTGCAGCAAGTTTTATTTTTTTACAATCCCGATCACCCCATCCATAAAGAGTATGACCGGCTCCCTTCAGGATGCCACTACAGCCCATTCACAGTAGTCTTTAATGTTACACAAAGGCATGAACAATAGTTCAGCGAGAGGGACAGGAAAACACTGATATTGTCCAAAAAAGCCAATGAAAGTATGTGTGATTGTTAAAACATTAAGAAAATTCAGACAGAGAATTGTAAGAAAAATTAAAAAATTAAATCTCTGATCAATATTTTAAGAAGATAATCTGCTAAAAAATCATCCAAATCTCTCCTTTTACACAAGTTTCTTGCAGTTTATCAGTTGTTCTCTAATGTTATTGTTATGCATTGAATATAATATGAAATATCCATTAAATATTTCACTTAGTAAGCCTTTTTTTTGTTTGATTAATCTTCTATAACTACAAAATATATATTTTGAGATATTTAAAGGAATGATTGATCTTAATAAGGGGGGGGAAAATCTAATTTGACCATTTCAAGTCTACAGTTTCAAGGACAAACCAGGTCCAGCCTGTGATAAGCATTTTGATGAAAAGGCTCTTCACTTACATAGAGCAGTAGTCAGTAACCTGAGTCACTACTGCAGCTGATAAGGCCTCAGAAGAGTAAGAGTAAGCCTAGAAGGACATCTAGTGGATCATACACCTTCAGCAAATCCTGTAACACATTCAGTGGTGTACTTTGAAACAACAAAATACAGACAAATAAACTGCATGCATACATGTAAAGTAACTTAAGTAAACACTTAAACTGAAAGAAAACTATTTTATCCCATCCCAGAATCCTATCCCTGTACCACCAGTCCAACATTTTGCACTGTAGACTAGGTTTATGATCTTAAACTAACACATTAATAAAAGCTTAGGTTTTTCCACACTTAATGGACCAGTGTGCAGTGTAAAAAAGTATGAACATGGCTTCGTCTGTAGATAAAAATGGCTCCAAAATTATAATGATTTTTATTTATGATAACATACCTATGAATATTATATTACATTTTTGACAATAGATCCTCCTAAAAAAAACACTGGAACTTTAAATTTAGCTTCCTTCATATAAATGAAAAAATATTTAAATGATTTTGAAGAGTATATCCTGGTTTTGGAAAACTGAAAAAGAAATTTAAATAATTTCCATTCAGGCCTACAACATATTATAACATTCATTAATTTAGCCCATTAATGTCCACAGTAGGATTTATAGCACTTACAGTACTATCTGAGCAAAGTACAAATCCACTGACATATTTTAAATCGGTCAAAGTATGAGGCTACAGTTCAAGTTTGTCTGATGCTTTTTGTTGAACCAGTATTTCCATCCATATAACCCCTAGTCACCCCAACTGGTCGAGACAGACGACCACCCACCTAGAGCTGAAGGATCTGTCCTAGGTTTCTGCCTTTTAACAGGCAGTTTTTCCTTGCCCTTGTCGCCAAGTGCATGCTCGTGGTGGTACTGTTGGGTCTCTGTAAATAATGTTATAAAGAGTTCGGTCTAGACCTACTCTATTTGAAAAGTGTCCTGAGATAACTTCTGTTATGAATTGGCGCTATACAAATAAAATTGAATTGAATTGAATAGTGACTGACGACTAAATTAAGTATGATACAGAAATGGCTGTATCTCAAAAACTATAAGGAGTTATATCAAAGGCTTGGACTCAGTCATACTCTTGGATTCAGAACAGCTTCAATTTTAATAATATGTGCTTTGTTTCCTTGAATACAGCTCTCTGCAGCTAAACAACGTAAATTATTATTTTATTATTTAGCCATATCATGACATTGACAGCATGGCCCTCTAAGCATCTTTATATGCTCTCATCATAACCTTCATATTTTAAATATGAATTTTACGATTCAGCTATTTTTTGTATTGTTTTTAACTGCAAATTCAAATTAATCAAATCAATTGATTTATCACCCAGCTCTACTTGAAAGGAAACAAAGACGGACAGTTCAAGTCAAGACACCTATGAACTCTGGACCAGTCCCAAGACAAAGATTTGTCCCAATCTGTGTTATTTCACAAAAACCTGGAGTTCTGTTAGCCTATGTGACTGTCTGCCTGCATGTATTGCCCTCACAGGCTGTGGAACCACAGGTAGCTTTTATGGGAAAGGGAGGACAACAACTTTTATAAAAGTTGAAAACCCACCTTGTTGATTTGGAAGAAATGTCTATCCATGGGTTATGGGGCTAGAAGAATACCAACAGTGTCATATTATAATTGAAAATAATAAAAATGAAATGGATGAAAAAAGCAAGACCAAATAGACCAGCAGTGTTTTAGGAGTGTTATACTATAAAATACATACTTATGTATATTATTGTTGTGTATTTTGCCATGCAAATTATTGCATCCAGAACATTTATTTATCCTTCAAGTTAAAGTTTATAAAAAACTTTGAATACATTGTCCGATACAATTTATCTCATATTGAAGTGTATTTTGTAGTGTCTTTATTGACCACAGACAAGCCATTTATGACCATTTCATTTTGATGGCACTCATCATACTTAACATAGATCACTGACTATACCTACTGCTATAGTTACATATCACATATTGCTGGATTCAGGACAGACATTTCTGGCAAACTCTGGTTGGTGTGTGTGGGACTGTCCCAGTCAAAGCTGCCTTAAGGTGAATTCATTTGAACATTAATCATAGATTCTAAAATTTCATATTTCTGCCTATTGTACTTCTTTGTTTGTACTGTATTTCCTGAGTGAACCAAGATCTTCACATTTACATGTGTTTTTCAGACACAAGGAACCCCCTGCACACTTCCATACCAAATTTGAAATCAATCAGAGAATTAGAGAAAAAAAAACATTATGAAATGGGGTATGTCACAATATCTGTCCAAACCACTTGAACGTAAAATATTTGTATTTAATAATCTATTTCATATATGGGAAACCTTGGAGAATATACAAAGCATTATTGTGATTTGTTCTACTTCCGGTCGGGGTATCGGGCTCCTCCCCTCTGGCCTAACGGATAGTCGCTATTACCGTGCAGTGAAGTGTAGTTACGCGCACACAAACCATGACACAAACGGGACAGGAGACAGCGTAAATCTCGTCGAAACTCGGCGAAACACAGTAACAGAGGTACGGATTCAATATTTTCATAGAGTTTACCTCAGTTTGTCCTTTATTTACATCCCATAAAGTTAATTAAGTGTTTACGAGAACTCAGTAGTTGGCTGTTAACTCCGTACCGGTTTAAAACTTTGGTCCTACAGTCACTCCTGTATTTCATTGTAGCCTTCGCTTACATTTTCAGCACAATTAAACTTGTTTGTTTGTACTGTGTTGAAATATCTTGCAAATGTGTTTAGCTGTTACAGGCGATGTTTTGTTTTTTAACACAGTCATGTTAGTATTTCCTGGTGGCTGGAAAGGTTGAAAGGAAGGCTCCTCCCGTCCTGCCCGGCCGGCCGGTGGGGATTCTTCTGTTCCCCGTCCCCTTGCCATCGCCTAAGATACTTCTTCTTCTGAAGTTTAACGGCAGCTTGCATCCTTAGTGTTTCATTACCGCCATCTTCTGGAGGTAGTTTGTCAGATTTCTGAACCTTTTGAGCTTCATATTTTATCCTGGATCTCAGGGCTTCTGCAGACCTCCATAATTTTTCCTCTTCGTCTTCATATTTTTATTTGTTTTGGTGGCCTTGCACCCGGAATGTGTCGCAACAACTTTGATTACATGTAACGCATATTCTTCTTACTGCACACACACAGACAGACATTGTGTAGAAAGCCCAAATAGTAGTAAGCTGCTTTGATTTGACTCGCTAACCTCAGAGTAGGTATGGTAGGCGATATTTTTTGTCCCAAGATGGCAAAGTTATGACCTGCTCCATGCCAAAAATAAACACTGGTGTACAGGAAGGGAGAAAGTTGACAGGTCCTGACCATGGCTTTGCTCAAATATTATTGGAGCAGAGAGCAAAAAGGGTTGGGACTTAGAAAGGGGCAGTTGTTACGAGTATCAGTCAACACATTGTGATTCTTGGCTTTTCAGTTTTAGACTGAACCAATGAATTTATCACTCCTGCTATTAAATGTCATCATGCCTGCTTTTGGGTGAAAGCAGTCCCTCTAATTTGAATACTGTATTGCTTTTTATCTATAGGAGTTTTAACCCTTTATCGGGCGAGGAACCATATATGGTAACTTCCTTATTACAGTTTTTATTACACTTCTATTGGGGGGGCTTTGTAGGCCTCAGCCATGTTGGTGTAAACATGGTCCAAGGTCTTGTCTCCTCTGGTGGGGCAGGAGACATGCTGGTGGAATTTGGGGAGAACAGTCTTCAGGCTGGTGTGATTGAAATCACCCCCAACAGTAAAGGCTGCCTCAGGATGTGAAGTTTGGTGTTTGCTAATGGTAGCATGCAGTTCTTTAATGGCAAGTTTAGCATAAGAATCCGGGGGCATATAGGCTGCAGTCACAACAGTAGATGTAAACTCTGGGCAGATGGTCTACACTTCATCATGAGAAACTCTAGCTTAGCAGAGCAGTGACTCCCGATTGTAGTAGTGTCAGTGCAATATGGCTGGATATATATCAGCCATAACATTATGAGTAAACCTAAAATTGATTCTGGTTATCATGGCACCTGTCAGTGAGTGGGGTATAGTAGGCAGCAAGTAAACATTTTGTCCTCAAAGTTGATGTGTTAGAAGCAGGAAGAATATGCAGTGTAAGGATTTGAGCGACCCTGACAAGGGCCAAATTGTGATGGCCAGATGACTGGGTCAGAGCATCTCTAAAACTACTGCTCTTGGGGGGTGTTCTAGAGGTGGGCGATATATATCGTTTGCGATAATATCATCATTGTTGTTTTGACGATGTGCAAATTTCCATTATCGAGTATTTAAATTACTTCGCCAAAAATATTGAAACGCACGCAGAAACTCTTCATATCCACTTAATACACGGTGCAGCAGCGCTCTCTACAGCATGGCAGGATTCAGTCACACGACTAGTGGGCCTACGTGATCACTACATCTACATCTACGGACATGACGTGATCACATGACCTCTCGCTAGCATCCTCCTTGCAACAGTTTAGCAGCGCGTTGTGATGGTAGAGAGAAAATGCAAGCACCTCCAGTCCCTGAAGCTACCGGTACTTCAGATGATTTAGTGCCGAGACGTGGGTCTACCTCTCTGGCATGGAAATGGTTTAGTTTCGAAAATAACTTTTTTAGCGCAGCGCTCAGAGCGCTTCAAGTTGAAATCTGTTCAACTTTTAACACCGCTGGGCGCTCGGAAAATTAGTTGTTTTTTTTTTTAGCTCTCAGCGCTAAAAACGCATTTGGTAGACACAAGCCCTAACTCAGACAATTCCAATCACATTTTAAAGGATATCGACTGATTATTGCCAAAATCCCCAAAAATAATGAGATATTATTTTTTGCCCATATCGCCCACCCCTAGGGTGTTCCCAGTTGAGTAGTAGTTCTAAGACTAGAAAGGCACCATATAAGTACAATTTGTTTACCATTTGATATCTTTTGAGGATTGTTTTCACTTTAACTCAGAATAAAAATAATGTAAACTGTTTTTTTTATTTAATATGGTAGTGATGTCTGCAGACCGCTGTTCCTCTGTCTCCTCCATCTCGTCCATCTCTCTGGTGGATATCAAGACCGAGACACATCTAGTCCTTCAAGCTTTTCTCCATCGGACGCTTTCCATTCCCCAAACAGAGAGGCCAGGCAGAGTTGGAGGCACCTACCGAGATTACAACAAGTACAGGTAATTCACTTCACCACATTGCTAATGTATTGTGTTTGGGCTTGTTTTTTGTGTCACTGTTCTCAAAATTCATATGGAATCTGATCTTTTAAATTCTGATTTGTGCCACTTTTATATGTGGTCCTCTGATTTCCCGTCATTTGGCCAGCCTGAGTACCATTTCGTACAGACCAGACATTAGCCAGAAGCAGCCTTAAATCCAAGCTGGCTCCTAACCAGCTCTCTTCCTCTCCTCCTGAAGCAACAGCGCCCGTCGTGGTGAGCTGGTCTGGTCGGTCTGGCTGGGGGGATGATTTCAAAATCTGCTGCCCTTTAATCCAAATCCCACATTTCCTTTTTCGATGACTGTAGGTTATTTCTGTCATAGGTAATATGTGTTTCAGCAATAAAGCCAAGAAAAGATAAACCAAACACTTCCTCTAGATAGGAGGTGTTCGTGTTTTGGCCACTGTGGTTTCTCCAACATGCTTGCAAGGCTGAGCATGGTTGGAATCTGCAACTTCAGCTCTAGGTGCCACTAAATTCTACACACTGGTCCTTTTAGTCATCAGACTTTCTTTTCCATCAGTATGCATCGTGGATCATCTGAATTGAAAGTGTGCTGTGTTGTGGGATACTTATCCTATACCAGTCCTGCTGTCCAGTATACTCTGATGCTTTCCCTTCCTAGCTCCAAGCCACAAACATATTCAAAGGATGGGTGGGATTCTCAGGTGGAAGATGTCAGTTCAGCGGATGAGAAGAAGACTGGATTCAAGGACTTCATAATGCAGCTGCCTCTTCGTAAAACTACACGTCATCCTGCCAAAGACCCTAAAGGCTCCCTGAACAGGGACAGCAGGACAAGAGTGTCACACCTCAGAGACCAAACAGATGTAAGGAAGTGTTATTGATTTAAGATAAGCAGCAGTTATCCCTGTAGGTTTGAGGTCTATGGGATGATTTTGTTAGGTTGATCCATCTAACTGTCCAACACGTACATCCAGAGCAAGATATTTGTCAGATACTGACCAGGTTTACAGGTTTCCTGGTATAATAATAGTTTTGGTAAAACTCTGCCAGAATCTTTGAAAACAAAACAAATGATAAAGACGAAAATGAAAATCAAGTTTGAGGTCAGAGCCACAATTCACCTGCCGCCTTTTTCTTAACTGTCTGGTAACCATGGTAATTAGAGTTAGGATGTGATTTAGGAAAAAAAGAAACAAGTTCCTCAGTCAATGTTCCTATTCTAACTTAATATTTAAGTAGTTTCCCCCTGGAGTATTATTGATTCTGATATAGGAAAAGTGTTTTACACAAGCACCCTAACTTTGTAACTAACTTAAATAAAGATAGCTTTCATTTTTCCACCATGCAATGTCATCTAACTTCTTTAATCCATTTATTATTATTTCTTTTATTAAGGCGTTATATTTGTGCCTCATTCCTGAGAGAGCAATGGGAGATTTTGAGCACAGAAACATATTTTGCCACATTAATTATATTTTTAAGAGAAATTATAAGCAAGCAAAAAATAATTTTGTTTGAGCAAACAAAAATCTGTTCTGTGCACAATAAATGTATTTGCATGTTTGCTCTGCCTGTACACTCACTCAACTTCTCACTCTGTTACAATGTGCCACAAAATCAACCAATCTGAGAACTGGAAAAGCTCAATTCTGATGGCTGTTTCGGCCACAGTGCCAGACTTGCTAGAGAAGGAGGAGTCAAACTAAAGTTAGTCACACAACAACCGATGTCTTAACATACAAACAACACTACAACACTGCAACACACAATATCAAGTCAGTCAAGACAATTCTGTAATATAGCTAAGTAAGTAAATAATGAAAAAATACTTTGATTAGTTGATTTTGTGGCATGTTGAGTGGGTGTGCAGGCAGTGTGGAGCGCACACAGAGTGGAGAGATTGAAAGAGGTCTGCCAGCACCGAGCAATAGTTAATGAGAGGGCAGATGAGTAAAACTGAGAGGCACTTTAATATGGATAATAGCAAATCTGCAAATACATATATTGAGTACAGAATAGACTTTTGTTTGCTGAACTGTAATTAGTTTTTGCTAGCATATAATTTCTCTTTGAAATATAATTAATGTGCTTGCAGAATTTTTCTGTAATCTCCCATTGCTCGCTCAGGAATGAGGCTACGCTTGATTTTAAAGAAACTTCATAGCCTGCTGGTTTAAATTGCCTGTTGAAGGTATGCTGTAACACATTCCTGGAATACTAATTATTTATTATTACAAGCTCTAATATTCATACAATATTTCTAGACTTATATTTAGAGTGAGGGAGGTTTGGTTCCTTTACCACCACTGCTGGTACACAAGCTTCCTTTAGTGGTATGCCGAGGAATCCCTGGAATATGTTTAATGAAATAAATTAATCTAAAAATATACAATATCAAAATACTGCAAAATTTCAAAGAAAATGAGAATGTCAGAATGTAATTTAAGTTTTGTCTTTCTTGCAATATTTTAGTTTCTATATTATCCCGCTATGTAGATCGTTCATGTACGTAGCAGGTGCATACATCCGTGATTATTTAGCCTAAACTGGTTCCCAAACAGGGCCTCCCGACCCCAACTAAGAGGTTGCGAGGGGTGTAAGAAAACTTAGTAATATATATATATGTATAATATATATACAGTAGGCCTATATCTTACCATTTCATTAATTTCTGTGTCGAAAAATAGACAAAATTGGTATTTTAGATTGTTATTTAAGATATAAACTTTCATATTTGCTCAAAATTTATCCAAATAGCTAATTTTACACAAACTTCCTGCAGTTATTGTGTTTAATATTTGGGTTCATTGTACAGTTTATCAGTTGTTCTCTACTGCATTGAACGTGATATAAAATATGTCACTAAATATGTCAGGGGTGGTCAGTTTTCTCAATGATAGCAAAGGGGTCCCTTAAATAAAAAGGTTGAGAACCACTGGTCTAATATATGTAATATACACCCATCAGCCATAACATTATGACCACCAGGGTGCCCAGGTGGTTATGCAGCCTCAAACACAAAAAACGGTGAACCAGCATTAACTTCTTCAGCAATTTGAGCTATAGTAGCTCGTCTGTTTGATTGGACCACACGGGCCAGTTTTCACTTCCCCCCATGCCTAATATATCCCACCCACTGACCATAACCGATTATCAGCGTTATTCACTTCACCTGTCAGTGGTCATTATCTTGTGGCTGGCTTGGTGTATACTTTCTTATCTGATATTAGTATGATATTAATTTGACTGTCCGTCTACATTACTAGTGAGAGATTAGATTGCCATTTGGTAAATGTGGTGGTAAGGCACTAGTCAAAGCTGATCACTGTCGGCAAAATATTCACAACACACCAAAATCACAATCACTATAGCAGAAGAACCTGTTCCCACAGGACGATGTCATATCCCCCTCCTCTACATCAGAAGAAGATGAAAGTGAGAAGAAGCAGCAGAGGAAGCTGAACCAAAAGAGGATTAGGAGAAAGATCTCCAAGTTCTTCAAGTTGAAGTTAGAAAAAGAGAAGGACAAAGAAGGGCATGAATCCTATCCTCAGAGGCCTAACACACTGCAAATTGACAAAGAAATAGAACCATTGCCAGCCATCGTCTCTCCAAGTAAGCTCTTCCATTATACTATGGAACTGACATTTACATTTATTTACTGCTAAGAAAGTAAAAATGAAAATGTGGAATTTTTCATTGCTTTAAATGCACTTTAATACTGTGTGCCTGCAAACCAGCCTGTTAATCAATGTCTCTTAGAAAGCTACAGTGTTACTGATTGCACCTGGTTGTAACCTGCATTTGTGTGTATATTGATGTGACTACAGTAAAGAGTGGCATAAAGCTGAGGCACAATGAAAGTTTTCATCTAAGATACATGTTGTGGTTCATTTTGATGTAGATCACCCTCCTGAGTTCTATAATGAAGTAGCAGAGAAACTTGAAAAGATTGCCCAAAGGTCCACCAGTATAAAGAAACACATACCCACAGCCCAGCCTTCACCAGGTAACACACACACACACACACACACACAAACACACACACACACACACACACACACACACACACACACACACATTTAAATTCAGTTGAAGAATGTAATGTAAATGTAATAGTTAGGATGAATAATAATAATAATAGAGAAGTGAAGTTGGTTCAGGACTCACCTGATCCAGCCCTAACTATAAGCTTTATCAAAGAGAAACGTCTTAAGCTTACTCTTAAATGTGGAGTTAAATCTGTCTCCTGAACCGAAACTGGAAGCTGGTTCGACAGGAGAGGAGCTTGGTAACTGAAGGCTCTGGCTCCTGTTCTACTTTTAGAGACTATAGGAACCACAAGTAGCCCTGCACTCAGAGAGTGCAGAGTTATGGTGGGGTAATAGGGTAGTTTAAGATATGAAGGTGCCTGACCATGAAGAGCTTTGTAGGTGAGGAGGAGGATTTCAAATTCTATTCTGAATTATAAGACTTAAACCAGCTTAGTGCAGTTCCTTTAATGCCATGCTGTCTCTTCAACAAAATTGCTGCTCATGTGGAAAAGGCATTACTCCACAGCATACTTCCATAGGAAGAAGCTAAACTAAATGACTACTGAGACCAGAATACAGTCATGGTTCTATAACCTGAACTGGACTATCTTGTTTGTATTTCATATTCTCACTGGTACCTGTAGCCACAAGCTGACACCAATGAGCTGACTTTTTAACACAGCTATTTTCAATCTAGCCCAAAAAGTAAAGTATACACACAAACTAAGAGCTGTAGGACCCACTTTCATTAACTGGAAAGTTGTCACTTCTTTCTTTTAGCAGTGTCTGAGAAAGAGGCAGTGGTGCGGCAGCTTGTTCAGGTGCTCTCTTCAGAGGGAGATTCTATCAACACTAAGGTAGGTAGTGGTTCACCATAAGTTGTGTAAAGCTACATCTGTCTATCTGGCCTCAGTACCTGACTTCCTGTTGTTATAATGACCTCTGTGTATCCTGTTTTTGCTTTGTCTTTCAAAGCACTTTGTAAACTCTGTTTTTAAAGTTGCTATTTAAATTAAATCATTGTTATTATTATTATTATTATTATTATTATTTTTATCTGCACACGTGTGTAACCCTCCACTATATAGCTAAATGTATCTTTTTATAGATCCAGTCGGACCAATTCCTGCGCTCCAGCTTGGCTCGTCTCTCCTATGCATCATTTGCCAAGCTTCTGGACACTTACGGCAGCAATCAGGTATCTGAGGCCCCGTCCCTGCCGCCAGCAGCTAGTCCAACACTACGACGCCTGGCTGTCACCATGGAGGTATCACGGCGGATAGTGACAGCCACAGGAGCCCAGCGCATGCAAGGCTATGCAGAGTGCTATATGGAGACCTTTGCCCCCTGGGTCAAGAACCACGGAGGATGGGCGAGTGATTTAATAAAAACCTATTTTTAACTTCCATTATTACAATTAAGACAGCTCTTATATAGAAGCAGGTATTCAAATAATGACCCAGTGTTAAAGAATTGCCTGACCTGCATCAATGAATACGGGCTGAGAGGGGCATACGTGCACCATCACATCTTTAGTTATCAGAGAAACAAGCTAAGCTAACGTTAGCAGCATCTCAGCTTGCCATATCAGGCTTTTTTAGAGGGACTGGTGTGGGTGGGATTAAGGGAATGATATGATGTGGTTTGGGCTTTTCTGTGATAATGCTTTCTGTCTATTTCTGTTTGAAAAAATGTATGAAAAAAATTTAATTACGATCAAAAAAGATAATTTATTTCATCTTCAGGAGAATGTGATTGATTTGGAGGAGCCTGCAGAGTACGACTGAGCTCCCAGAGTTCAAAATGAAGAGAGACGGATGGACCTCACTTTGCTTACCTACAGAGTTGTTGGGATCCAAGGATACCTTTAAATATGAACTTGTTCATTTGAAGTGTTAAACTGGACCAAAAGGGAAAGGTTGGAATATGGCCACATGTGTTTTACACAAAGAAGATGTTCTTTCCTACAGCAGCCTGTATGTAAGTCATAAAACCTTTCTAGTAGTGGCTACAGACAAAGGAAACAGCCCGCCAGATAACAGACCTCACAGTGGGGGTCCAGGAATGCGGGCAAGGTGTGGTTTAAAGGCCATAAACACCGGGCCGTCATTGGTCAGAGATCCTCGGAAACCAGACCCGTCATCACGGCTACTTAAGCCAGAGAGACGCTCTTCTCTTCTCCCTTATCGTTCACACACCCACACACCGGGTGATGATGACGTTTTGGACCTCGGCACGGCCCGACCCGCCGCCAACGCACAACAAAGGATTACAGTACGGCATGAGAGCCTGCTTCTTCCTGCGATCCCTGGCAAGCGCACCGCTAACGGGAGTCAACATCTGCAGCTTAAACAGAAAGTCTGTCAGCTGACTTTACCGGAGCAACGCGACATTAACGCCAAGTCGTTAACTATGCAGAGCAACGAGCGAAACGCCTTTCCTCTTGCTACCTGCACCAGTGGACATCACACAGCAGAGACAGTTTTGGACTTCAGAACCGTAATTTTGACCCACGCAGCTCACCCGCAACTCTTCTTCATCTTCCTTTGGACCGTTGGTAACGTACTGGGCATAGACAGATAACAGAGTTAACGACTAAACAAAGACTGTTTAATTACTGTTAATGTTGCTGATGTGTTTTATTCAGCTTACTGTTGTATTGTGATGTTGATTTGATTAACGCAGGTTACTGTAGTAACTGTAGTCTTTCAGACAGTGCTAAGGTGATGTTAGTGTTATGCTTGACACAGACATCATCTTTGCATGCAACTGACTCCCTTCTAAAGGCACGTTAATCTAAGATCACACACATACATATATCTTATCTTATCTTATCTTAACCCTTATCACACACACGAGGGTAGGGATTCAAACCCTCGCGCTCCTCTATGATCTTTGTCTCTCACTAACACGTGTTTCACACCCTGAAACATCTGGTCAGAGGACAAAGGACATAAACCTTTTATGGCGTGCAAACCCCATGCACGCACACACAGACACACAGACACACACACACACACACACACACTTACACTCCTTTTTCCTCTAGCTTAGTTCCTTTAAGTTAGATTGTATATTGTGTAGTTTCCTCTGTTTGCTTTTATTATATCTGGTTAATAAATGTTTGTGTTTACATAGCTGGCCTATTTAATTTCATATAAGACTGAGTGATACCAACCTCTTCTATGTAGAACTCCAAATCTCCCACTTTAGCTACTAATAATGATTTTGGTTGTAATTATTAATTTAATTATTAATCTGACTTCTGAATTAATAGTTTAATGTAATTTTTATGAGACTGATCAATCGATTATTGGTTATCGTTCCCTTATTTAAGGGTGGAGGAACTTTAATATTAATTAAAGTCATTTTCTATTATCTTTTGATAATTATAATTTTTGATAACCATTAATTGATTAAACTAATACAGTTAGACCACTCTAACATCCTACGACGTGGAGCCCGACAGAGTATTATCTGGACTGTGACAATACTCCAGAATCCTCTTTTGAGGATGTAGACAGTCATGTTCCTCTATTATATACATGGAGGTCACTTGCTGAGTCGCTCACAGACGTTCGAAACCGCCTCCATGCACCTGGGACCATATTCAATTCAATTCAAATTTATTTGTATAGCGCCAATTCATAACAGAAGTTATCTCAGGTCACTTTTCAAATAGAGCAGGTCTAGACCGAACTCCTTATAACATTATTATAGAGACCCAACAATTCCCACCATGAGCAAGCACTTAGCGACGGGGGCAAGGAAAAGCTTCCTTTTAAAAGGCAGAAACCTAGGACAGACCAGTTGGGGAGAGAGAGAGAGAGAGAGAGAGAGAGAGATATGAGTGCCATGTTTATTTTTATAGTGTTTTATAGTGTTTTTGTTTATATGTTTTCTATTGTTACTTGAAGTCAAAGAATGTGAACAAATGTGTATTTTGTATTGTTTATAAGAAAATAATGATTGTGCTTTTATGCCATATTACGTTTTATATGTATTTTTTATATTTGAATAAAGTTAGCACAAAGGGGTATGCCAAAATCAAATATAAATGAATTACTTAATAAAAACATGTAATAAATACATTTAAAAAATACAACTTTAATTAAATACAGAAGCAAATCAATACAGAAATATCAATTTATGTCACATTTTTACCAATTTTTCACCCTTTCCTATTTTTTTTTTTATTTATTGAGTCATTTATTTTTGTCCTTTAATTTTTTTATTTTACTTATGACAGACGGGATGTGATAATCATTTTGACTTCCTTTGTTTCACTGAATACAACTGACAAAGGATTTGCTAGATTTTGACTAGGGGACTACGGCTATTTAAATATATTGTTTTTATTATACTTTTATTTACAGTTTCCCTTCGACATTGGAGAAAGAAAAGCAGGCATTAACTCAGCAAAGCAGTATCTATTTATTTAGAATACATTGGACTGGAATGAAAAATGAGATGAATAGAAATTAGGAACATTAATAACAATGCTTGAGGTCAAATAAATAATAAATAAATCAAAGACATGCCTGATCTCAAGAATTTCTTGTTGCCTTGTTGACCTGCACTAATTACCTATGCATCCAGTGTCACAAAACAATTGACAGGCCAGATTTCTGTTTGTTCTATTGAACAACCCTTTCCATGCTCAACCGTGGTCCTTTAATCTATTTTGAATGAAGGAAAAATGATCTGTAGTAAATTGCCCTGAACTGCCAAACCTAAATGCAACAAACATTCCCAAACAGTCTGGGAATGTTTACTGTATTATGAAGTACAGCTGAGGTGCATTTCCAGACTTTTTTGACTGGGGTAGCACAAGAGTTAGACTTCCGGCGCTGCAGAGTGGCAGCTCCCGCTCCTGCTCTATTTTCGCCTTTAATCTTACTTTCTTCTTTATTCCTTCTAAATAGCACTGAATTTATTGTTATTAATAGACCGACAGTGTTGGTTGTTTATTTTTTATTTTCTTTAGCTGTAGTTCAACTTTAGTTTTTACATATAAACAATGTGTAGGAGTGTGGACACACGTGAGTCCAATATCGGGATTTACGTGTCCCATGTCCGAAGGATTTCCCGGTGGAGTTAAGGAGACGAAGGCGAGGAACCAGAGCAGGCACGTTGGTGAGGAACAAGAGGAAGGTGGAGGCCTTCATCATAATCACAGAGGACTTCAACCATGTTTCTCTCTCATCTACACTCCCAACCCTCCACCATGGACCTGCTGTATGCAAATGTTCCTGTTTTAAAAGTTCCTTCCTTCCAAGTGCAACAAGACTTTTTAATAATAATTTACCCTTAACTCAGCTGCTATGACATTATAATTTCTCTTTGGGGATAAATAAAGTATTTTCTATTCTGTTCTATTTTATACAAGCCATGTCTTCCCTCGGTTGTCATTTGTACGCTGACAAGATGGACGAGCTCTCGGCCCTGGTTAGCAGACAACGCGAGTATCGGGAGTGCAGCATGTTATGTCTGACTGAGACATGGCTGAATGGTAATACAACAGACTGCTCAGTGGAACTAGATTGCTTTTCACTAGTTCGGGCAGACAGGAAGAAAAATAGCAGTAAGAAGTCAGGAGGAGGGCTTTCTGTCTTTGTTAACTGTTAATGTTGTAACCCATGACCTGTTGTCACGAAGGCAGAAATCTGCACACCTGATATTAAACTGCTGGCCATCGCCATACTATCTTCCCCGTGAGTATTTGGCCGCCATTGTTGTCATGGTTTACATCTCTCCATCGGCAGTAGTGACGTCATCCACACCACCGTCGCGGACCTGCAGACACGTCATCCCAGCGCATTTATTACAATAAATGGATATTTTAACCATGCCAAAATCTCAAGGATCCTGACCAACTTTACCCAGTACGTGACCTGTAACACCAGAGGGGAAAATACCTTGGATCTTCTGTATGCCAATGAAAAGGAGGCATACAAACTAAAACTTAAATAGGACAAAACACAGATAGCGATAAAGAAAAATCAGTTCAAACAGTTAAGCGGGGAGTTTTGTGATCACGGTTCCAAATTGTTCAGCAGGGGTTGTAGCCGATTCCGTGGTCTGTCCCGGGACCATGGTCTCTGGCACGGACCAGTGGGTACTGCCACTAGGGGCGCTAGAGACACTGGTCCTGACCAGCTCCTCAGTGATCTGTTCTGTTGTTTGGACCAGTTGAGTGATCTGTGGAGTGTTTGTTTCTATTTATTTTTAATACAACTTTTCCCGTTTCTCACTGTGTTAGCAGCAAATTAGCAACAACACATTTATCTCCTCCAGTGACAGGCATGAGACAAGAGGAAAGAAAGAAAAAATAAATTAACAAAAATAATGCTGTACGCATGTCTCATACATATATATTTGTCTAGCTGTATGTTTACAGATAGACAGAATTAATAATTTGTCAAGCTGTAAACAGCTGTAGCCCTGTTTTTTAATCAAGACCTCTTTCCTCATGCCTGTCACTGGAGGAGCTATATGTGTTATTGCTAATTTGACAGTGTCGATGTCTAATTGTGCAGCTAACATAACTAACTAACTTCACTTTATACTTTTTTGTCCTAATAATGTTGCAACATGATTCCGTGATCAGGTTAATATTGTAGTGATGGAAGTTTCTGTAAGCGTCTATAAGTGCTGCGAATGGGTTTACATTAGAGTCAATAGAAAGCCTGGTGCGTCTCATACAGCCGCATATGGTACCCATCAGCCAAAAGGAAAGAGACTGACGAGTTGGGAATGAGGTATGCTTTTTTCTGTGAAGCAACAAATTGTAGCCCTGTGCCCAAATTTCCCCTCGGGGACAATAAAGTTATTTCTGTTCTATCCTATTATGATTTATATTAATAGTAATGATCAATAATATTTGACAGACAAAAGATAATGATTTTTATTTATTTATTTTACAAGGACCACAAGACAGACCAGTGTCTTTAGTGCCCCTAGTGGTAGTGACCACTTGTTCGTGGCATAGGGGGAGCTGGTCGCGAGGAGCTGGTCAGGACTGTGCGGCAGGTCACGAACACACCGACCTGCATAATTGATAGTACTACTCATACAACTATGACTAATAATAATAATTGAATCATTGTTATTGTTACAATAGGAACTATTGTTAGGAACCATTGTTTAGTCCTATGTGCCACACGGACATGTTTTGAAGTGACACCACAGTGAGTCACCGGACCGAGCTGAATGTACCTTACACGCCAAAGTTTAATAAAGTTTGTAACCAAGTTGGGTGAAACAGTACGAAGAGTGTACCCTTTTTTTTGATGAAATAACAGACTTTAACAGTTATTATGATTTCTATTAATAATAGTGATCAATTCATTGGATAGACAAACGATTATGGCTTCTCACATTTAGGCGATTCTGTTAACACAGTGAGAAAAGGGAAAAGTTGTATTAAAAATAAATACAAACAAACACTCCACAGATCACTCAACTGGTCCAAACAACAGAACAGATCACAGAGGAGGTGGTCAGGACCAGTCATTTTAGTGCCCTTTATGCCAGTAAGAAGCTGGTCATGACCACTGTGCCACTGGCCTTTAGCGCCCTTAGTGGTAGTGACCACAATAATAATCATAGTAATTCTGATATAGAGTATTTTATAGACAAAAGATTATGATCTCTGACATTTATTCAGCTAATAGCGCTGCCAAAACAACCAGAAAAGGGAGAAAATACTAAAGCTGCTTCACAGACCACAGGGACCACAGGGCAGATCACTGAGGAGCTGGTCAGGACCAGTATCTTTAGCGTCACTAGTGGTTGTGACCACTGGTCCGTGCCAGATACCAGCTGGTCCGTTCCATAGAGCAACTGGTCACGACCAGTGTCTCTAGCGCCCCTGGTGGCAGTAACCACTGGTCCGTGCCAGAAACCATGGTCCCTGGACAGACCAGGGAATCGCCTACAACCCCCTCTCAAATTTTTTCAGGTTGGAAGTATCGATTTTTTTAGTGTGCGTTCAAGATTATTATCAGGTATACACTGTACTCCTTATAAAATTATTTACAGACTCAACAATTCCCACCATTAGCAAACATGTGGTGACAGTGGCAAGGAACAAGTTCTTTTTAACAGGTAGAAACCTTAAGCAGACCCAATTATCTACGAAGCTCACATTGTTTACTGGGCACCCTGACAGTCAGCAGTTGAATGATAACATGTCTAAACATGTCATCACTGGTCAGATAAACAAATACCACTGACAACCAAAGTAAACACAGCATGTCATGTTCCTGATGTAGTTCCTGATGTAAATGCTGTCATAAAGAAAGAAGCAGAAAGAAGGACCCTGGACAAACTGCTGTCCATACTGGACAACACCCACCACCCTCTGCACAACACCTTCACTAGGCAGAGGAGTGTGTTCAGTTGCAGACTGCTGTCCCAATCCAGCTCCACCAACAGACTTAAAAACTCTTTTGTCCCCCTGGCCATCAGACTGTACAACAGCTCTTAGTCAAGGCAGGGAGGACAACAGACAATGGACAATTTCCTCCTCCATTTGCACTGTTTTAATTGAAAGGTAATTTCAATTTTAATGTATGTCTAATGGTATGTATATTCTAGCGTATGCTGCTACTGGATGTTTGAATTTCCCTCAGGATACATAAAGCTATCTATCTATCTATCTATCTATCTATCTATCTATTATAATTGATTGCAACAAAGGAACATGTCAGCCAAAGCAGCAGTATGGCTTTTTATTTTTAGCAGTTTTCATCACAGGTTGCACAGAGAAAAAGGCTTTATCAGGCTGTGGCTATAATTCTTGTATAGTAAGATTTGTCTTTTTGATTGGTTGCCAAACTCAAGAAGATGGGTTGGAGAGAAGAGAAGATGAATGGCATGGTGCTGATAGAGAGGGACTCTTGTCGAGACTGGGGTGGACAATGAACCATAGCAGCTGCTACATCTCAAAGTGTTAGCAGTTATTCAGTCCCTTAGACTTAATTACAAATTGTTTTACCAGTACTACCTGTGTTATGACAGTAATAAAAGAAACCTAGCGGTATCCTTTCAGATGAAACAGGAGGCAGAGTGCTATTTGCTTCCACATATTTTAATGTTTCCCATAAAATTAGGCAGGGAGGGACAATTTACTACTTGCATTATCGCCTTCAATTGGCAAAATCTCGTTTCCTTATTTGGACAATTTATTGACTCTGAATACACCCTCTGGTTTATATCAGATATACAATAAATACAGGGAACATTAGTGTGAGTCAAGGATTCTTCATTCAGTCTTTAATATGATACTAATGCCATTTGAGTACATACTCCACTAAAAAAAGATAAAGTTGGATAAATTTATAAATCCTATGAAAATAATGAAAACAAAGAATGATGGATGATCAGTTACTATTGGAATATTTTCAAAAAATCACAGTGATGATTAGATAGCATAGATTAAAGTAAGAGCACTGTGAAGTCACTGAATCAGACATGTTCAATGAGTTATTAACAAAGTGAACCAAGTGCCAAATATTTATTCATCATTTCTGTTTTTTTTTTTTTTTTTTTTTTACAGCTGGTGTACTTGTCAAAAGCATTTCCCATCATTATAGTGCTTGACCTAACACACAAACTGAACCAGCAGGTTATAAAGTTAAGTGTCCTCTCTTCTATTCTTAACATTCTGGATGGATAGTAAAATCCAAATAATAAAATTATGAATTTTTTCCTATTTGTAGAACAAAATCCAAAATAAGCTACTCTAGAAACGAAATACAAAATAAGGAGAGAGATTTATGTGCCCTTTTTTCTTGGATTTTAAGACACTATTGGATCCAGTGTTTCCTCTCGGGTTACAATGCATTAAGGTAATTAACTTGTTTTGTCTGGATGCTGATGGATTCTAGTGGTAAAACGATACCTGACTAATACGATATTAAACTGTGATCAGGCTCATGATATTACATTTATATAGCTGTTACAGTTACAAATGGCTTTGTCCATACATCAGTGTCGATTGTGCCCGCTGAAACTTTCAGATAGTGTAACCCAGTGCCTCAGGGCATTTCAAAGGCACCAATTTTAGGTCTTAACCCAAGTAAGCACTGGACCCCCATCTGTGGATTGATTTGGAGCAATAAGCCTTCCTATTTCAGGCTATGTGAACAGCTGGTCTGTGGTCAGTCCAAGTGCTTCTCAGCGCACAGAATTTGACAGTACATCAGCATGGAGAACACCAGGGCCAAGATCTGACAAGAGAAGAGGATAGGTCAAATATAATTATAACCTGCCAGAGAATTACTTAGAATTTGATCCTGTGTGAAACAGTAATTTCTTCACAGAATCTTTAAGACAAGATCAGAGAGGTTAGGTTAAGTTAAGTTAAGTTAAGTTAAGTTAAGATAAGATAAAACAAGATAAAACAAGATAAGGTGTTCCTGGCTATATTGTACTGTATAAGTTATTGTATAAGTTGGCACAGCAGCACAAGGGAATGTAGTGCAAAGAGTAGGAAAATATAATAAACTATAGAATAAGGTTAGAATAAAATCTAACAAAATACAAATAGAATAAATACACTATATACTGAAGAACAGAATATTATAAGCCTGTGTCTATATGTACATATGCAAAAGTATTATGTATATACATACAATATTGGTGTTTTTTACATATTACAAGTAATGTGTAAAATGTATTTTAATTTATATAATCTAGCAAATAATAAATTATGATTAGATAGGCTTTCCATAATTGCAATAAGTAGATAATAATATGATAATAATTCCCCTATTATTACCAACACAGATGTCACACAAGGGAATGTTATCTAGGGCAGTGGTTTTCAAACTGGGGTCAAAGAGTAAGTTCTAGGAAAAGGAGGAATAGAATAAAATGATATTAAATGTAGCGAAGCCTGTGAGCTAATTCAGGCGGTCAACTCGAGCTGCGCTGCTATACACACATGACATGCCTCACTCCATAATCACGAACCAAACACACCATTCCAATCTGGCGGTCTATTTAAACTGCACAATTTCCCAGCTCTCCCTCTGCTCTGTCAATGCCGCTGTTGCCCTGCACCTGTATTGCTGCCTGCTACTCTGTAAGCTATTGCTGCCTGCTGCGCTGTAAGCCCCACCACCACCCCAGCATCCACCTGTAGGCTCCGGCAAGGGTTTAAGGTATTTGCTCATCACGCCCCAATATCTCTAGGTAAACATATCTGTGGGGAACGATGAGGTCGGAGCCTAGACACTGAAATCTAAATATGCTTTACTGCTGTAATAAACATTTCCAACGTGAGCTGTCTGATTTATTGACTATTTATAATCTTAAAACCTAAAACTATATAAATTACATAGAGGGGATTATTATAGAGGGAATATTATATTAGATTTCTGTAAATGGATCCTCATAAATGTTACACACTGGACCTTAAAAGGTGTGACATTGCATTAAATACACTATTTCCTTATTATATTATATGCATTAAATTAATGTTTATGCACTTTTATGCGAGGATTTTATTAATCGAATTAACTTAACGAACAGAAATAAAAGCTTTCCATACATAGCGAACAAGGGCTCTAACTCGTTAGTACACACCACCCTTGTCAAACAAAGGGACTTAAAATTAAATAAATATATAAAGCTTTCTTTTCCATAATGAGCAGGGTTTGAGGCTGTATGAGCCTAAACTGATTAAATAAATGATAAATGAATATTAGAGATAACTACCTGCACAACACCAATACACACTCCAAACCCCAGGACTGAGGGGATGTTATCCAGCAGCCACTGCCTGGCCTTCTGATAGCACGGCTGCAGAGGACAAACACAGAGAGAGTGAGGGACAAGGACAGTTACATTGAGTAAAAATTGATTATTAGAAGAACTACAATTTAAAACACATTTTAAATAATAATTTTAAAAAAGATGTACTACCATGCACATGCATTCATTATAACTCATTATAACTCTTCCCACAACATCACTCTGGTCTGATCTTATTTTCTCTTGTCTTTATTTGCATATTTAATGATGAGGTAAAGTAACGGGAAGTAATCAATTTACTTTAATTGTGATATTTGACAAAACTTTAACAGGTAATTAGTATAATGAGGGATTATTATCAACATTTCAGGTGCACTCCCTTTCAGTTTGACCTCCAAATAAATTGTTTAGATAACATGAATAAACTGCTTGTTTCCAACCTATCTGACTGCTTGTTTCTTTCCCAATCTTCTTTGTAGTAATGTTACAGCGTTTTAAGATCTCTGCAGTGAGTTTATGAGAACAATTTCATTAACATGAATAAAAACCAAACTTACAGTTAGTGTTGCAGTAATATTCAGCAGCCTTCAGAAAGAAATGCTCTTTGCAGAATATCTCCGCTGTTATTACTAAATAGTAAATGGACTTAGCGCCTTCTAGTTTTCACCTACACACATTCATACACTGATGGCAGAGGCTGCCATGCAAGGCACCTCCTTATTAGAAACTAATTAATCCCATTCACACACCAATATCTTTCTTAACGACATACAGACTGGAGGGACAGATAACTGTACTCAAGATAAAATAACAGAAAGGAGGTTAGAGCTGCACCCAATGTCTACCATCTTGGAAGATGACTTGGAAGATACTTTACCTTTAACTTAAATAAAAAACTTTTTTTACTTCAGTATCATCGGTAACACCTTTGTTTACCCTAGTATTGCATGTCAAAATGACTGCTTTGATGAAGGTCCATTGTAAATCCCCAGTTGCAATTAGGGAGGAGAGGGGAGAGATGGTGGACACCTACAAGTTCCTGGGGGTGACACTTAACAATAAACTGGACTGGACGGACCACACTGAGACCCTCTGCAGGAAAGGACAGAGCAGGATTTTCTTTCTGAGGAGGCTCAGGTCCTTCAACGTGTTCACTCGGGTACTACGGATGTTCTACCAGTCTGTAGTGGCCAGTGTCCTCTTCTTTGCGGTGGTCTGTTGGGGGGGAGGCATCGGAACTAGTGGTGCCAACAAGCTGAGCAAGCTAGTGAGGAAGGCCAGCTCAATGGTGGGAATGGAGCTGGACAGTGTGGAGGCTGTGACTGAGAAGAGGGTGAAAGGGAAGCTGAAGGCCATTATGGACAACCCCTCTCATCCTCTCTACACTGACCTCAGGCTGCTCAGGAGCACTTTCAGCCAGACTGCCCCAGCGTCAAAGCAGTTTGGAGGCTCGTTTGTTCCATCTGCTATCAGACTCCACAACGCCACAGTACCCAGTACCTCCAGTACCTCCAACCCCCGCAGACTAAGACTGGTTTAAACTCCAACCTACAACGCACAAACTTTTTGCACTATTTATATTTAATTTCCACATGTACAGTTTAGTTTTAGTCAAGTTTAATTTTCTGCTCATATATTTGCACACCATTTCTACTTGAACAATGCATAGTGTATATACTTTCATTTATAGTCTTATATTTTCTATTATATTTTGTAATATTTTATTTTGTAATATTTTCTTCTTATTCTCTCTTTTACACTACTTTGCCATATTTCTGCTGTGTCAATCTGAATTTCTGCTAAGTGGGATCAATAAAGGAATAACTTATCTTATTCCCTTTGAACCCACTGGTAACTGCAAAATTATCATTAATTATTCACAAATACTGAATGCAGTTAGTAGTTATTCTATGACTTGAATTCATAATGTGTGAAGGCATTCAGATACACTCATGGATTTGAAGCAAATCCAGTTTTCATTTAAGAAAATAGCTGTAATAGCTGTACAGCAAACCAACCTCACTCCATCCGTCAACACACTGGTCTGTCCCAACGGAGCAGCAGGATGAGGGCAGTGTTCCATTCAGCACATCATACCAGTCTGTTTTGTTAGTTACTCCACAGCATTTGAACTGGCAGAAGAGACAGTAAGATATAAAGAGTATTAACACTTTTAATGAATATAAAAGGTCTACACACCCCTGTTAAAATGCCAGATTTTATGATGTAAAAAAGACAAAGATAAATCATGTCAGAACTTTTTTCACCTTCAATGTGACCTATAACGTGAACAGTTCAATTGAAAAACAAACTGAAATATTTTAGGGGAAAAAGAAAAAAGTACAATAACCTGGTTGCATAAGTGGCCTTTCCTTAAGAAGAAAAACATCCAAATTTTTAGCCATAATTCCAAAAGGTATGTTTGGTGCAAAACAACACTGCACATCACCCAAAGAACACCATACCCACAGTGAAGCATCATGCTTTGGGGCTGTTTTTCTTCAGCTGGAACCAGGGCCTTATTCAAGGTGGAGGGAATTATGAACAGTTTAAAATACTAGTCAATTTTGGCACAAAACCTTTAGGCTTCCATTAGAAAGCTGAAGATGAAGAGGAATTTCATCTTTCAGCATGAGAACGACCCAAAGCATACATCCAAATCAGCAAAAGCATGGCTTCACCAGAAGAAAATTAACATATTGGAATGGCCCAGCCAGAGCCCAGACCTGAATCCAAGTGAACATCATATGGCATTGATATTGAACATTTAATAGTCTTCCCACAAAATCCTTTCCCATCTGACCATTAATTAATAACTTTTGAATTCATATTACTAGATTATAAGACTTTAGGCAAAACTTCCTACAGCAGATGCCTATCTGACAGTGCTGTAGCAAAATTTAAGGAGGAGATTCCATCAATGTTTAATTCAATGCCATGTCTGAATATAACAGAGTCCTATAATAACTTTAGTACCTCCCAAATTGATAATCTTGTTAATTCAATTCAATTCAATTAAATTTTATTTGTATAGCGCCAATTCATACCAGAAATTATGTCAGGACACTATTCAAATAGAGCAGGTCTAGACCGAACTCGTAACTCGTTAATAGTGCTGCAGGGTCACTACGATCAATATTAGATTCTATCGCCCCTTATAAAGAGGAAATTATTAAAACATAGGAGACTAGCACCGTGGTACAACCACCAGGTTTGGTGGTGGTGCCAATTAAAGCAAAAAGCAAGGAGATCTGAAAGGAAATGGCACTCTTCGAATTTTTTAGAATTTCGATCAATTTGGCAAGATAATCTTAAAACCTATAGAAAGGCCCTCCGTAACGCCCTAACCCTATTACTCAACACTAATAGAAGAAAATAAGAACAACCCTTGGTTCCTCTTCAGCACTGTAGCCAGGCTGACAGAGAGTCACAGCTCTATTGAACCACGTATCCCCATAACCTTAAGTAGCAATGATTTCATGAGCTTCTTTTTTAATAAAATTATTACTATTTATTAGAGACAAAATTAATCACCAAATGCCCTCAACAGGTATCACTGTCTCTCCAAGTTTAGGAACTTAAACTAATGTAAAATCTGATATATATTTAGACTGTTTTTTTGCCATCGATCTTCATCAATTAACTCCAATAATTTCTACATCTAAGCTATCAACCTGTCTGTTAGACCCCATCCCAACTAGGCTGTTAAAGAAGTCGTACCCTTAATTGGCACTTCTTTACTAGATATGATTAATCTTTCCTTATTGTCAGGATATGTACCACAGTCCTTTAAAGTAGCTGTAATTAAACCTCTTCTTAAAAAGCCCACTCTTGACCCAGGGGTTTTAGGCAACTATAGACATATTTCTAACCTCCCCTTCCTCTCTAAGATTCTGGAGAAAGTAGTCGCCAAACAGTTGTGTGACTTTCTACATAACAATAGCTTATTTGAGGATTTTCAGTCAGGATTTAGAGTTCATCACAGCACAGAGAAAGCTCTAGTTAAAGTTAATAATGACCTTTTGATTGCTTCCGACAATGGACTTTTCTCTGTACTTGTATTATTAGATCTTAGTGCTGCATTTGACACCATTGACCATGGTTTTCTTATACAGAGACTTGAGCATCAAATTGGCATTAAAGGAACTGCACTAAGCTGGTTTAGGTCATACTTATCAGATCGTTCTCAGTTTGTACACGTTAACAATGAATCTTCCATAAATACTACAGTTAAGTCATGGAGTTCAACAAGGTTCTGTACTTGGACCAATACTATTTACTTTATATATGCTTCCTTTAGGCAACATTATTAGGAATCAATCCATTAACTTTCATTGCTATGCAGATGCTACGCAGTTATATCTATCGATCAAGCCCAATGAAATTATTACATGTCTTAAGGACATAAAATCCCGGATGAGCTGCAATTTTCTGATGTTAAACTCAGAAAAAAACGAAATTCTTGTACTTGGCCCCAAAAACCTCAGAGACTCACTGTCTAAAGATATAGTTACTCTAGATGGCATTACCTTGGCCTCTAGCACCACTGTCATGAATCTTGGAGTTATCTTTGATCAGGATATGTAATTTAATTCCCATATAAAGAAAACCTCTAGGACTGCCTTCTTTCATTTACGTAATATTACAAAAATTAGACACATCCTGTCACAGACGGATGCAGAAAAACTAATCCATGCATTTGTTACTTCTAGGCTTGATAACTGAAACTCCTTATTATCAGGCTGCCCCAACAAGTCCATTAAGATGCTCCAATTAATTCAGAACGCTGCAGCACGAGTACTTACAGGAACTAGGAAAAGAGATCACATCTCTCCTGTACTAGCTTCTCTGCACTGGCTCCCTGTAAAATCTAGAATATAATTTAAAATCCTCCTCCTCACCTACAAAGCTCTTCATGGTCAGGCCCCTTCATATCTTAAAGAGCTCATAGCACCCTATTACCCATCTAGAACACTGCGTTCTCTGAATGCAGGGCTACTTGTGGTTCCTATAGTCTCTAAAAGTAGAACAGGAGCCAGAGCCTTCAGTTACCAAGCTCCTCTCCTGTGGAACCAGCTTCCAGTTTTGGTTGGCACGGCAGACACCCTCTCCACATTTAAGAGTAGGCTTAAGACGTTCCTCTTTGATAAAGCTTATAAGATAAGATAAGATAAGATAAGATATTCCTTTATTTGTCCCACAATGGGGAAATTCCAAATATGGTAGCCCATAGTTCGGGCTGGCTCAGGTGAGTCCTGAACCATCCCTTAGTTATGCTGCTATAGGCCTAGACTATCGGGTGATTTCCCATGATGCACTGAGCTCCTCTCTTCATCTCTCTCTTTCTGCACTCATTCATGTCCCATTAACGCACGTTACTAACTTCACATCTTCCCCAGAGTTCTTGTGCTTTCTCGTCTCGCAGGTTCTCATGGATCCTGGTGGAGCCTCCTGCCATGGTCCTGCTTGACTGCCATTGCTAATATCACTGATATTATTAGGGATCGAGCAAGTATACACTGGAAGGTCCCTATTGTTTTTGCTATGTTTATTATTATTCTTCTTCATCAGAACGTTGACTGCATTTTTGACCCCCTGAACGTATACTTTTTGTGAATTTTATTTGGCAAATTTGTCAGGCCTGGTGAAAATGATGAAATGCTATGGCCACTTTGGGGTCGGCCATTAGGAAGGCCACTAGGTGGCGCTACTTTTAGGAAAAGTTCGATAGGCTAATAACTCCCCCATCGTTTGTCTCACATTCAAAAACCTTATATCCACGCGTTTGGTGAATGGAGCTGAAGCTCCCTGTATAGGCCACGCCCACTTCCGCCTAGATTTTTTTTTGCTAGAGCGCAAAATGTCCAAAAACTACGTTTTCATGATACATCCATGCGCTTTTGTCCGATTTACACGAAATTTTGCACGTAGCATCTGGAGACTGTCCTGGCAAAAAAAGTAATTTAAAGTATTTTGATATTTCAAAAGATAAACAAGTTATAAAATTAGCACTTCCTGTTGATTTTTCATCAAAAAAGGAAGTGGGGTATTTCTCCACATTGGTATGTCCGATTTACACCAACCTTGGGTCAATAGTTCCCCTACAGGATTTTTAAAAAGCAGCCCCGGCGCCACGTTTCGTCGATATGTATGAAACTCGGTAGGCATGTGTAACATGCCGAGACGTACCAAAAAGCCTCTTGGACCCATGCCCCAAAACCCACAGGAAGTCTGCAGTTTTCATTTTGTGGTCATTTTGACTTTTTGGGCTTGTATTTGAACTCCTCCTCCTAGGGAATTTATCAGAGCTGCTTCAAAATTGATCAGTACAGTCAAAAAGTGGTGCTGAATGAACACTGTTCATTTTGTGACTGTACGTTAAAGGGCGTGTCCGTGGCGTGTCGTCAAAGTTGGCCATTTTGAGTCGAATGTCAAACTGTGATGTCATTTTTGGCATTTCAGGGCTTCTAGTTTAACTAACTCCTCCTACAGGTTTTATCGGATCTGCTTCAAAATTGGTCAGTACAGTCACAAAATGGTGCTGAATGAACTCTATTCAATTTGTGACTGTACGTTGAAGGGCGTGTCCGTGGCGTGCCCTCAAGGTTGGCCATTTTGAAGTCTGTGGTCTTGTATTTGAACAAACTCCTAGAGAATTTATCAGATCTGCTTGAAAACTTGACAGTACACTTGAATAATGTTGCTGATTAATAGTTGTGTGATTTGTGACTGTACGTTGAAGGGCGTGTCCGTGGTGTGTCGTCAAAGTTGGCCATTTTGAATCGAATGTCAAACTATGATGTCATTTTTGGCATTTCAGGGCTTCTATTTTAACTAACTCCTCCTACAGGTTTTATCGGATCTACTTCAAAATTGGTCAGTACAGTCAAAAAATGGTGCTGAATGAACACTGTTCTTTTTGTGACTGTACGTTGAAGGGCGTGTCCGTGGAATTTATCAGATCTGCTTTAAAACTGGACAGTACACTTATATGATGAAATATGTTCCTGATTACAAGTTGTGCTATTTGTGACTGTACCTTGTACAGTGTGCCCGTGGTGTTGCATTGAATTTCAACGATTCGCCATGAAATAGATAGTACTCAAGTTCAATGTTCAATGTCTAATCTCCACTAAACTTCACATAGTCTGTAACAGTGCCACCCTGTACATGTCCTCATAACTTCAGTGTACATGGTCCAATCTCAATGAAACTTCACGTTTGATAAGAGTCCCGACCTGAACACATCTACATGACAATATTCAGTAATAGTGATAGCGCCACCCGCCATCATTTTTATACTTTACTGTATATCTTCCAGCAGATTGACCAGATCCAGCTAAAATCCTGTCCGAACTCCCTTCGGATGATGACAATGACATCTTGTGAATCTTAACAATAAGCAAAATGTCTTACCCACGCCCCCAGTAAGCCCATAACCCAAAGTCCTGCCCTGACCACATCTACATGACAATATTCAGATATAATGATAGCACCACCTACTGGCAACAGGAAATATCAAGTTTTATAATTTTATGTTCTACTCCTATCAGGTTGATCAGATCCAGCTCAAATGTGGTCAGAAAATGCAAAACATATGGTTGATATATTTATTTATGATATGATAAGAGTCACATCTATGTGATCATATTCAGTAATAGTGATAGCGCCACCTAGTGGCAACAGGAAGTTATCACAACTTCAGTGTACATGTCTCATCTCTGTAAATAATGTTATAAAGAGTTCGGTTCCCCCTAAAAGATTAGTTTGTTTTTCAATTGAATTAATCAAGGTATAGGTCACATTAAAGGTGGAAAAAGTTCTGACATGATTCATCGTTGTCTCATTTTTTTATATCACAAAAACCTGGCATTTTAACAGGGGTGTGTAGACTTTTTATATCCACTGCTCATGTATACACTGTTGTAATGTATGTTGGTTGGGTATTTGTGTCGAAAGGTTACGGTATAGGGGTCATGGTCAAGTATGTAGATTGAGGCACATAATGCAAAACTAAACATTTTAATGTGCTGTAAGCAAAATGGGGTGAGGTCTGCGCAACAAGCTGATATGTGAATATAAACACATTAAACATGCTAATTTCACTGCTTAATACAGTGCAATACATAAATGTTTGGGTGTTTAATCTTTAGCCAAAGTGGAACTAATTGAAACACTCCTCCTAATGCACATTTTCTTTTTCTTTTGCAATTTTAGATTCATAATGGTAAAAATGCTTTTCAGTTTTATTGCCTATTGTGACCTATAGCCTATTGCGAAAGTGTACTACAGAAATGTTTCTTATTACCTTTGCCTGTGCTGTTTGTGGGTTTGTTTGTTTATTTTGTGGGTTTGTCTGTCAGCAGGAAACACACTTGGTGGAAGGGTGGGCCAAGGAGGAACCCATTAAATTTTGGAGCTGATACAAATCACACGGATTTCACTTTCCAATGACAAAAATGTATTTGGTGCTGTGACTAAACATAACAAAACATAACAACCACCTCAAATATCACTGTAGAAACAAATGCAGCAGGTAGGGAATAAATAAGCAATCAGGGCTGTGATTTTTCAGAAATAATCTGGAATTTGTGTGCAGGTTTGCATATCGTAGAAGACTGGACTATTGGCCTTGGTGGAGGTCTGCACTCTCCAACTGCTTTTATAAATTTTTATAATAAAAATGGTATACCAAAAGTGTCAGTGGGCAAAATGTTACCTCAGTCCCCAGCAAGAGGACTGTGTCTGTCTTTGACACTTACTTCGTCTGTGTGTTCAAAATAAAAATAAACATGTTTTTTTTGATTGCGTGCTGTACTGACTGCGCAGCAAACCATGACACCTAAACTGGGGTATGAACCAAACTGTGTAACGTTACACCCCATGTCAGTATAAAGGGTACACACCACACACTAGATCTTTGATCAGGCACGAGAAATCAGGTCCAACTCAACTCAAGCCCAATAAAATTCTGTGTCAGCCCGAACCGAGCCCAAACCATAGAAGCAGATTTGAGCCAGAGACCATCTGAACCTGAGATTTCCGCTTTAAATAAATAATTCAAAGACTTAATTACAAGTAAACTACAATGTGAATACAATATAGTGCAAATTATTATCAGAATTATTAACAAATTCACTAATTAATTACAGTGTAATTATTCATTATTAATAAAATATTTAATTTATGGTTAAGAAATCCAATTCTGTCTGCGCCCGACCTGCAGCAGTAGTGTCGGGTCCAATTGGTGTCTGGCAAAGAATCAAAGCTCTAGTACAGACTGACATAATTGTATTTATTTATTTATTTTTTAAATAATAAGCAGCATTAAGATTCTACTTATATCTAACAGTAAAAAAGGTTAATGCCATCTGAATGATATATACAGTACACATACAGTCAGTTGTCTGTAGACTTCGAGTGTGACCAAAAAGTTTGTAGATAGACATACATTGTGTATCTACTGTATATGTAGATCAAATAACCCTATAGTAATAACAAGAGCAGGACTTATTTTTTTAAATATATTGGTCCTTTAACAAGAAGTGACTGTGGCATCTTCCATCTACAGTTACATAATGTGTATAGTCTGTCCTATGTTCAAGTAACATAAGAAGTCATGCATTGTTTAAGAGAGCTCACCATTTTCTGGACATTATCCCAGGATTTTTCCAGTCCAGGATCTGATTTATAAATCTTCATACCATCCTTTAGTTCACCTTGCGCTTTGGAATCCAGCTTACAAAAAGACAAAGAAAGAAAGACACAGTTATTCATTCAAATGATACACCCATTAATTATCTATACCCGCTTATTCTTTGTAGGGTCGCTGGGGCTTGGACAGGTGACAACCATTCAGACTCTCAAGGCCTAAGAACCTTGAATGAGAAAGGTTGGTTGTGACATTCCCACTGTGTCAAACAACATGTATGCACCACAAGTGTCCCTTCTGTAAAATGGTCAGCAAAACCTTTTTAGTTTTAACGTTTCCCTTTTCTGTTGCAGCATACTTATCACAAACCTAACCTATGTTGTACGAAGCCAGAAAATATTAAAATCAGCAGCCTGTTGGTCATTCTTTAATGTAGTTAACATTAAAGCCGTAATGTGAATTTTACTGCTTATTTCGTTGCTTATCTGATCTTATTCTATTAATTTTCTATTCTATTATTTGACAGTTAAAAGTTAAAGTATGTGAGCTTACCTTGTCATGGAAGATGTGTATAACCACCATTAGAGTCACCTCTGTCAGGACCAGGAGCAGAAGGATCACAAAGAACTGCAGAACAGAAAAGAGCCGTTGTAGATTGACACTATAGTGTACACAAGATTATCCCCACTGAGATGTTATTGCACCTCTAGTGCAAGTGAATTTCTAAGCATTTTTAATTTCTCCTTATTATCTGGTATTAGTAGGACCTGATAAGTATGCAAATATACAATATACACGGGGACGGCTGGTATAAATGGGCTAACAGGGCTAAGCCTTACCTATCTTTTAAAGTAAAGATGAAAAACTATTATTAAAAACATATTGTTTCAAATTTTGGTTGAACCTAGAGCAGCAACAGCATCATACAGTGACAGAAAAAACCCAGGATATATGATATATCTTGGGTTTTTCCTGTGAATGGGCTTATTTTTTACAGCCCAAGCACAGTAAAGTAAGCTTCCATTCAATTTTGATTGACAGGTGTTGTGACACGCCCCCTTCATATGCTGCCCATTTGGGCTAAATTCATTTAATTGGAAGTAAAGAGATTGGGGACATCCAAATGATGTTCAAATAACACAAAAGGACAAACAACACAAGCTTGTCCTGCGGGGGTCCAATGAATCTCCCACTTCACTCCAGCAGGGCGTGTTTCTGGACCTCATCGACCAGTTCTCTTTTTTAGACAGTCAATTAGCCGATCACCTGTCAAACACACAGGTTGCCAAGTACACATCTAAGACCAGCCAAAATGAGTTGCTTGACAGTATGTTAGCTATTTATGGACAAAAACTGGCGGATGAAATATCACAGGCACCTTTTGTGGCTGTGCAAGCTGAGGAGACAAGACGAGAGATGTGGCCTGTGTAAGCCAGTGTGTGATTGTGCTCAGGTACATCACTGAAGCCTCCATGGTAGTGGAAAGAACTGCGGCGGGACTCGAAACACTGCTGCTGGAGAAGCTGGAGCCATACAAGTTGCAGAACAAACTGATCACACGGACGTATGACGGGTAATAGGCAGCGCATCAGCCGGCCTACAGGCCAGGTTAAAGGAAACATTCCCTCACGCACACTTTGTTGGAACTTTAAAAGCCGCAACGTCCACCCCTTGTTTGACCTTCAGGACACTTTGAAACAGTGTTTTGGAAAAATACGAGATGTCATCAGTCTTGGGACAGCGTGTCAATCCAACAAGCGTACGGCCTGTCCACACTTCTGGGGGCCGTTAGCTTCCTTTTCTTTTGATCTTTTCTCCACTCTGCCCTCATGCATGTAGATATTCTCTACAGCATTCTTCAGAAATGGACCACAGATTCTCTCAAAACGAGACAGGCCCTGGAGAATTTTTCGTGCTCCTTATCTGAACTGAAGGACAAGCTGACCTCAGATGACAATCAGCCACATCCAGATGCGGACACAGCTGCAGCCTCTGCAACGGCTGCAACGGCTGCAACGCCGCACAGGATGCGGCGCCCTGGTAATGTGTCAGTAGCCGCACAGTGCTTTGACATAATGATCGAGCAGTCAAAGGCTCTTGGTGTCTTTCGAACTTATTGACCCTGAACTCGATCCGCTGTTTAAGAGCACTTTCCAGCAGAAGCAGCTGGACATTGCATGTGAACTTTACCCAATGATCTGCAGAGAGAAACTGAAAGGTGAGCTGATGATGGTGTACAGTAGTGTGGAGTTTGCGGGCATAACGTCCGCAATGTCACTTTTGAGGTTGCTGACTGAGAACAATCTTCAGAGCACTTTTTCTGAAACACTGAAAGTAACCCAAATAGCCATCACAATCCCTATTACAACTGCAGAGTCAGAGAGGTGTTTCAGTACACTGAAGAGGATCATGTCCTTTATTCAAAGCACAATGGGACAGGACAGGCTAAACACACTGGCTATGCTGTCTATTGAGCGGGACTTCATCCAAAAATCTGCAGACTTTAATGACATGGTGATTAACCTGTTTGCATCACAGAAAGGCCGTTGATGTGAGCTGCTTTTTAAATAAGATATGCCCAAGCTCTGAAACAGCTCTCTCTTCTACAAATACTGTTATTTTTGCTTTGGTTTTGTAGATTTTATTTTTGGAACATGGTATTGTAAATTGTTGTTGGTACTTTTCTATAATGTTGTTGTAGCGCAATTGGCATGTGCTGATGTGGAGAGAGAGAGAGAGAGAGAGAGAGAGAGAGAGAGAGAGAAAGACAGAGAGAGAGGGATTTTTTTGGCATTAGGTCATTCTTTTGCGTAAAAAGGGATGTCCTCATGTAGGGACAATGGGTTTATTTTACTGTATAACACAATAAATTCACCAGCATAGTATAGTAGTACTGTATAAGACTGATTATTTCATTGACTATTCAATTAAATTTTATTTGTATAGCAATATCTCAGTTTTTTAAGTCAATATAATGAGAAACTTTATCGAAATAATGACTTAGTATCTCAATATTTTGACTTAGTAGCTCATTATTTTTACTTACTATCTCTTTATTTTGACTTAGTATCTCATAATTTTTTACTTACTATCTCATTATTTTTACTTACTGTCTCATTGTTTTGTCTTAGTATCTCAATATAATGAGAAGCCTAAATTAGAATAGGCATGTGTGTTGTTTCCTCATATGCTCCAAAGCAACAGAAGCAAGTAAATGAGACAAAGTTTGGCAGACCAAATGGATACTGTCATTAAAGACTACTTTAGACGTGGATTCACAAATCGTAAGATTTTAGCGGTTTTGGATGAATCACGTAATATTAAACTGAGTCTCCAGACCCTAGAGAGAAAGCTACAAAAGATGAAGGTATGTCAGTCGTGGGCCAAACTATGTAGGGCATATACGTAAATGGGTATGATAGATTAAAGCCTTATGGCATATGTATCAGTGGTTGCATAGATGGCTTCTCAAGAAAAATGATATGACTGGAAGCATACAAAACCAACATTGCCCCTTATATTATCGCAAGTTATATAATGGATGTCCACAAAAAGCCGGGTTAGATTACGTACACCCCATCCATCAGTCGCATCAATTGACGCACAGTTTCTCTCTCTGTAAATATTACAGCCATCCAACATTTCTGGTGAATCCATCTGTAGCCGTGCTGTCTGCCAGACATTTGTAACTGCTGGTCAATGAAGGATGCTACTTCAGCTACATCTGTTTTATTTCGTCTCTGCCAGAGCTGTTTTGTAGCAATATTTCGGCAGAAATATGCCATTAAAATCCATCACATTAGAATAAAAGATACTACTCTGTCGTGCACAGCTCACCGTGAACAATAGGCAGCGCTGCTCCTTAAGTGCTCCAAGACAACCCAGAAAGCCAGTCACCATGGTAATGCCACCAGCGACTAGCAGCAGATTGGCAGCTGAGAGGGATGGAAAGGACAGCGGAAGAGAGGAAAACTCTGCCTGTGTGAAGGACAGCCAGACTCCAACGCCAAACAAACCACATCCTCCTAGCTTAAAGGAAATATAATCAGTTTTAAAATGTAGCATTAACAACACATTGTCCTGATAATAATGTTTCTAGTAGTGGTAGTATTGGAAAATGTAACCAAATAAACAAATATGAAACCAACTTGGGACTGATTTGTGCAAATACTAACCCAGAAGATGAGGTTAAAGATGAACATCAAATATTTAACACAGCACAAACACGTCCGAGACACTGACATCCTGCAAAAGAAAGGGGGAAACAGAAGAGCAGGAGAACTGTGTTTAAACACTGCTTCATGTCACCAGTCAACTAATATTTTGGCTAGAAGGTGTAAAATGTCCTGTTTTTTTGTGGGTTAATATGGTTCAATAACTGACCAAAGAATGAATGTACAGTATCTTTTATGGCCTTGTTATTATTATAGACCTTGAGATTGGTCGTGTGCGTCCATGTGTGACCGTCTGTGTATCTGTCCGCAACTAATCTCACATACTACTGGACCCATCAGCCTCACATTGCTGTATGCTCAAGGACCTGTTGTGGTTAATTTTTTTTTTGGGGTCATTTTGTGTAAGTGTAATTTTACTCATACTTTAGTATGCTGTATACTTTGGCTAACTTTAAAATCATAATTATTTACTGAGCAGGCCTACAATTTGTACCTTTCATCTGCATTTTTGTAACCAGTAAACCAGGGACACAGAGGTGGAAGCAATTCAAATTGAATTGATTGTGGACATGAATTTCCCCCTTGGAGGACAATAAATTGAATTGACTGACCCCAAAGCGCTAGCTTTCAGCACTTGGGTTAACTAACTGGGCTGTTCAGACACAGACAGAGCTCCACATCTAGCTCGTGATCTGCGGCTACAGGCATTTTCCTATTATCTTCAGATGTTAGCAGTTAGAGTCTTGACTTTAAGGGTATGGTGGCCTACAAACCAACATGTATGCCACCACCATAGGTGAGAGGGGGGTGGTGAACTGGTAAGGGGGAGGAGTGGGCTGGTGGGCGTCAGGTGTTGAAGATGGCAGACTGAGGAGTGGAGGGGCAGGGGGAGCTGGCCAGAGGACGTGTGAAGTGGGAGCAGGGTGGGTGAGGGAGGGAGAGTAGGCAGAATCAAATCTGTTGAAAAACTGGTCTCCTCAGACCACTCCTTCACAGGCCTCTTCTCAGATGGTTGTTTATTCACCACAGGGGTGTAGTCTGTGATCAGATGGACAAGGTTGTGATCTGAGCGACCAAGCACCCATCCCCAAGGGGGGTGAGGTGTATGCATCCTTGATGTTTGCATACAACAAGTCCAAAGTTTTATTGTCCCTGGTGTGGCATTTCACGTACTGGGTGAAGGTGGGGAGAGCAGAGGACAGGGAAGCATGGTTGAAGTCAGTGCCGGCCCGTGGCATAGGCAGTATAGGCAAATGCTAAGGGAACTGTCCATTTAGGGGGCGCCACAATGGGGGAAGAAAAAAGAAAAAGTTGCCCCTCCCTTCTTCTTACCGCTCTCCGTTGCTTTCCTGTCCGCCTGTACAACTTGAAATCCCTCCAGGGTGACTTGTGAGTCAGGACAAAGTTCACTCAACCACGTCTCTGTGAGGGTGCATTCCACGGTAAACATGGTTTATACCGTCCTTTTCCGCTGTCAGTGGCACAGGGCTAACGGCTGATCCCGGGTGTAAACAAGAGAGCCGTGGTTGAGTGGGTCTCCCGAAGCCGCACCAAGAAGTTTAAAAAACAACAAGAGGCTTACTACGAATGTAACAATATGAACATCCATAGCTGCACACTTGCTTAAAGTGTCGATGTGACATGAAGGAGCAACAAAAGATACACTAAAACACTATAAAAAAATAAATTAAAAGGTACACTAAACCACTATAAAAAAAAACACTAAAAAGAGGGAAGAAAGTTCAGAGCTAAGTAACATTAATTTGTACTGGAGTGTGTAACATCATGCCGTTATAAAGTTATATTCTGTATAATAAACCTGTTCCATTTAAATATTTAAATAAAGCCCTACAGTAGTCCAGAGAGGACATACTGTCTCTAGATAAGGCCGTTAGCGTTTTTCACGTGTTTGACTAAATCCTACTCACTGGTCCTCTAAATTGAGAAGTTTGGATTTATCGTCCCGTTAATTGTTTCCTTATTGAGTTTATACAGTCAGGCAAACTCAGGACTTTCATTTACAATACAAAATACCTTATTAATATTCCAGGTGGGAAACATGAGTGCCACCATTACATATAGGATAGCCACCAGGTAGGACAGTAGAAACATAAAACAGAATTTAAAACTCTCCTCCTCACCTACAAAGCTCTTCATGGTCAGTCATCTTCATATCTTGAAGAGCTCATAGTACCCTATTACCCAACTAGAACACTGCGCTCTCTTAATGCAGGGCCACTGCATTCCTCTTTGATAAGGTTATAGTTAGGGCTGGCTCAGGTGATTCCTGAACCATCCCTTAGTTATGCTGCTATAGGCCTAGACTGCAGGGAGACTTTCCATGATGTACTGAGATTCTCTCTTTGTCTACCCTGGACTGGTGAATCAGCCAACTTTAAAATGTTTTTTTTTTTAAAACTGAGCAAAAATCACAGAAACAGGGCATCATCACTTTACAGCTACTAAAGATAGAACTCTTTCAATGTGACTATTGTTTTAAGAAAGACTTAAACAAATGTAAAACTTTAATTTCAATCAAGAATTCATTACAATATGACTATTTCATAGAGTTGATCCTGTCCTGATTTATATCTGACTGTGCTGTCCTCACACCGACTACTGACCCCACACCACAGGAAGTCAAACTGCTGACAGGAAGGAAGCTCACTCCCCTCCTCAGCAGACCTAATTATACTGCTAAAAGGCATTTCCCATGACCACAGCAAACTTGTGACTCACAGAAGTGCAAAATTCAGGAGAACCTTGTGTCAAAGTGTTTGGATTTTATATTTATTTGTGTCGATCAACTGTATATACTGTAATAAAAACAGTGACTGCTTAATTAAATCATATGTCAAATGTTAGTTCCACCCCTCGCTGTGCAAAATTTGGTTAGTAGGTGGCACCTTAGTGTTATAGTGTAAGTTGGCAACAATCAGTCTTATTAAAACTTTTCCCATGATGTACTGAGTTTCTGTGAAAACCTTGGTGCACTTTGTTTTTGTTGCAAAAACATGAAATATGCTAAAGAAACCCCAAATGTTTTGGGATCTCTGTGCCTGCAACTTGGAAAACGCCGATGGGCCAGCAGGGTCGACTTGGGCTTGGCCCCCATTAATATCTATTAATATTGAACTTTGGGGATTATAAACCTCCTAATATCTTAATATTGTGTTTTGAATGTTTACTAGCCTATTACAACGTTCCTTTTCCATCTGCCATCCTATTGCATACTATTGTTGAAGCAGGGGATTCTGTCTGTCTTGTATTTCCTGTCTTGTTAGAGAGCTTGAGCTGGGTGAATATATTTTCACAAAATCCTTTTTTTTTTTAATTTTCCTGTTTACAGTCTGGGTTATTAGTTTAAAAATAGAAATAAGATTACAGTTGGAGGGAAGTCCTTCAAACCAAAGGTTAAATTTTTTTTATGAAGGGATAGTTCAAATAGATGAATGAAACAACTGAAAAATGAAACAACTAGAAAATAATAATAATAATAATAATAATAAGAAGAAGAAGAAGAAGAAGAAGAAGAAGAAGAAGAATCCTGCAACATAATCTACTTTTGACATCACGTGACATCATAGGCCAGAAGTAGGGCCAGAACTGGCAGGCAGTTTGAGATCCCTGATGTACAGTGTCAATTATCCATATTTTCTTGAAATGCAGAAAATTAAAACATTTTTGTGTTGTGACCTGACTAGTCAACCCTACCTGCTATGATTTCAGAAATGTCATTGGTCATTACTCCAATATGGTACCTCCTCAGAGAATTGGCATAATATCCTCTATAGTGAAGAAGTGCATCTTGCTCAACTGGAACCATCAAAGTTCTCCAACATTCAAAGCTATAATGTGTATGTAGCATTTGGTAAAATGTCTATAAACACTAGACCTATGTTATACTGTATATGTTGTTGAGTTGTGCACTTACATGATCCCAAACGTTTCCAACAATGTTCAAATGTATTATTTTATTCAGGTAATATTCATAGGTCACTGGCGTCATATCCCCTTTGTGCAAGCTTCACTGTTGTGGTTGTCTGACAGAACCTGTCATGAACATCATGAATGTTTATCCAGTTTTAAGACACATTTTTACCATACACGTTTTAGATCTCATATCATATTTTAACCGTATGAAGGATTCTAGTCATTGGACATCTAGATCTTAGGTCATCAGAGAAACAAGCTGAACTAACGTTAGCAGCAGCTGAAGGAATCCTGCTGTTAAGAAGAAAAAGTCAAAGTTCAACCAGCTGCTGGAGGTCCTCCTCAGGTCTATGTGCACATTTTACTTGTGAGGAGTGTGTCTGAGGAAACGTACCTATTAACGTCCTGTTTCCAGTGTAGATGTTACAAGGAGTGCTAATTTAATCCTAATATATCCCCTCGGTAGAAACACTTCCTGAATTCTATGCAATGCAGTGTTTTTTAAAAGTTTGAAACAGGTTTGAACTGCTCTAAAATGAAATGGGCAGAGACAGAAAAAGAAAAAGAAAAACTCGTGGCCATGTTGCTCTGCTTATGATTATTACTGATGGTCACATCACAACAGTCAACCTATCCTGTAACCTATATCGTAAGCCAATCTTTATCAATAAAAACTTAATAATAGTTCTGTCAAGATTTGTGTAATTCAAGTGGAGTACCTGAGGATGAGTTTCAGTTCTTTCAGATCTTGTCTTTGTCGCGCTCCTCTTCCGAACTCCTTACTCCTTCACCCAGTGTTTCCGAACTTTACTTAGTTTTCCTGAAGCAGCCAGGCTTTTCAACCAGCGTTGCTTTTTTCTCTTCGTCTGAATTATTTTTCACTGGTTGACTGTGTCCGTCCTTTTGCTACAATTAACTTGTCTTCTTCCCCAATACTGAACTTTATATTGAATACATGTACACTTTCCTATCTGGGAGGTTTGACCTTCAATTTTGTTTCCTTTTGTTAACAGAACGATGTCTCTCCGTCCCACCCTCTCTCTCTCTCTCTCTCTCTCTCTCTCTCTCTCTCTCTAATGAATTCCAGATGTGTGTTGTTCCTTCCATTTTTCTCCCGTTACTTGTCTCTCCCTCCTCCCTCCTCCCTACCACAACCTCTAAATCTCAGCCTGTCTCACTCACTCACTTTTTTGTTTTTTGTGATGCAGAACCATTCCTCTACAGCTCCACTGGAGACACATTTCAGCAGCGCACACCATTTGGTTATACTGCCCCTCCCGAACCCACTCTGCCGTTGTAGTCTGAGGGGAGAGCAAACACATGTTGTTGTATTCCAAAGAAATGAATAGGAAGAAAATATTGTTCTGACTGTGTCGTTCATTCAGCAGCAGCGCACCACTACTGGGGTACTAACGTTAACTGATTTTCACTTGTACATTGTGCAAGCATGATAGCACCCTATGTTTGACTAACTGGCACTAAATTATAAGAGTAGCGTAATTCCTTAAAGGAACAGGGCAGTGTGTGATGTGTATGCGTAGCAAGTGTGTGAGAGAAAATGAAAAAAAACAATATGTTTAGACTACCCTGTGTCAGTAAACGCTGCAGCTTGTCAACACCAAGGTCTTGTCTGCTGTTTCCCAACTGATGGAAAAGTGAAGGGGTTAGCCCTAGAAGGGAACCATTCCTTAGTTATGTTGCTATAGGCCTAGACTGCCGGGGGACACCCCTGATGCACTGTGCTCCTCTCATCCTCTCCTTGTCTTTCTGCACACTTTAATGTCCTGTTAATGCATGTTACTAACTCTACTTCTTCCCTGGAATTTCTGGTCTCACAGGTTCTGATGGATCCTGGTGGTGCCTGCTGCCATGGTCATGCTTCACCCCACTTCCAGTATTACTGATATTATAAGGGACCTCGCAAGCGACCGCTGGAGGTCCGCCACTAGGTGGCGCTACTATCATGAAAAGTGCGTTTTGGCTAATAACTTCTGCATAGTTTGTCGTACATTCAAAAAACTTATATCCACTTGTTCGGTGAATGATGCTGAATCTTCCTATATAGGCCCCGCCCACTTCCGCCTGTAATTTTTTTTCGTTAGAGCATGAAATGTCCTTAAACTACTTTTTCGTGTTCCTCCCACACGCTTTGTCCGATTCGCACGAAATTTTTCACCTAGCACCTGGGGTCCGCCCTGGCAAAAAGAGTAATTTGAACATTTTTGAAATTCCAAACAATAAGCTCGCTATAAAATTAGCACTTCCTGTTGATTTTTCATCAAAAAAGGAAGTGAACCATTTCTCCACACTGGTATGTCCGATTGACACCAAACTTGGGTCCATAGTTCCACATGTCTTCCTTAAGCATTGTGCACAATTTCAGACCATCGCCACAAGGTGGCGCTCTTTAAAATTATAAGTTTATATCTCTACAACGGTATGTGTGATTAAGATGAAACTTGGTACGATGCTTCCCCATGGCTCCCTGAGGCTCACTTAAAAAGGACAGAAAAAATACGCCACTAGGTGGCGCTCTTTTGGCATGATAAATCACTGTGCGGAGACCGTGATAGTTATGAATATGAAATTCACAGGGCACGTGTAGAGTAGTGCCTGAAGCTCACATACCAAAAATCGTCTTTGTCGTGTGTGTGTGTAGCGCACCCTACAGGATAAAAAAACAGCAGCCCCGGCGCCACGTTTCACCGATATGTACGAAACTCGGTAGGCACGTGTAACATGCCGGGACATACAAAAAAGCCTCTTGGACCCATACCCGAAACCCCACAGGAAGTTGGCCATTTTGATTTAAAGTTTCACTTTCGGCTAACTTTTCGCGTTGTACTCCTCTTAGGTAATTTATCGGATCTCCTTCAAAATTGGTCAGTACAGTCAAAAAATGGTGCTGATTAAAAGTTGTGCTATTTGTGCATGTACATTGAAGGGCGTATCCGTGGCGTGCCCTCAAAGTTGGCCATAGTGAATTCCGTGCGCATTTTCTGTGAATTTTTCGCCTTGTCAGATATGCTTCAAAATTTGTGAGTACAGTCAGAAAATGGTGCTGATTAACAGTTGTGCTATTTGTGCATGTACATTGAAGGGCGTGTCCGTGGCGTGGCCTCAAAGTTGGCCAGGTTGAATCGAATGTCAAACTGTGACGCTATTTCCGGCATTTAAGGGCTTCTGTTTTAACTAACTCCTCCTACAGATTTTATCAGATTGACTTCAAAATCGATCACTTCAATCAACACACATTGGTTATCAAAAGTTGTGCTATTTGTGACTGTATGTTTAACCGTGTGCCAGTGACGACGTGTCGAATTCCACCGATTGGCCATCAAACAGATAGTACTCATCTTCAGTGTACAGTCCCACCCTGAACAAGTTCTTATAACTTCAGCGTACATGATCCAATCTCAATGAAACACATTGTTGATGATATGTGTTGACTGTGGTGAGGGGGCGTGTCTGTGGGGTGGCGGGAAATTTTGATGGACTGCCACAAAACACGAATTCGCTATAACTTGAGTGTACATTGTCCAATCGGCTCCACGCTTCAAATGCTTGATAACAGTCCCGCCCTGAACACATGTACATGACAATATTCAGACATAGTGATAGCACCACCTACTGGCAACAGGAAGTAAGCGCTGCATGGCGATTTTGAGCTGATTAACGGCAGAGTTTCATGTTGTGGTCCGCACGTGTTACGACGGCATGCAACACGGCCGCAGCACGCCCCGAGTTGCGTGGAGTGCGAGGTCCTGCCCAACGCTGCTTGCAGCTTTAATTATTATTGTTATTATTATTCATCATTCCCTATCGCCATGACACAGTGAATGCTGTTTGGAGTTTCCTGTTCCACTCATCAGCTGTTCTTCAATTGTTATTTAATTCACCAGTGATAACTCCTTGAGCAGCTTCAAAACTGTCCTTTTTCACATTCTGACGGTTGAAAAGAAACACAGCCAAACATCACAACATTAATGAATTCGCCTGTGGCGAAATCAGGGTCTGTAAGCTGTGACAGTCTCACTTATCCCACTTTCTCTTTGTTCCAGAAATGTTTGATCACTCTGTCTCAGTGATGTTCTCTTTCATAGCTGTGCAAGCATGCACATATCCTTTGTTCACCAAATTGTGTATTTACATCACATCGCTGACCATTTTCAAAGCGTACTGTTTTTTAGACTTAAATATTCCAAGCTAGCTGATTTCTGTCACTACAGGTCCTACCATGCTACTATGAACACTTTCATAGTAAATTAAAACCTTGATAGTGAACATAGTATCTGCTTTTATTGTGATGTTGTCTACCAAGGCAACCAATGCAGAATGATTTTAAAACGCTACAGATCATTACTCTACAATCATAAAGACGATTTGATAAAAAAATAAAAAAATAAAAATAAAAGAACATCTGTTTCTGTTTCCTTGCATGGTTACATTTTCCAGAAGCTCTCACATGCTCCTGCTCAAAATGTTTGGTATCATGTTTATTTAATGTATACATTTGATTCTTAGGTAGGTCAAAACATTAAACAACCAAAAAAAGAAAAAATATATCTAATTTGCACACAATGTTGCAATTCCACACATTTTTGAGACATATTACACTGGTGATAGTGCAAAAACGATTTGTCAGGTAAAATACTCCCATTGTGTAACCAGCTTGTTATGGAGGACCAATACAGCCACAATCAAAAATAAATACATAAATGACTTAAATGTGCCATAAAATACACCAGAAATAATAAAAAAATAAATAAAAGTAAAAAAAAAAATTAAAGTCAATAAATAGGGACATTAATACAAAGGTAAATGGCCTAAGCTAATTAAAACATAAATATAAATTTATATCACATTTTATAAATTACTTAATACAAATATTTATTATTTATACTTATTATTATTTTTGGTGCATTTAATGGAATATACATTTTTATTCTTGCCTCGGTCCTCCATAATTTGAGACAATAACAGTAACTTGTTAGTTTACACTTGTTTTCATGTTGCTGTTTTTTTAGTATTTTTGTTCCTTTTATTGTATGCACATTACTAAATAAAAAAGTAGATATAGTGTTAAGTTGTTCTCTTATGAAGATTTAGATAGATACAACACAATTACAACAATCATTCTAATTATTTCCTTACAACTCGAAGAAGAATTAAATACATAGCTCGTCAAAAAGCTGTAACAGTACCAATAATGAGTATCTAATGAAGCACTCGTCACTTGTTTTTTCCCACAGCAGAAAAACCTAATTAAAATTGTATCTCGTACAAAATAATAGTACTAGTAATAGTACAACCAGAAGCATTATTTATGGAACAACATCAGAGGCTGACCCTTTTCACTGACAGTTTTTATATTGCTTTGATGGGTACGTTTCTCTTTGTGGGGTAAAGGAGTACTCCGCTTTGTGATGCATGATCAACTTGTTGTTGACAAAGTAAAAACTGTCCGAGCGTGTCTCGAATGGGTTGGCAATCATCTCTTCAACTGAGTAGAGCAAAAGAGAAACATGTTCAGAAGGAGTTAGACAATGTGAGATGTACATAAAACTATTTCTAGTACTATTACTAAAACACACATTTTTCTGTTATCCTCCAAACATCATGGAACATCACTACGCCATCATTTGAAAATGGCTAATTCCACTTCTAATATGTGATTATTGTACCATCAACATATCAAAGTTTAAAGCCTCATTATGTAACTTTTCTACCTTAAATCCTTTTGCTGCACTGAGTTGTAATAGAGTGAATGGTGCCTTTGTATGCCTCTTCTTGCACTATGTAACTTTTGGCACAGGGCTGGAACAAGTGCATAATGCTTTAAGGCAGGAGTCACACACCACCAACTATGTCAAAGTGCTGCTACAAAGAAAATATTAAAAATGTTGGTTGGTAAAAATGAAACATATGGTTCTCTGTCCCCACCCCAATATTCATAGAGATCCTATTATGGACAGAGCCTCGCTTGACATATAAACAACAATTTCATGTTTGCCCACATTTTGTAGAAATGGTCTGTGTGTGCTTGTGTGTCAGTTTATCATTTGACTGTACCTATCTCAGGTTCCAGGTCAGGTAAGCAGTAGATGTGCTCACAGGTGTTTCTGCTGTGTGGGATGCAAAAGCCGATCTCAAAGTCAAAGGTTTTGAGCAGGAGGTTTCTGAAGAAATGCCTCTCGATCAGACGGAAGCGGTTTAGTGCCTTGCTGCCCACTGTGAACTCCAACCTGAGAGACAGGCGGCTGATCAGCTCCAAGTGATTTTTAACCACTAATAACATCTGGGAATGTTTCATGACACTTGAGGGAAGTGTGAATAGAAAATGTTTTGGTGCAGCAATCTATTCTTTCTTTGTTTTAGACCATCATATTTTCCTGCAGTTGATACATAGAGCAGAGCTGTTCATCTAACATAGTAAAATATCTCTGACTTACGTAGCTCCTATCTCTCTGAGGGCCAGGAATGCAGGAGAGAAGTGATACTGGATGAATCGGCTTGTATCAAGATCAATGACGTCTTGAATTTCTGGACAAAAATTGACAAAAAGAGTAAATAGAGAATATGTGGGAAAAACTGGTTATGGTATGGTGTTGAGAAAAATGATTGAACAAGCATCAGTGCCCTTCACACTGCATTGCATTGAATTTACAGGTTTGACTGAGTTTTGACAAGCCCTGCTGGGTTCGGGCCCAAAACTGCTGCCCTAGGTCAGGCTCAGCAAGACTTACATTTTTAGTTTTTTTAATATATTTAATATTTTATTAATAATACACGCAACTGTAATTAATGAGTAACTTTGTTATGTATTAGTTTTGATAATAATTTGCACTATATTATATGCACAATGTAGTTTACTTTAGTGTGCAATAAACTATATACATTTTTTACTTATTATTTTTATCTTTTATTTATTTAGAAATTCAGGTTGTTTCCATGGTCAGATTGATTCAGGTTCGTTCCAAATTTTTCATGGGGGGATTTGGGCCTAATCAAACAGACAGGCTAATCAAGTTATTACAGTACATATACATTTTCAGCAGCCTGTGTTGTTCATACATTACATAATACATAACATACATAACATACATACATAATACATTTCCCTGTAGGCTGTCAGGACTAATGGAGCTTCTTTCAGGGCTTTAGACTTTGAGTCTTTTTTTTACATTGTCCTGATAAGATTCAGCATTTCAAAAGAACAAAGAGATGAAAAAGTACCTGTTGGACCGTGTTTTTTTATGTCAAGGATGACTGCTCCACTGCCCAGGTCCCTGATCTTGAAGCGTGAGAAGTTTACGTTGAAGATGTTGTCCTCTGGTGAACACAGGTACTCTGCCACACATCCAACCCAGAACAGCTGAAAATTCACCTTCACCAAGTATTTTATGCTTTATATGGCATTCAATTAGCAAGAGAAACTGAGAAACTGGAAGGAGTATGATTCAAGGGAGTGCATGCATGGTGGCTGTGGCTCAGAGGCAGAGCGGGTCATTCCTTAATCGGAAGGTTGTGGGTTGGATCCCCGGCTCCTGGTGCCACATGTCGAAGTATCCTTGAGCAAGATACTGAACCCCAAATTACTCTTGATGCCGTGCATCAGTGTGTGAATGAGTTAGTTTCTGTTTGATGGACTTTGCCATCATCTGTGTGAATGTGTGTGAAAGCGCTTTGAGTGGTCGGAAGACTAGAAAGGCACTATACAAGTAGAGGTCCGTTTACTGTACATACACTGGTTTATTTCAGTATAGAGTAGATTTAAGTTTGGAGTGATTTTTTTTGCTTTTATGGTTAGGGTTAGCAAACAAACAGTAGCTTTGTAAAGGCTGAATTTCTTTCATAGGTGGTCATGATGTTTACTGACATTTGGAAATTATCTTAAAAAGATGTAGATCAATGAGCATGAGTCATAAACGATCAATAATCCCCAAAAATCATTTCAGAAATTTGGACGATGTTCTTAACATCCGTAATCAGAAGTTGTATTGAATAGACATATACATTTGTCTGTGCTCAGATTCAGAGGTGTGCAACTAAAAATCTGTAAGAATAAAAGTTGAGTACATCCTAATGGTTGTTACCTTGATTATTGTTAAATATAGAGGAACAATAGGCCTTGTGTGGGAAGCAATCTATGAACAAATTTTCTCTTATTTTTGTTTGTATCCAGAATTTGTTTTTATTTTGTTAGTACCTACTGATTTAGGTCTTCTTTGTTTAGTTCTCTATGAGTGGTTGAGAGCACAAAAAACATCTTTCACAGCTTTCACAGCTTTTCATGATTTGCCTTTTCCAGGAAAAACTTATTTGATATAAACATTGACATAGAAAAAAACCAATTACTACCTGCAGTTATCATGTTCATTATTTGTGTTCATTGTACAGTTATCAGTTGTTCTCTACTGTTATTGTTATGCATTAAATATAATATAAAAATATAAATATGGCTCAGAGGCAGTCAGTCTAAGTCCACTAATTGGAAGGTTGTTGGTTCGATCCCCGGCTCCTCCCGCCACGTTTCAAAGTAGTAGAAGCGCTTTGAGTGGTCGGAAGACTCGAAAGGCGCTATACAATGGTAAATACAGGTCCATTTACCATTTACCATAAAATGATGGACATAAATATCCAAAAAATATGTCACTTAGTCAGGGGTTGTCAGTTTACTCAATGATAGGGGTCCAATGAGAAAAAAGTTTGGAACTAGTGCCCTAAAGTTCTGTGGCTGTGCCTATCATGACAGGTGCTCTAGTTTGAGTGGTTCAAAAACGTATCTCTTACAAATCCTGAGCTATCCCAGTGTCGAGAAAGCAAGCACAGGGCAGGGAGAGAGGGAGGTGGCAGACATAGAAATCAGCTCACATATTATGAATGCAGTAGGAGTGATGAAACGTAGAAGCTTCATGGGGAATGCAAGGGAGTTGTAGTGACACAATAAGACATATACTTATATTGTATCATATATACATGTATACACACATGCACATACAACTTTTCCTTGCTTTCTTCCCCTCAGCTCTGTATTTCACCATGTTTCAAATAACATTAACTGGTTGTAAAAAGCTGACTCACCCTCAGTGTAACTGTTCAGCCATAAGACATGCTGTGGGGTCACTGGTTCACCAGGTCTCCATTCTGCCACCACCTCCCCTTCCTGTGCTTCGCTGAACACTGTGCCCCCTGAAATAAATCCGTTCAAATCCTCCATGCCTCCGTCGACCACCATCTCTTCAACTTTCTCCCCTCCCTCTTCTTGCTCGTCTTCGCTTTCCTCCTTCTGTGTCTGGCAATCCTTGCCATTTCCAATTGTGGTTTCTTCCCTGTCCTCCATCTGGTATGCTAACTGCCAAATTTCCTGATTAGTCAGGCTCAATTTGTTAAAAGTGTCTGTTTGCAAAGTGTGGCAAGTGCAGCTGCAAAGGATGTAATCCACAGGTGTCTTAAACTCAGGCTGGGGGTGTCTAAACTGATTATGTGGATTATCTGGATTTGGCAATCTGACTCATTCCCTAATCAAATCTGGACACAGGCTATGGTATCACATAATGAAGAACTATGAGCACATATATTGGACAACATCCTCAAAGCTAAAGAAAGAAATGTTATTTGTTTGTGTTCAGTTCTCTAGATAAGAAAAGGGGTCTTATAATGAGCTGATGCTTTAAAATCAAGTGTTGGATGTCCTAGAACTTTAATAAATCTGAAATATTGTATTTGGTCCTCTAAAGTCCATCCCATGTGTAATGAAGGCCCTCTTCATTATTGTACTTGTACGTATCTGAAGCACATTGCATATATTTTATACTTGCTTTAATCAGATTTAAACCAGATCAATGTGTAAAAATTAACATGATACAATAAAAAAATGCTTAACTTTTGGGGTTAAATGTATTTAATTGATTGTAACATTTTCAAGTATATTAAGGATGTGGTACATTTTGTAGACATTGTAGCTGCCTCTTAGTTGCATCAGATTGAAGGCCAGCCATATGACAGGAAACACACACTTAGTTGGCTAGTGCTGTTTTTATATCAACATAAAATTATGTTTTCATCGCTGTTGAACCCATGCCAAAATGACTTATTTCAATGATTCAATGTTTAAACACAGTGTCTGCTGTAATTAACACAATAGTACAATGTCTCCTGTTTAAATCACTTACCTGTCATATCACCTGTCCAGTGACATATAAAGTAGTCATTAGTAAAACCACAATTGGTATACTTAATTCAACATCTTAACTTCAGATTCAGATCTTAAATTTCATCCAAAACAATTGAATTTATCATTTTTAAACAATAAAAACAAAACTGTAGCGAGCAGACACACTCTGGGAACTAAACTGAAAGTAAACTGAATTGAAAAGGAAGAAAATAAAAAAATACTAATAAAAAAATACAAAACTCTAATAACTCTGCACCATATAGGTAGGCTATACATTTTTAGGATTTAAACTGATAGATGGCAGTGTGGCAGCATGACTGCAAAATGAAATTGCTGCTTAGACTAGTCACAAGAAACTTTGCTTGCAATAATGTGTTAAGTTAGACTAACAGTGTGTAGTTTTTCATTTAATTAAAAATTAAAACAATTTCAGGTTAGAGCAACAGACCCTCAAAATGCCTGCACATGTCCCTGCTTGCTTTTATTTGTCGCTCTCTGACTACGGCAATATGCTGTATTCAGGGTTGATAAAAGCAATGCCTTCATTTAACAAAATGTAGCTATTCAGCTTATAATAATTTTAAAGAGACAATCATACCAAGCCTTTTTTAACCTCTCTTCACTGGCTACCAGTCTGTTTTAGAGTTGATTTAAAGATTTTATACATTTAATCTAAAGGACTTCAATGATGCACAGGCATAGCCTTTCCAGCTGTTCTTAAGTCCCTGTTCAAGACAGAAGGAAATTGAGCTTTTGCACTCAAGGTCCCCCAGTTTTGGCTTGCCCTGTCTAAGGATCTGAGGTTAGCACAATATGGAATATCATCTTAAATCACTTTCTAAAATTCATCTTGAATTTTGCATGTGAATGTAACAGTTTATGATATGTACAGTAGAATAGGATTTGAGAACTTGTGATGCTAAGTTTGAGAAAGTTAAATTTTTATTAGTTTTTGCATGTGAAAGAGTCAGTAGCTTACAACTTCTTTGCAAATGTGCTCAACAAGAAAAATACCATAGATAACAAAAATGTTGCTCACTGACAAAATAGTGTTCAAATTCTTTGTCTTCACTGGCTCAGCCTGTCCCATGTTCCCAGTCACACTCCTTCACATACCTGTCTTTCTCTCTGATGTGTTTACACCAGGCTGCAGTTATTGGCTTATCTCTCAGAGTTCAGTGCATAGTGGATTCAAAGCTCAGAAACAATTATGCCTGCAACCATATGATGTAGCACCTCAATGTTTAAGGAAGAATTCCAGTTATTATGTAACATTTCCACATTGAAATGTATATAAGCTCTACACCTATGTTATATATGTTTTTGAGTTGTGTACTTACATCATTACATTTTATCCCAAATGTTTCCAACAATGTTCAAACCCACAGAAATCTGTCACTGTATTTAGGTAATGGTTTACCGGTCTTCAAAAAAAAAAAGTTTTATCCAGTTTTAAGCCACGTTTATACCCTGCACATTTTCTTGGGGGTTTTTGTCCGCTAAACAGCAACTGAGAAACACTGATTTTTAGATGGAACTATTTTTTCAGTGTTTTTACTAGTTCTAATCAGTGGAGCGTTTGTTTTGAAGAGGAGGAGACCTCTGTGGATAATTCAGCTCCATGTAGAAACCTCCTGAAGGAATTCTAACCAGGAGAAGCTGACGGCAATGATTGTAAAGACAACAACTCCTATGATGCTACTTCACCACGTCATCAAACTTTGTCATTTTGTATTGTTTTGATGTGAGAGACCTCCTAGTGGCAGAAATTATATACTGTACAGTGGTTATTGAACTACAAATAAGGGGTGAAGCAAGAAGACTTTTCACTCTCTTGTCCAGTCTACTGCTCCACGTTTATATCTTTCTACTCTGTCTGTTTGTCTTTCCTCCCCTCTGGCATCAGATCCAAATCCTCCTCTGAATCTTCCTCTTCCTCTTCCTCCAGTGTGCAGCCCCTCATATGGCCCCAGAGTGGAGCCAGTCTCCCCTCTGCTGTCACAACCATCGGCTGAATGATCTGGTCTCTGGATAAGACAGAGGAGGGGAGTGTAGCATCTAATTAGTTTCTCTTTGGATTTGTCCAACATTATGGGTAATGACATACACTCACCGTGATAGTCTGTTGATCATGCTGACGAGGCGACGTGCCTCCTCCTCCTTCTCTTCCTCACTCATGCCCTCCATTGGGTCAGGCTGCTCTGCCTCCACCCGGCCAGTCACCAGGTTAATCCGGGCTTTGGCCTCCCGGTATTCTTCTGTATCTGAGTCTGAGTCACTAGAGTACTGGGAATACTGACTGTCGCCTGAGTTCCTTCTTCCATTCAGCAGTCCCCGAGCTGCCAGCAGTCCAGCAGCATTCCCATAACCAGTATATTTGACAAAGCGGCTGACTGTGAAGGGGCACAAGATGTAAACTTTAGTGCTTTGAACTCTTTAAAGTCCAGGTGAAATGAAAAAGGACTTTTTTACCCTTTAAGATTGCATCCTCAGTTATATTGTAACCCTATTTGTTTGCTATGTATGAGGCACTTTGTGTTACGTTTTGCTTGTATGAAAAGTGCTATCCAAATAAAGTCTGATTAATTGATTGATTGAACTGTCATGTTAGATGTCGTTAGCTAGTTAGCTTGTAGAGCTAAAATTAGCTGACTCCCTGATCAAGCACTCTGATTTCCAATTTCATGTGGACTTATGAAGTGGTTCATAGTTTACATCTCACTTCAGGTCTCTTGATGCATATTTTTTACAGCTGTTTCTTGTGTGTCACAGCGATTCCATCATGATGAATTGATTTCACACTGAAATTTCACAGTTCTAAAAGCTCCTTTGATCAGACCGTAAGAGCTTTCACCATAGTCCCCTTTGACCAGCTTTGCGGAGTTGCAGTGGGTAGGGTTTAGTGGCACCTAGTGGTGCAGTTGCAGATTGCAACTCCCTCACTTCACCTTCTCCTTCCAGGCACAAATGGGAAACTATTTTGGTCAGTGTTTGGTTTGTCCCTTCTGGGCCACATTAGAAACATGACGGTTTAACAGGGCATACTCCATGGAAGGTGAGATAAAAACAGCTCATTGTAAGCTAACAAAAACATAATTCCTATATTCTGGTTATTAAACACTAATGAAAACATCCCTATAATTATGAAATTCCATTTCTGGCCACATTGCAAATGTCACACACAGGACCTTTAAATATGCACTCACGTACAATATGACTGATCATGGCCTATAGGCAAATGTTTCTAAACTGGGTGTCCATGGAAGTGAGTGAGTGAGTCTGTGGTGAACTGTGACTGTACCATTCTCTTTGCAGAGCACAAAAAGCAGCTCAGCAGCACAGTGCTTCACATCTGTGTCAACGTGGGTCATCAGGCGGACCAGCTGGCCTCTCAGTGTTGTGTCCTGCTCAGGTCGGATGGCAACGTCCCTCAGTGGAGGTAAGATCTGGGCCAAAAGTTGGGTCAGATGAAAGGTCATTAGTACTGTAACCAGACTACAGTCACTCATGAGTCGTGCAAAGGTAGGTTCAGTCATTCTGAAAACCATGGGGCAGAAAAGGTGCAGCTTACTGTCTTTTTCAGTGCAGGATTAGTGCATGTTATGTTAGGAGTATCATGATAATTCTGTTACCTCATACACAACCACACACACATACTCATTTTTTATTGAATGGCCCTCATGATGATATCATGGAACATCTATGATAGTATGAATTGCATTATGATTCTACTGTTTGACTGAAACTGATCCAGCTTCTTGGTACACACCTGGGTTTCAGTTTTTATTACTCACTTTCAGGCAAAGTGCTGAGGGATTTGAACAAAACTACCAGCGTCAATGTGCCCAGGGTGGGCTTTTGTATCTTGCTATTTTCTTAGCAGTATTAAATCACTGTTACAGTACAGGTTAAATATTTTCTGAGGGCTACGGTTCTGCTCATAGTAATTCAATTACACACACACAATTAATTTTGAAAAAAATACATTACCTTCTGCCGTAAGTAGTGACGTGTCTCCCTGTGCACACGAGAACTCTCAGTCAACAGATTCAGTACAGGAATTAGTTTCTCCTTCAGCTTGTGACCCTGTATGACAACACATTAATGTTTCACAGGAACCAGTGTAAATAAATAAGACCTGAAATAGCAAGATTCCACCTCATTTCATGTGTCAACATAGGTGCTTCCTACAATATATAATGATATTTAGAGTGAATGACCACTTTGTTACCACTGAAGTCTTCAGTTTGACATTGCCTTATTTTCTGTGAGAAGGATATGAGCAGTCAGGGCAGACTACAATTACTCAATTAATCTTTTGTTTGGGAGTATTTTTGTGGGTGGGTGCAACAAATTGTATGCATGCATGTATGAAATTACAATAAATAAAGAAGGTCTCGCAACCCTCTGTGAAGCTTTGGTGACCCCTAGTGGGGACCCCCAGGTTGGGAACCAGTAGTTTAAGGTATGAGAGCTCTGTCGTAGGACATTTTTGTAACATTAGGGCTATCTTCTGTTTTGATACTTTACCTATTAAAAGCCCCTCTGTACTTTCAGAGGCTTATCTGATCTATCTTAAACTGAACTGCCAATAGATTTTGCCTTTCACTTTACTGACATTTATTCTAACACAACTTAGCCACCCAGGTCATCTGCAATCCACCATTTTAGCATGAAAAGTAATTATAGGAAGTGTTGCAAGCTAAAAAGTTGATTCAGTTTTCTATTACTATAACTGAATGTCAAGGTTGTACCGCAATGTTTAGCTATGGCAGTTGTGATAAAGTTATTACACTTTGGAAAAAGCTACTTTGTTTCTGCCCATATAGTCTTCAACTTGTGATCACACTGGCACACACAGAGAAATTAGAGCCGAAATAATAAATATCCCAGGTTCCCAAGCTTTTTTTTTTCAGTAAAAGGTAGTAGATTGTTGCTGTGGCTCAGGAGGTATAATGGGTTGTTCACTAATCAGAAGGTTGTGTGGCATGTAGTTTAAATGCGCTTTGAGTGGTTAGAAGACTAGAAAGGTGCTATACAAGTACAGCCTCTTGAAAATACAGAGATCATAATTCCAGGAATTAACAAAACAGTAGCTGCCTTTTTATTGCTGGGATTGGTGAAACCTTTTTACATGAAGGCATGTTGTGAAAATCTCTTATCAAAGAAAGAAAAGTGGTGCTGTAAAAGGCACAGTCCTTTTTATTCACATTACTACATATGTATTCATTATGTATTATGTCAAATTAGGTGAAGAAAATTATGGCTTGCCTCATTTTTATGAGTCTTAGTTTTGGGGGATAATAGTGGTATAATTATTTTAGGTAAGACTGAAAGTCTTGACTTTGCTTTCCTATTAGTAGTGTACTCCATTCCAGTACATCAGTATTTCACATACATTGTTTTTTTTCCCCAAACACAAGTATACAAGTATTATAAGTAATCATACAGGGACGATGACACCAAGTATTCACTACACCTGTGTATTTACTTTAACACACAGACACACAGACACACACACACACACACACACACACAAACACTTGCCCTGTTCAGGCGTTGGTCCATAAATAGCAGCAATGTGTGGACACAATCCATGTTTACTCCCTCCCACTTGTGGGAAGCCTGGTCCACATGGACTGATAGCAGGACATCCAGACATGTCAATGGCAGTGCTGACAGGACATTAACTGTATGTCTATGAGAAGAACATAATAAAATATTATGTTTCCCTAGCTAAGGTATCAACTTTGGCTCCCTTATCTGTTTTGTAGGCTCATGTAGTTACAGTTCCATCTTTTACATCAGGTGGACATACTGTAGATTATGTCGTCCATTTTAAGTTTTATTATGTAACTCTCAGAAAAAAATTGTAAATAGTGAAATAAATGGCTGTTTTGGCATCAGCCAAAAATGACATAGCATACACAAGACTTAACGTTAAAATAAATTACAATCATATTTAGAATAACGCTACTGTCTGCAGTGTTACTATATTTTATGTGGACCAGTGACTTCCTGCAACAAACTAGCCTGCTGTTAACAAGTCACCCCATCAGCCAACACCACAAAGCAACCAACGCCAGACCCACACCGCGCAACCCCAGCTTAGCTTAGGCTACAGTTAGCTTGTTGGATGCCCCTGCCTAGCATCACTTTTGGCTAGAAGAAAGCAATCATACGCTTTGTACTGTTACAACACTGTCTGTCATAACACATAAGTTAGTACCATGGATCACGTTAGCTGGGGAAGTAGTTCTGTTAGCTAACTTTAGTCAACTAATATACTGACTCAGTACTTTGCTAGTGACAATGTTAGTGAGTAAACAAGCTAGGGCTAGCCACATTATCTGGCATCTAAACGTCAAGCGACAAAGTAACCTGCAAACAAGAAGTCAGTCAATTTACCAGCCAAATTAGCCCCAAGAGTTTGGATGAAGCTAGCTGACTAGTATTTTGCTATGTTAGCTAACTGGCAATTTATCATCATTAGCAAGCAAGTTAACGTTAGCTTGCTTAAACTTAACAATATCATTTATACAACGATCAGCCATAACATTATGACCACCCTGGTATTGTCATGCAGCCCCATACGCAACAAAATGTCATGCACTGTGTTCTGACACCTTTCTGTCAGAATTAGCATTAACTTTATTGGCAATATGAGCTACACTAGCTTGTCTATTGGATTAGACCACACAGGCCAGCCTTCACTCCTAAGGTGCATCAATGAGCCTCGGCCGCCCATGACCCTGTCTCCAGTTCCCCGCTTTTCCTTCCTTGGACCACTTTTGATTGACACCTCTGACCACTGCAGACCGGGAACACTCCACAAGAGCTGTAGTTTTGGAGATGCTCTGACCCAGTCCTCACAATTGTCCTTTCTCAAAGTCACTCAAATCCTTACACTTGCCCATTCTTCGTGCTTCTAACACATCAACTTGAGGAAAAAATGTCTACTAGCTGCCTAATATATCCCACCCACTGACAGGAGCCATGATAAGGAGATAATCAGTGTTCACTTCAGTGGTCATAATGTTATGGCTGATCAGTGTATTTCACAAGCTTTGCAGAAATATTAGCTTTGACTTTAGACTCTGTTGGCAGGTGCTTGTCATTTTAGACGTTAACAGACTCCACTTATAAGCTAACATTAACTAGTGTTGTACATAGTTGACACTGTAGGGAAGCAGAGAGAGAGGGCACTCAGGAGCGTGGTCTCATTTTTTACATTACATTACAACCCGTTCACTCATTGGCAACAAATATCGATTAATAGGCTACATAAAATAATACGTACCGTGCTTCAGAATATTACATACAGAGCCTTTAAGATTTTGTCAAATAAACGTAGTTATGCTTAAAGCTGTAGTCTGACCCTTGAAGTTCCTCCAACACGTCTTCTCCATCACATGACAGCAGCAGGCAGTGGCGCAGCACAGCTGCTAGGTGGCGAAACAGAGCAGCCTCCTCCTGAAAAATAAAGGGCACATTTTACACATAAAGGTTGGTTTACTTGTCATGGTTAACACTGCTGAGCCTGTGTAATGTTTATTACACAATGTTTGTTTAGTCTAACTCATAATGATGAAACAACAAATTCATAACAGAAAGACTAGGGATGTTGAGTGAGCATTTACCAAAAATGGGGGGTCTAATGAAAGACACTGTCAAGTTGCATTATGGGAAATGAAGGATGCCGTGTTTTGTCATGGGTTTGTGGCAAGGCCCAAACCCATGAGCTCTGATTGGACTTTCACAAGTTGCAAAATACAATTCAATTCAATTCAATTTTATTTGTATAGCGCCAATTCATAACAGAAGTTATCTCAGGACACTTTTCAAATACAGTAGGTCTAGACCGAACTCTTTAAAACATTATTTTAATGTTACAGTCTCCCACATGGAAGTTGGACACACTGCACTACCATCCACCACCCTGAACTCCTCACTATCTGTTTTAATATAGAAGGACTAGCACTGAAGGTGCTGGGCTGCACATCTGCAGCTACAGTAGGATGGTATGCATTGCTATGTAATTTAAAGCCAAAAAAGCGAAGACGATATGACTTATACTAAATAAATAAATGTGTGCATATTAGCTTTACAGTTAATCTTTATGCTTTAGAAGGGACACTGCTATCATAGACACCAAACACTGAATAGCCCGTACCCACTGAATAAAGAAATAAAATGGCATAAATCCATGGCTCATGTACCCAGGTCTCATGTAAATAAAATTATTTTTCTTATTCATAATGTTTCAGGAAGTCCTTTGTGTCGTGTTTATTGTGCATGTTCATATCGCTGTAACAATAAAAATAAGATCGGTCAGCACTACATGACAAACAATGGAAATAAAACCAATGTTGTAATAAACTGGATTTTTCTTTTCATCTATATGTAGCTAGCAAAGATACAGATCTCAGATCTCAAATGGACTGCAATGGAAGAAAGCAATTTCTCACTTAAATTGTCAAATCTACCAATAGGATGTGAACAATGTGTGTTTCATTTGTTTCTTTGATCCAACTGGTGTGATGACTGCCTACTGCCTACACAGTTCAACAGTACTATGGAATAGAGGTGAATGCAACTAGCAAACCGCAAATTAATCCATTTATTTTGGTGTTCAAGGGGTCACCTCATCTGGCTCCTGCCTGTGAAACCTGTGAGCAATGTTGAAGAGTGTCTTGAGGATCTCGATGACTTCCTGGGACATATCCTTGGTGATGGGAGGAGCTGTGGTATCAGTAAGCACCTCATATCCTTCACCCCACCTCACAGCCAGGCACTGCTCGAGGGCTTTAGTCAGCACTGACACTCCACACTCCTGACAGGGCAAAAAAACAAAACAAAACACTGAACACTGAGGAAGATGTAAACCACTGATCTGTCAGTCTCCTCTGTGAGACGGAAAAAAGTTTCACAGAGTGAGTCATGCCATCTGCAATTGTATCTGAACATGTTTCTTAACATTAATTGAGACTTTTGTGACTTATGTTGTTGATGAAGAACTTGTTGAAGTCTGCAGTGCTTATGAAATCTCCTGGTGCTACTAATGGTATTTGCAAGAATCCACCAGGCCTGAATGAAAACAACCAATAAGAGCCAAAAAAGATAATTGCTTTGTTGTCAAATATTGATGCTTGTAATGACACTTAACAATTAACTTCAAGCCACCAGCCCAAAGCATCTTTCCATCTTTCTCAGCTCTGACTGGTTGTTTTTGTTCAGGCCCGGTGGACTTCCATATAATTTCTTGTCAAAGCCCCAGGGAGCCACTGGAGAGCGGCATCATGTGGCTCTAGAGCCCCAGGTTGCTTACCCCTTCTACAATGCAAAACAAGTTGACCTTCCATAGTTTTTAAAAGAATCTTACCTGCTGTAGCTGCAGCCTGAGTTCAGGTCTCAGAGCTGTCAGTAAGAAGAGCAGTCTCAGCTTGTAAAACTGGCCACTGGATGGTACCCTGCTCCAGATCCCCTTCTTCAGACTCTCCCACAGACCTTGTAGGATTCTTCAGTGGAAACAGGAATGAAAATAAAAGTGAGGCCAGGGGTTGGTCAGCAGCTGGTAAACATCATTCAGATATTACATTTTGTGTTATAAGGAACACCTAATATTATTCTAATATAAATGGATCATTAAAGGAATACTTCTAACAATGCATATTAATTATTTTGAGAAAATAATCATTCTCTATTTGTCATGATATCAGTCAATAGACAGTGGTGAAGTCTGTATTTCTATATATACAAGTGCCAGTTAACTAATGCCAATCCATGTCAAACTGTAAGTGCCAAAAAAACTGGTTCTTTACAACTTTAGCTAGGGATCCAAAGGGTTGTGATAATGGGTTGGTAAATGCTGTTGTTCATATGTGATGCCTTAAAGCTAAACATGTTGCAGTGCCACTTGGCATCATGTCAAATTCACTGAAACCATTTGAATGTGCCATTCTGGTTTGTTGGTTTTATTTTTCGTTACTATATTATTTAATATAATAATATTTTTAATGGCCAACAAATTGAAATTGACCATTCCTAAGCCCCGCCCCTTTTAGAACTTCGGCCAACTTCCTTCTTTCCTGTACTACAACTATTAGTATAGTTGCTGCTACTGTTGTTGTGCACCTTTGTCTCTGTCTCTGTCCTTCCTTCTTTCATCTCCATCACTGAGGCCAATGCCAACCAACAGGTTACCAATAATTAACAGCAGTTGGTATAACATGCAGTTGGTGATGTGTCATTTTACAGACCAAAGTGACTGTCAGCACCAGCAGAAAATGAGAAGCTACCTGAAAGTTTTGTACACTGATCTAATAAAATAGAGAATAGATAAAAGCTTTGAGAACAGATTTTTTCCTTTGTTCCAGGTCTGTTGCCAACCTGGAACTGGTTTCAAAATGGAATCAGTTATTGGAACTCAGCCATTGTGGCACTTGCTGACATGGAGCAGCAAAAACTACAGTACAAGGCTTTGTGTCTTGTAACTGTAATGACCTTTAGTAACAGCTAAACCTTGGTTCTCATATATTATGGATAAGTTTACCCATTTTAAAAAGTGTCACCTGAGCACGCTGGCCCTCTCCTGTGCCCTAGGGCTGTTGTAGATGACATTACACAAGACTTTCACGGCCTCCTTCCTACACACCTCCCCATCATCCTCCTTCTCTTCCTCCTCACGGTTCTCTTCCCGCATGTCCTTCTTCCCACGGGAAAGCACCACGCGACCTCCATCATCCATCCATTTATAGCAGTGATCTGAGCCATTTGTGGTGGCAGCAACAGTTACTTTCACAGGATTGGAAAAAGAAGCCACAGAGCTAACAGACATTTGTGCAGCATCTGCATCTCCTCTGTGGATCTGGCTGTATGTTCTGGCTGAATGATCATCAGTTGTTTCCTCCTGCTGCTGTGGGCATGCCTGCAGTAAACTGATGCCTCCCAGGTGTACCAAGGTGGAAAGAGCGCTATCAGTGACCATGGGCGCTAGGGCCCGCCGGTCGCGGGACAGGATACGCAGCGTATGAAGGCAAACCCGTACCACTGCTGGTTGTAGCTGACTACTGATGAAGCACAGCAGGGCTGTGGCCAGACGCTGGAATAAATTTTATTTGTCCAGCAGGACATGTTACAGTGATGAAAGTTGAGACGGGAAGAGAAAAGGTGTAAAATGAAAGAATAACAAGTGAAAAAAATGACAACAGGAACACACACAGGAAAGTAGACAATTTTATATAATGCTACAAAATGCCTTTTTACTAGATGCATATCTACTTGTCTGCAACATTTACTTCAAACATCTTAGTAGTGAAGTTTCCAATGCACACAAATATACAATCATTGGCCTACTTGTCTGAGAAGAAGATCGGGTTCGTCATCGTCTGAGTCAATGTTAGAATCCGAGTCTGGAGCACTTTCCCTCACTTTGTTCTTCTTGAACTGATCAACAGAAGGGTAGAGTTACCACCTGTTACTGCAGACATTGCTGAAATATTGACACAAAGGCATATTTGATCAGTTGAGCACTGATGTTCCATCACCTCCTTTCCCCGTTGGAGCAGGAAAAGTACTGATTTGCATAGTTTGATGTATTGTATAAATGCTAGACCGTGCAAAATCACAATATAAATATGTGAAGATTCAAATAGGTAAGAAAGGCTTGTTCAACTGTTATTGGGGCACAGAGCAAAAAGGGGCAGGATTTAGAAAGAGTCAATTAACTTTAGTCCAATAATATAACTTCACAATACATGTATTTTACTTGCTTATTATTTTGTTATTATCTTTTTCACACATTTATGCACTTATTGAGATGCCATTTAAAAGGTTACCAAATGTCTTGACAATATTCATTATCATAAGAACACAGGTATAGTTGGTGTAGCTTAAAGATATCTGTAAGGTTAAGGTTAGTGAAGGTTAACAGAGTTAACATGCTGAGTCAATAAGTGTCTAGGCAGCTTTGGAACACACAGCTATCTATGATTACACAAACTCAAACACATGCATGCACACACTGGGAGTGACTAAGTATTAAGCCCTCTTATAGATTACTGTAATACAGCTAAACTCATAGTCAGCTCATCTATCTCTCTCTCTTCCTCTCTCTCTTTCTCCTATTGGTTTATTTACCTCTTCCAGTTGTTGTTGCTGCAGTCAGTTGTCCATAAGCAGTGACAGAAGTGCATGCATAAAAAACAGTATTGAGAGGTTCTGGGTTACTGGAGAAACATGACGGCCTCCATAGAGGAGGACCCGCTTCCTCTGTAGATAAAAACCTCTCATTCTAAGGCAATGAAAACACAACAATTATTCTTTTCAGGTGATTATACACAAATGAAAACAACACATACAAATATGATATTTCTGACAATAGATCCTCCTAAATGTTACACATTTGACCATTAAAGCTGTAGTAGCTAATTTTTTATGAAAATAGTCTTTTGTCATATTTGCTGAAATTTTGACTATATGCTGACAGTAGTACATGAGACAGATAATCTGCGAGAAAATCAGGTTCCCCTGGCTCTTCCCAGCACTCCTAATGGTGCAAGAACCCACCAGGCCTGAATGAAAACAGACAGTCAGAGCCAAGAAACATTAAAAGACGCTTTGGGTTGGTGGCTTGAAGATAGTTGATTGTGGAGTCTCATTCCAAGTGTCAGTGTTTGATGATCTGGAAAAGAGACTCAACAATCAACTATCTTTCTTGGCTCTGATTGGTTATTTTCGTTCAGGCACGATGGATTCTTGCAAAAACCATTAGGAGCACTGGGAGGAGCCAGAGGAAGCTGATTTATCTGTCTTGTACTACTGTCAGGATGCAGTGAATGTTTCGGCAAATATGGTAAATGGTAATGGACTGTACTTATATAGTGCCTTTCTAGTCTTTCAACCACTCAAAGCGCATTTAAACTACATGCCGCACTCACACACTGATGCCCAGGCAAAGAATGTCAGAACACATCAGAAACGGAAACTAAGCATTCACATGTGCATGATGCGTAGCATTGGGATTCATTTTGGTTTCAGTATCTTGCTAAAGGACACTTCAACATATAGCAAGAGGAGGCGGGGATCGAACCGGCAACCTTCTGATTAGCGGTTGTGGATCTACCTTAGAGCCACAGCTGTCCCCAAATATGACATAAATTAATTTTATGGAAGTTATCTACTGCAGCTTTTTGACAAATATAAAAATACTCTGATAGATTCTGGAATTTTTAGTGAGGAGGAGTAGATGACTTTATAACAACTTAAAAGTGGAAATTATTATTTTTTTCCTTATTAGACAAACAATATTGCTCCAAGCAGTATATGTCTTAATACATTACTGTAGTCGGTCTTTAAAAAAAAATCAGCTTACATGTGAGGATCAATATTTTTTATGAAAGCTTAAGGATATATCGATATGGGGGGTTAAGGAGTAAGGTTGGGCAGGGGTGAAGATTGCAGTAGAGGAGAAAATGGCAAAATACAGAAAGACAATGATGGAAAGTGGGAAAGGAAAAGAAAGTCAGCTGTTTTTGTGTACTGACCTTTTTTCTCTCCTGGGCCTCAGTGTTGAAAAAGAAGCACTCTGCATACTGTGGGGAAACAAAGGATATGGCATATCTAAACATACAAATAATTGTAAAAAGTAAAGTAATTAATAAGTAATTAAGTTTCATGGTGTTATCTATTAGTTAAAATTTTGACCCCATTCACTTGTATTTAAATTTTACAATATGTATCTTTAAAGGATGTTTACTCAAAATGAATTTTTCATTCTAACATTCCATAAATCTCCAGTTCAGTTGTAATTACATACATTAAACCTTCCGGCTTTCCACAGAAGGGTTTGTTCATGTATCATATATATTCTGATATATATATATATAACATTTTATTAATAAAAAACATGGAGGAATTTTAATTTTTTTATGGCTAATAACCATATTTCCTGCTTGATAAAAAGAGATATCCAACAATTCTCTAAATAAAAACCTACCTTTAATATGTCAACAAAGTGACAACAATGTTGAACCTGGCTTTATCAGTCCAAATGTGCATTTTAAGTTCCTCATTTGCATTATTATTTATAATATTATATACTGTATGAATATTTCTTGTAAAAGACTGATGCAGAAGTCATAGTAACCTGGGTGTTGTATCTGTCCAGTAGGAGCTGGACAGTGTCCTGGTCTCCTTGGGTGATGCTTTCAATGATCCTCTCTATGTCTGGCACCATGCCTGCAGCCCAAAAATAAATAAATACATTTTTAAAAAATGGTCCAGTGCTTAGAAATAACAAGCCATTATCACCCAAGAGGAGCATTTGTCATTATGACATGACATAAACATTCTACCTTGTTCCACATCTCTGTTTGCATGAAGATCAATGTTATAAATATTTAATGAAAAGTAACATACCTAGAATTTGAATGACACCGAACCACTTTGCATAAAAACTTACTCCAACAGAATTGACTATGAGTTCCTGCACTCACCTGTTGGTGTTCTTAAGAGCAGTGGACACTCACAGCCTCTGACAGCCTCTCCTCTCTGATAAAACAATGGCTCCATAATCTCATTTCTCTTCTTGCCTCACACCTTCCCTCCCTCCTTACACTCTAAACCCAGGATTTATTCTGGCCACCTACCAGCACTCTTCAGCTGTAAGTGAGAAAGTCCTCACATGCCTTCAGCAGAATGTGTGGAAACATCCTACACAGCTCAAATCTCTACTCGTACAAATGAAATACCAAAGTCTAAAGGGCTGACTGACAGGAAATTTAATGAACAGATCCATCCTCAGGCCAAAATGTCAATTTTGTAAACAAGGTATAACATACTAAATTGACTGTAATCAAATAGCTAATCATAATGTGTATGGAATGGACAAACAAAACACTGGCTGTAGACAGGGTCTTTTGTGTTTTTTGCATATTTTACAGCCAGCGTAGTCTCTCCTACATGCTTGGAACACACGTTGTATTTAGTTGGTTGCAATCTGCAACTTCACCACTAGATGCCACAAATCCTACATACAGGACCTTTAACGCATCCTGAAGTTTGTCAAATGGACTTTTTCAGTATAGAACCAAATCAGCTCTAACCGCCAGAAGTCTTTTTATGTTTTATCTTAAACTCTTGAACTCAATTGTTGTTGAATCAGAACTATCTAAATGACAGAAACCATCTTTGGGAAAAATGTATTTAATGTGTACTTTGATTTGTTTAGTTTGGCCCATGTTCCCCATCTGCTAACATAGAGGCAACAGGCTTTATGACCTATATTGCAGTCATCCACCAGGGGGCAATTGAAGGTCATGGCCAAACTTTTGCATACAACTGTATGTGATCACTACTCCCTTTTTACATCTCCCAGCGAAGATCAAAGCTAGTTCACAGAGAAGAAACTGAAAGGTAATTTGATTAACAATTGCACTTCATTGTACAATCCTATATTGCACGACAATTAAGCTGAAAACACTGAACCTACCTTCAGGATCTTAATAGTTTAGTGAAATGACTTGAGCAGAGGTGGTTTATTCATCGTCACGTTTATCATTTGAACAGTTTTATTTCATTATGTCAAATACAGGAATTTCATGTACAGAAGAGCAACTGGGAACTAGAGAATGAAATAACTGTACAATATTTACACATCAAAACAACAAAATTGCTCTGCAAGAATATCCTCTGAGAGGTTAAATAATAGGAAATATCCATCAACGACAAACAGATAAAAATGACTAACATTAAACACTGACATTTATGCTTTTGGATCATTTCACCTTAAACTTCCTTTATGAAAGTCGTGCTTTATTTTTTTGTGCCTCCTCTTTACAGGCATTAAATCCTCTCTCTAATTGTCTTTTGACACAAACAGAAAGAATACAGCTTAGTTTTAAATACTTTTCCCCTTTTCAACTGCTGTTTAACTGAGACAGGTAGACTATCACATAGTCCTTTTAAACCTTCTTTTGTCTCGCTCAACTCTAGTTTTATCTCCGTCGGTCTGATAGAAGCAAAAAACTGCAAGAGGGCCATTTTATGTATACCCCTTTAAAACATTTTTCAAAAAAAAAAAATAACAGCAAACAATCCCATTATAGGACAGTCATTTTTAGAAATGTCCTTGTATAAATAATACAAACCATAGTTGCCGATACATACTTATAGACAGCTTGTGTGTGTCTTTCAATACTCTTTAGGTCTTGACAAAAATCTCTTTTGTAGTGTTGACCAAATTGTCTTGTTGTCCCTTTCTTTGACTTTTGAGGAAAATCCATCACATTCACATAGTTCACTAGCTTCTATTTTTCAATAGGTTTCTTAAAATCAAGAGGTACTTTACTTAATAATAAAACAAATACTTTAAAAGTGAAACCCCCCACAAACAAACCAACAGTGGCTGTTCTCACTTTCAATCAGCGCACTATGAGCATCCGTACAGTTTCTGTAGCGTGATTCTTTTGTTTCACAAACTCTGGATGCCTTCATCTACCTAACACTGCAGGTGGATGTATGAGTTTGGTGGCCTGGTGCTGCAGTCCTCCTTCAGGCCTTGGTGCTGAGACTCAGCAGTTCCATGAAGGAGTTAAAGAGGCTCTCCAGCCAGCCCTGGTTAGCCATGCACTGCTGCACCACCTCCTCCTGGCCGGGGTCCTCCGCTGCCTGCTCGATACTGTCTGTCTGCTCAGGAAACAACAGGTCAGTTACATACAGTCAATGGCTGTAGTGAAGCTCTACAGAAAACAAATCAATGCTGTAATACCTGGCTTATAACCGCAGGGCAATATTTTTGTGTTTGAAAGTGGGTGAAGGTCAGAGATGTAGCCAAGGGGACTTGTTATGCCGTACAACCACAGTGACAGCACATTAGGGTTGTTTCTGCAGTAAATGACATTCATAGTTCATAATAGGATATTTGAACTATCACTTTTGTTGGACAGAGCTTTTTAACATTTCACATTACTACATTAATTCTGCATAAACATATTTTACTGGCTGGTACAGGAATTATGACAATCAGAACAAGGTACTGTCTTGATGAGTGGGGTCACCAAGGTCCAGTATTTCAAATTTTTCTAATCCATTTTTTAGCTTTCCCAGATAAAACTGATCTTGTAGGTCTTGTCTTGTTTTTTCAAATAATTTTCAAATAGGATCATTCTGATCCAGATAGCACAATATCAGGATTACAGAATATAGACTGACAGTCTTCGGATAGGCCTCTATCTGCTGGTCAAAGTAATACAAAATTTCAATAACACAGATGTGAAAATGCTGGGAAATGATCTCGATTTTGAAATACTGGGCCCTGGTTAATTATACACTAATGAAAACATACCTACGGAGACTATATTCCATTTCTGATATAAGATATATAAGATCCTCCTAAATGTTAAACACTGGACCTTTAATACATTTTAGTATTGATGAAGGAAATTCACATTTTTAAGAATTGCTAACCAAATTACATGTACACAAAGTAATAATTAATTAAACATTTACTGAAAATTAACCAATGAAAATCAGACATTCCTTTTGAATTGTGGTTCAACAGAATCATTTTAAAAAACAAACTTTTGAGGCTATCACTGCAATCAAGCGATTTCTGTAACTCTCAATGAGACTTCTGCACCAGGCAACAGGTATTTTGGCCCACTTCTCGTGAGCAAACTGCTCCAACTGTCTTAGGTTTGAAGGGTGCATTCTCCACTGCATGTTTCAGCTCCTTCCACAGATGTTCAATAGGATTTAGATCAGGGCTCATAGGAGGCCACTTAAGAAAAGTCCAATCTTTTGCTCTTTCATTTTCATCATCATTTTCCTGTTGGAGGGACCCATTACCTGCGACTGAGACCAAGCTTTCTGACACTGGGCAGCATATTGCGCTCCAGAATGCCTTGATAGTCATGGATTTAATTGTACCCTGCACAGATTCAAGACACCCTGTGCCAGATGCAGCAAAGCAGCAGAACATAACCAAGCCTCCTCCATGTTTCACAGTAGGTACAGTGTTCTTTTCTTTGTATACTTATTTTTTGCATCTGTGAATATAAAGCTTGTGTGACTTGCCAAAATGCTCAAGTTTTGTCTCATCTGTCCAAAGGATATTCTCCCAGAAGCTTCATGGCTTGTCAATATGCATTTTGGCAAATTCCAGCAGAGATATTCACATGTCTTCTTTTGCAAGTCCAAGTCAAGTCTGAAGTCTCTAAAAAATAAAAGTCATATGTCTCTTCTGGTTGTAATGAGCCTTCTGTCATCTGCTGCTATCCGGTCTACTAAGAATAATGCACAGCTATATCTAAGAAATTCAAAGCATTTACTGTATTATTATCACTCCTTTATCTATTAGCATACAGTATCAGTCCTGATTAGTTGTTTGTTATATATATCACAGGCTATTGCAATGCAATATGAAGAAAACACACAATGAATGCTTTCCTTTAAAGGAAACTGTATTCTTCCAACATGAACATACAGTTACAGTATATCTTGCCCCCTATTATGCAGGCTCAGTGGGACGAACTTTAACGAATAAAGAACAAATATAGAAAATGTTACACCTCACCCAGTCAAAGACATTGTAATTAACATCATTCCAATTAGTGCAAAACATCACACTTTAGCTAAATGCAAACAACTAATAAGCAAAACACTTAAAAGTACTTTAAACACTTGTATATGTTACTTCTGTGTTATTTGCAATTAAAAATGTATTCACAAAAAAACGTATGCGCTAATGTGACTGACCTATCCGGGTGAGTTTTCAAGTGCCTGATAAAATGTGATGTGGTGGATCCAGCATCCTTGATTCGGGTACTGCAGAATTTGCAGTCAGCACTCCTTTTGTTGGTGCCGTCCTGTTTGAATTTTTTATAACCAAATGTAATCACAAATAGTACAGCAGCAGCTGCAGGTGTGCCGCCGGTCGCCATAGTCGTTATCCAAGGTACTAGTGCGTGAGGCTGCAAGGCGTGCAACCAATGCGTAATATGGAGTTTCCTTAATATTGATACGCCAAAAAAGAAAACATAATGATTGTTCACGAGTCCCAAAAAAAACGAGTCCGAGTAGAGTCTGAAGTCTTTTGAGCACAAGTCCAAGTCAAGTCTGAAGTCTCTGTGTGTGCGACTTAAGTGCGACTCGAGTCGGAGTCGCAAACTCGAGTCCCCATCTCTGAATTCCAGTCTCGCTTTTTTATGATTAATCAGTGGTGTCCTCCTCGGTCGTCTTACATTCAGTCCACTTTGGCTCAAACAGCGACAGATGGTGCCCTCTAACACTGATGTACCTTGACCATGGAATTCACCTCTGATCTCTTTGGAAGTTGTTCCGGGCTCTTTGGTTACTATTGGTATTATCCGTCACTTCAATTTGTCATCATTGTCCTCTTGCGGCCACATCCAGGGAGGTTGGCTACAGTCCCGTGGACCTTAAACTTCTGAATAATATGTGCAACTGTAGTCACAGGAACATCAAGCTGCTTGGAGATGGTCTTATAGCCTTTACCTTTAACATGCTTGTCTATAATTTTCTTTTAATCTCCTGAGACAACTCTCTCCTTAGCTTTCTGTGGTCCATGTTCAGTGTGGTACACACCATGATACCAATCAGCACAGTGACTACGTTTCACCCTTTAGGCAGACTGACTGATTACAAGTTTGAAGACACCTGTGATGCTACTTACAGGACAGACCTTAGTTTAACATGTCCCTATGGTCAAATTATTTTCAATCTTTTCTAGGGGTACCATCATTTTTGTCCAGGCAAGTTTCATTAGTTTGCTTTTTAAAATGATTTTCTTGAACCACAATTCAAAAGCAATGTCTGATTTTCATTAGTTAATTTTCAGTAAATTTTTATTTATTATCAGTTTCAAGTTATTTCAGTGACCATTGTGGGTTTTTCTTATTTTAACGAAAGGGTACCAACAATTTTGTCCATGTGTGTATATCTTCTGAGTAGAATGTTGATTGAAAGAATTGGGAACTGAATTGTGGCTAAAAGTAAGTGTGAATGAATGTTTTTGGAGGGATCTCATAGAAAAGACAATGGGAAGTTATTTCAGTAGAGGGTCAGAGAATGAGTTAATCAACCCTGTTAAATACATGTATGATAGTTGGCAAAATTTATTGCAACACAAAAAAAGAAAAAAAAGCAAAGAAAAAGGAAAAGGAAAACAACAAAAACAAACATAAAGAGGAAAATAAATGTTGAAGGAACATTTATAACAAAGGAAAAAGTGATGAAGTAACTAGAAGAAATAGACTAAAAGTAAGATTTGACCTTCTTAAAAACTATAACAAATAGACAAAGAAAAAATTCTTTCTTAACTTCTTAAAACCTAGTAAGTAGCACAAATTAAAACAAATTAAAAACACAACGCAGAGTCAAACTTTAAAAGTGCAACAACTAGAAAATTAGAGAACAACAAAACAATGCAGAGCTTAAGAAAAGGGTTAAGTCTTCCGGAAGCACCAAAACAAACAACATGATTAAATCAAGAGATTTAATCTTGGCTTACTGTTTTTTGTAGGTTTGTGATTTAATGTGTCTAAGTACTTTTTTAATAACACCTTTATATTTTTTCTCTTTTTTGATGTTTTACAGAGACACTCTAATGTAAAATGTATGGTAATATGAGACCACAGCAAAGAGCAACGTTTGTGGATCAAAATGTTAATGGTTAGAGTATCTCACTACACAGGCAGAGCAAGTAGGAGAAAAATGGCAGAGGAACCCAAGAAACTTAAGACAATGTTTGGGACTAAAGGTCATTCACACCTTGGACAAAGCCATCCTCCTGGAATAAAAGCATTGGGGATTCCTTCCATCATGGTGAGCCAAACTATTTGGGTGAGAAATTGCTAACTTCAGCAACTAAATTTAAATCAACCCTGTCTATTACACCTGCAGCAGAAAAGCCAACATAGCAGTCTCTACTAAACCAAGATATTCATGCAAAACAAATCAACTTAATTGACTATGCTGTAATTAACCACTGCAGTACATTCTTTTCAGTTCAATATCATCACTGTTTACATTTATGATGTCTTATTTCTTCTCCTGTACAGCACTTTGGTCAACTTTGGTTGTTTTTAAAGTGCTTAACAAATAAAGTTGGATTGGATTGGATTGGATCCACAGACAAATAAAAGCTGTCCACTCTCCTCCTAGTGACAAACCGTGTCACATCCGACCACGACAATGGGCCTGCATCAGAGAGTTCCTGAAGAAAAACTCCCTGAAACCCAGCTGGTCCCAACCACAAAACATTTACACAAACTGTTATTCTTGCGCTACCCCTAACCCTCTCACCCTCTCAGTTGTTCCAAACACCCTAAAATGGTGTGTTGAAGGTAAGGGCAACATTCACTTGGGAACATTCAAATGTGACTCTACATTTATCAGAAGAACTGATTGTGGAGTCCAAAAGAACTAATGACTAGACCACTTTGTTACACTGCTTTATACCACTACCAAAGGGTGTATACTGAATTTATGGAATGAATGCTTATGAGTATTTACCAAAAGGGATGGTCTGGAGTATGTGGTCTTGCTCATGTGATACCATCCAATATTACTGCTAGAAATGACTGCTGTAAGAATGATGGTTTTACAAAACCAGGCAGCACTGGATTATTTACTGGCCTCTAAGGAGGAACTTGGGTTGTCACTAAATCTAAATGTTGCATGTTTATACCGGACCATAATTCTACCATACAAGAAAATACTAACCATTTGAAAAATATTGCCAAAACATTACATAACCCATTCCCACCAGTTTGCTCGATTGGGTCAAAGAAAGTAAGGGACATTAGGTTATTTAGGTTTTTGAATTTGTTTTGCTTGGTTGTATAATCCTGACTGCTATGTCGCTCCTGTTCTCCTGTCTCAAATCCATAAGCAAAAGTTATCACTAAAACACCCACTAAAATCATATACTCCACAACAACTCAACCTGTTCCACCAAAAGAGGAGAACTACGGTTGGGATTCATTATGACTGAGTACCAGAACTACTGTTACTTATATCTTTATTACAGGTTTAGTTTCAGTTAACTTTCAGAGTATGTTCACTTGCTCTAATTTAGTGTTACAATTAATTCACTTTTTTAGTTTAGTGTTTAGTTCAGTTTACTTTTATTAGTTTATATATGTTTTTTTCCATTCACACACACACACACAAAAAAATAATAATAACTGTGGATTGATGAAGAAAATTCTAATTTTCCAGACTTGCTAACCAAATGACATGTGGCAGCTGACTCGGACTTTAATAAACTCACACCACCACAGCAAACCTAAACTGGACTTGAATGATTTTTCTTCGACAGCATTAACGCAGCCATCCTTACCTCCTTCTTGCAATGCAGGAAGGTGTGGTACTTGTAGTGGTGAAGGGAATGATACAGACTGTAGATCCGGCAAGTTTCAATTGAGAGCTTCAGATCCTGAAAGAAAAAAAGACAAAAAAGATTGAAGGATTTTGAAGAAAACTGATAGTGGGTAACCCAAAAATAAATAAACAACTAAAAACATTCTTCTTTATACTTAATAAGTGCCAGCTGAGTTATGTAATCAAAAAGTGCAGAACAACAAACTTTCTCTCTTCCCTCTAGTGTCTCTGAGATTTCTTTATGTATAGATTTTTATATATGTGTATATATATCCCTTTCCAAGCGCAAAGAAGAAACTATGGTGGCCATTAAAGATGAGCCAGTGTTTGGTTTGTCTGTTCTGGGTAACTGTAGAAACATGGCGGTTCAACATGGTGGACTACATGGTACTACAAGTAAGTAGGGCTGATCGATAAATTGTATTGAGACTGACATAAGAAAAATAATAATAATAAAATTGTTCACGCTGCAGCTTCTCATACCTTTTCCACCAACAGGGAGCCGGCTCCAGTTCAAGCACCTAGTTTTGAACAGTTTGAGCATTTTGACCAAAACTAAATTGGTTCAGAACCTGAAAAGTTGGTTCCCAGCAGGGACAAAAAAACATCAGGTTTTGCTTGGTCATAGTGGGTCAAATTGTACAGTTGTGCACTGTGCAGCATCCGGTTACCCTCCATTATACATGCACAGTACGCACAGTGCGCTAGCTTGGCTAATAGCATTGTTGTTGTTATAAACAAGCTAAAACAAAAGAGCTGTAAATGGTAAATGGCAAATGGACCTGCACTTGTATAGCACCTTTCTAGTCTTCCAACCACTCAAAGCGCTTTTACACTACATGCCACATTCGCCCTTTCACACACATTCATACACTGATGGCAAAGCCCATCGAACAGAAACTAACTCATTCATACACATTCACACAGCATATTTTGGATTTGTTTCCAGCGGGTTACCATTGAGTTTATATTGTGACTTTGCTGGTGTAAACATTACTGTTACTGTTACATTTAGTTAAAATATTAAATTCTAATTCAGTTCTTTATTTAACCTTAACTAGCCAGATTTAGGGACTGTATAACTAATATGCACACTTCAATATTTTTTTATTTATTGCAAGTCATATCATCATTGCAATATTGAACAGTGTTATCGCTCATTTTCCTCTAATGGTGCAGTCCTAATTTTAAGGTAACAAAAACATTACAATTACTATATTGATGATGGTGATTATGCATTAATGGAAACATACCTATGAATATTATATTATATGTCTGCTAAGAGATCCTGCTTAATGTTACACACTGGACCTTTAATGTGGATCTTGTCTGTTAAATGTGTTTTTGTCCACCAAAGACTGGCTACCTTCAACCCGCATGATGGGAGTAGAAAGTGTGACGTTATATCTATTTCTGACCTGTTGCTTAGGAATACTCCTTTTGACCCAGTTGAGGGTTTTGCGATTGTAACCCTCCCCACCAAGGTGAACTTTGACAGCTCCAGATTCCAGCGGGTCTGCTGTCATTTTAGGGAATATATGTAAAGCCTCCTGGAGAGAGGAAAGCAGAATGCAGTCAAAGGCATGATACAGCTTTAATTAAACTCACAGATGTGGGAATAGAATTGTTTTTAAATTGTATCTGTCATCTCTATTTGTTTTAAACCCCTACACCAAGGTATTTATTCTAAATCATCATCAACAGACAGTCACTTCCTAACAGACTGTAAAGCAGAAGGATGTGCAGGTTTACCTGGTGCTGAGCACTCATGTTGACTCTCCTCAACAACCTCTTCTTCTGTTCACTGAGCAGGCTATCAATTTTCCTCATGGGTGGGAGGTACAACTCATCTGAGGGGTCAAAGAAGAACACTTATTTACACTTTAATCACTGTGCCTATTATCATTATCAGTATTGGGCTTATTGCCAAGTATGTTTTCACATACAAGCAATTTGCATGGGTATATTGGTGCTTAATAAACAAAGAAGAACAAAAATATAGTATGGTATAGTATAGTAAATATAGTACTGCAAGTCAAGAAGTCTTAATTAAATGTAGCAAGTTTTATATATATTATATTTAAAACATTAATATGGCAGCAACAACTATTATCTATGTAAAGATATAGTGGAGTCATGGTGTCACACTCCCTCTGCCATCAACCTGTCTTTTAGACCCCATCCCAACTAGGCTCCTTAAAGACGTCTTACCCTTAATTGGCACTTCTTTACTGGATATGATCAATCTTTCTTTATTGTCAGGTTATGTACCACAGTCCTTCAAAGTAGCTGTAATTAAACCCCTTCTTAAAAAGCCCACTCTTGACCCAGGGGTTTTAGCCAACTATAGACCCATTTCTTACCTCCCCTTCCTTTCTATGATTCTGGAGAAAGTAGTCCCCAAACAGTTGCGTGACTTTCTACATAGCAACAGCTTATTTGAGGATTTTCAGTCGGGTTTTAGAGTTCATCACAGCACAGAGACAGCACTGGTCAAAGTTAATAACAACCTTTTAATTGCTTCCGACAATGGACTTGTCTCTGTATTTGTATTGTTAGATCTTAGTGCTGCATTTGACACCACTGACCACCATATCCTATTACAGAGACTTGAGCATCTAATTGGCATTAAAGGAACCGCACTAAAGTAGTTTAAATCCTATTTATCAGATCGTTCTCAGTTTGTACATGTTAACGATAAATCCTCCATAAACACTAAAGTTAGTCATAGAGTTTCACAAGGTTCTGTGCTTGGACCAATTCTATTCACTTTATATATATCCTCCCCTTAGGCAACATTATTAGGAATCACTCCGTTAACTTTCAGTGTTATGCAGATGATACCCAGTTATATCTATCAATCAAGCCCGATGAAAATAATCAGTTACCTGAATTACAAGCATGTCTTAAGGACATAAAAACCTGGATGAGCTGCAATTTTCTGATGCTAAACTCTCCAGCACCACTATCAGGAATCTTGGAGTTATCTTTGATCAGGATATGTCCTTTAATTCTCACATAAAGCAAAGCGCTAGGACTGCTTTTTTTGATTTACGTAATATTGCAAAAATCAGACACGTCCTGTCACAGATGGAGGCAGAAAAACTAATCCATGCATTTGTTACTTCTAGGCTGGATTACTGCAATTCCTTATTATCAGGTTGCCCCAGTTAGTCCATTAAGACGCTCCAATTAATTCAGAACGCTGCAGCACAAGTACTGACAGGAACTAGAAAAAGAGATCACATCTCTCCTGTATAAGCTTCTCTGCACTGGCTCCCTGTAACATTTAAAATAGAATTTAAAATCCTCCTCCTCACCTACAAAGCTCTTCATGGTCAGGCCCCTTCATATCTTAAAGAGCTCATAGTACCCTATTACCCCACTAGAACACTGCACTCTCTGAATGCTGGGCTACTTGTGGTTCCTATAGTCTCTAAAAGTAGAACAGGAGCCAGAGCCTTCAGCTACCAAGCTCCTCTCCTGTGGAACCAGCTTCCAGTTGTGGTTTCGGGAGGCAGACACCCTCTCCACATTTAAGAGTAGGCTTAAGACATTCCTCTTTGATAAAGCTTATAGTTAGGGCTGGCTCAGGTGAGTCCTGAACCATCCCTTAGTCATGCTGCTATAGGCCTAGACTACTGGGGGATTTCCCATGATGCACTGAGCTCCTCTCATCCTCTCCCTCTCTTTCTGCACACATTCATGTCTCATTAATGCATGTTACTAACTTCACTTCTTCCCCGGAGTTCTTGTGCTTTCTCGTCTCGCAGGTTCTGATGGATCCTGGTGGAGTCTCCTGCCCTATTACTGATATTATTGTTAGGGACCTCATAAGCGACCGCTGGAGGTCCCTATTGTTTTTGCTTTGCTTTTGCGCGAAATGTCCTTAAACTACTTTTTCGTGTTCCTCCTACATGCTTTGTCCAATTTGCACCAAATCTTTCACCTAGCACCTGGGGACCGCCCTGGCAAAAAGACTAATTTGAACATTTTTGAAATTTCAAAAAATAAGAACACTATAAAATTCTAACTTACTGTACATTCTTCGTCAAAAAAGGAAGTGGACCATTTCTCCACATTGCTATGTCCGATTGACATCAAACTTGGGTCCTTAGTTCCCCATGTCTTCCTTAGGCATCATGCACAATTTCAGGCCATCGCCTCTGGGTGGCGTTCTTTAAAATGAAGAAGTTTATATCTCCATAACGGCACGTGTGATTGAAATGAAACTTGGTACGATGCTTGCCCATGGCTCCCTGAGGCTCGCTAAAAAATGTGTTAACAATCTGCCAGTAGGTGGCGCTCTGGTGGCATGGTAAATCACTGTGCGGAGACCGTAATAGTTATGAATATGAAATTCACAGGGCATGTGTAGAGTGGTGCCTGAAGCTCACATACCAAAAATCGTGTTTGTCGTGTTTGTAGCACCCCGTACAGGATAAAAAAACAGCAGCCCCGGCGCCACGTTTCACCGATATGTACGAAACTCGGTAGGCACGCATAACATGCCGGGACGTACAAAAAAGCCTCTTGGACCCATATCCGAAACCCCACAGGAAGTCGGCCATTTTGATTTTGATTTTCACTTTCGGCAAACTTTTCGCGTTGTATTTGAACAAACTCCTCCTGAATTTCTCGGATCTGCTTCAAAATTTGTGAGTACAGTCAAAAAATGGTTCTGATTAAAAGTTGTGCTATTTGTGCATGTACGTTGAAGGGCGTGTCCGTGGCGTGCCCTCAAAGTTGGCCATAGTGAATTCCATGCGCATTTTCTGTGAATTTTTCGCGTTGTATTTGAACAAACTCCTCCTAGAGAATTTATCGGATCTGCTTCAAAATTAGTCAGTGCAGTCAAAAAAGGGTGCTGATTAAAAGTTGTGCTATTTGTGACTGTATGTTAAAGGGCGTGTCCGTGGCTTTCCCTCAAAGTTGGCCAGGTTGAATCGAATGTCAAACTGTTTTGCTATTTCCTGCATTTAAGGGCTTCTGTTTTAACTAACTCCTCCTACAGATTTTATCAGATTGACTTCAAATTCGATCACTTCAATCTACACACATTGGTTATCAAAAGTTGTGCTATTTGTGACTGTATGTTTAACCGTGTGCCAGTGACGACGTGTCGAATTCCACCGATTGGCCGTCAAACAGATAGTACTCATATCTTCAGTGTACAGTCCCACCCTGAACACGTCCTCATAACTTCAGCGTACATGATCAAATCTCAATGAAACTTCACGTGTTTCATAACAGTCCCACCCTGAACACGTCTACATGACAATATTCAAACATAGTGATAGGGCCACATACTGGTAACAGGAAGTATCACGTTTTATACTTTCATGTTCTACTCCTGGCAGGATGATCAGATCCAGCTGAAATTTTCTTATAAAATGCAAAACACATTGTTGATGATATGTGTTGACTGTGACTGTGGTCTGTGGGTTGGCGGGAAATTTTGATGGACCGCCACAAAACACGAATTCTCTATAACTTGAGTGTACATTGTCCAATCGGCTCCACACTTCAAATGTGTCCCGCCCTGAAGACGTGTACATGACAATATTCAGACATAGTGATAGCGCCACCAACTGGCAATAGGAAGTAAGCGCTGCGTGACGATTTTGAGCTGAGTTACGTGAAATGACCGTGCCAGTGACGACTTGTCGAATTCAGCGGATTGGCCATAAAACAGCACTCATAACTTCAGTGTGCAATGTCCAATCTCCAGTAAACTTCATATATTCTGTAACAGTCTCGCCCTGACCATGTCCTCATTTCAGCGTACGTGGTCCAATCTCAATGAAACTTCACGTGTGTTACAACAGTCCCGCCCTGAACTTGTCTACATGACAATATTAAGACATAGTGATAGCGCCACCTACCGGCAACAGGAAGTAAGCACTGCATGGCAATTTTGGCATGTTTTGGTTTGGTTTTGGCATGTTTTGGTCCGCACGTGTTACGATGGCAATTGACGCAGCCACAACGCACCCCGAGTTGTGTGGAGTGCGAGGTCCCGCTCAACGCTGCTTGCAGCTTTAATTGTTATTATTATTATTAGGGACCGAGCCAGCGACCGCTGGAGGTCCTTTTTGTTTTTGCTCGATTTCTTACGTATTATTTAGCGTTTTTGCCCCCCTGAACATATACGAAAACTAAATTTTATTTGGCAAAGTTGTCAGGTCTGGCGAAAAATGTTATATTCTATGCGTCGCTTTTGAGTCTGCCACTAGGTGGCGCTACTATTGACAAAAGTATTTTGACTTTTTGGTTACTTAATAACTTCTGCATAGTTTGTCGGCCATTCAAAAACCTTATATCCACGTGTTCGGTGAATGGAGCTGAATCTCCCCATATAGGCTCCGCCCACTTCCGCCTAGAACTTGTTTTCGTTAGAGCGCAAAATGTCCTTAAACTATTTTTTTGTGTTCCTCCTACACCCTATGTCCGAGTCGCACGAAATTTTTCACCTAGCACCCTGGCAAAAAAAGTAGTTTGAACATTTTTGAAATTTAAAAAAATAAGCACGCTATAAAATTCACACTTCCTGTACATTTTTAGTCAAAAAAGGAAGTGGACCATTTCTCCACATTGGTATTACCGATTGCCACCAAGCTTGGGTCCATAGTTCCTCATGTCTTCCTTAGGCACCGTGCACAATTTCAGGCCATCACCACTAGGTGGTGCTCTATAAAATGAAGAAGTTTATATCTCTGCAACGGCACGTGTGATTGAAATTAAACTTGGTAAGATGCTTGCCCATGGCTCCCTGAGGCTCACTTGCCTGAAGGTCACATACCAAAAATCGTGTTTGTAGAGCCCCTTACAATATAAAAAAAAGCAGCCCCGGCGCCACGTTTCACCGATATATGTACGAAACTCTGTCGGCACGTGTAACATGGCGAGACGTACAAAAAAGCCTCTTGGACCCATACCCCAAACCCCACGGGAAGTCCGCCATTTTGATTTTGATTTTCACTTTCAGCTAACTTTTCGTGTCTTATTTGAACAAACTCCTCCTAGGGAATTTATCGGATCTGTTTCAAAATTTGTCAGTACATTCAAAAAATGGTGCTGATTAAAGGTTGTGCTATTTACGACATTCCGTCAAACGGCGTGTCTGTGGCGTGGCATCAAAGTCAGCCATTTTGAATTCCGTGCTCATTTTCTGTGATTTTTTGCCTTGTATTTGAAGGATCTCCTCCTAGGGAATTTATCGCATCAACTTCAAATTTAATCAGCGCAATCTAAAGACATTCATGATTAAAAGTCCTGCTATTTACGACATTCCGTCAAATGGTGTGTCAGTGGCGTTGCGTTGAATTTCGACCATTCACCATAAACAGATAGTACTCACCTTCAGTACCAATGTCCAATCTCCACTAAACTTCACATATTCTGTAACAGTCCTAGCCTGAACACATCCTCACAACTTTAGTGTACATTATCTTATCTCAACGAAACTTCACGTTTGATAAGAGTCCCGCCCTGAACACGTCTACATGACAATATTCAGACATAGTGATAGTGCCACCTACTGGCAACAGGAAGTAAGCGCTGCGTGGCGATTTTGAGCTGATTTACGTGAGATTTTCATGTCGTGGTCCGCACGTGTTATGACGGCACGCGACGCAGCTGCAGCACGCCCCAAGTTGCGTGGAGTGCGAGGTCCTGCCCAACGCTTTAATTACTATCACTGCTCATTGTTCCCCATCGTTGTTGTCGTCGTCGTCGTCGTCGTCATCATCTTCTTCATGTTCATCATCATCATCACCATCAGTCACTACTATTAGTGTAGTTGTTGCTACTGTTGTTGCTGTGCACCTTTGTCTGTCCTTCTGTCTTTACCCCTCTCTCTCTCTCTCTCTCTCTCTCTCTCTCTCTCTCTCTCTCTCTCTCTCACACCCCAACTGGTCGAGGCAGACGGCCACCCACCTGGAGCTGGGGTCTGTCCAAGGTTTCTGCCTCTTAAATATAAGTTTTTTCCTTGCCGCTATCGCCAAGTGCTTGTTTATGGTGGGAACTGTTGGGTCTCTGTAAATTTTGGTGAGTTTTATTTTATGTGTGTATTGTGTTTCTCCATCTGAGTGCTTACCATCAGTGTCCTCCAGTGCTTGGATCATATCAGGGTCCAGTGCTGTGCTAACCAGCATCTCCACATAGCTCCTGAACATCTCCCTCATGGCTCGGCTGTTAACTCCACCCCGCACAGGCCCTATAACAGAGAGAAGCCTTTATATGTTATTATATGTGCTAATATGATATTAACAAATATGTGTGCCTCACACACACACACACACACACACACACACACACACACACACACACAGAACAGCTAACCTTCGTCATCACTGGGTGGGGAGGAGTCAGAGGACGAGGAGGAGGATGGCACCTCCTTCAGCCACTTCTTCCTCTTCTTGGGAGGAGGCTCTGCATTGTCCTTTGAAGTCTTGGCTCTGGACTGACGCTCCATCGTCTTCTGTCCTTCTTTCTTCTCTTCCTTTAACCTTGCAAACTCCACTGTGCCATCTCTCCTCTCTCGCAACTCTCTCTCCCTTTTCTCTTTCTCCTGATCCCTTTGTTTCTCTGGCTCCTCTTTTCCCTCCTTTTCTCTCTGTTCCCTTTCTTTTTCCTTTTCCCTCTCCTTCCGTTCTCTGTCTTTCTGCTCTCGCTCTTTCTCTCTCCGCTCCCTCTCCTGTTTCTCCTTTTCTCTACGCTCCCTTTCTCTCTTCGCTCTCTCTTTTTCTCTTCTCTCCCTTTCCTGTTTATCCCTCTCTTTTTGCTCTCTCTCCTGCCTTTCTCTTTCACTTTGATCCCTGTCCTTTCTTTCCCTTTCTTTCTGCTCCCTCTCTTTCCGCTCCTTTTCCTGTCTCTCCCTCTCTTTCCTTTCCCTCTCCTGTCTCTCTCTCTCTTCTTGTTCTCTCTCCTGTCTCTCCCTCGTCTGTCTCTCTCTCTCTTTTTGTTCTCTCTCCTGTCTTTCTCTTTCTTTCCACTCCCTCTCCTGTCTCTCCCATTCTTTCCGTTCTCTTTCCTGTTTATCCCTTTCTTTCTGCTCCCTGTTCCTTCTATCCCTCTCTTTCATCTCTCTCTCTTTTTGCTCTCGCTCATATTCCCTTCTCTCCCTGTCCTTTTGCTCTCTCTCTCTTTTATCCCTCTCTTTCTGCTCCTTCTCCCCTCGTTCGATCTCCCTGTCATTCTCCCATTCCATTTCTGTCTCTTTTTCTCTGCACTCCCTCTCCTTTCGCACACTGTCCTCTTTTTCACTATCCACCATTTCCATTTCTTTCCTGTCCCTGTCCTTCTGCTCCCACTCCCGTTTCACCTTCTCTTTTTGCTCTCTGTCCTCTTTCTCTCTCCTCTCTCTCTCCTTATGCTCCTTTTCTACTTTCTCCCTGTGCTCCCTCTCTTTTTGTTCTTTTTCTCTTTCTCTCTGCTCCTTCAGCTCTCTCTCTTTCTGTCTCTCTCTGTCTCTGTCGTCTCTCTCCACTCGAGGGGGGGTTTGATTGTGAATGGAGGGCAACTGTTTGGGCAGTGCCTGGCGCCTGTTGATCAATGAGAGAGAAAAGGATGACACAGAGAAAGACACATAAAGCTCCAATGTCCAAAGGAAGCTAGTTAGTGTTCTGAAATGAACCCAGAATTAGTTGTTGACGTTTATTATACATTTCTGAGAAATCCAATGGGCCTGAACAAAAACAACTAATCAGAGTCAAGGAAATTAGAAAAGACACTTTGGGTTGGTGGCTTGAAGAAAGTTGATTGCTCAACAATCTCATAACATAGCATTATATTATTTTCTCCAAAGATGATTTTACTAGAGATTACAAACCCTACTGCATTCTGCACACGGACTTCTTGTGTGCATGTTTTCTGTGCCCGTTGACATGTAAGACTTAGAGTGAGAACCCAAACTAGACAAATTCATTATAGCACAGCTTTTGTGCTGCATTCACTCTTCATCAAAGAACTGAAGAAGAATTTCACCCAAACTCAAACATCAGCTGTGAATAGATGTTTTGTTTCAGTTAATCAAATAGAGTGTTGGCACTTTAGATGAGTCTTAATTGTTTTGAAAAAAGGTTGTGAAATCAATTAAAAAGTATCAGTCCATCTTCATGCCCCTACCTCTGAGCGGCAATCAGAGACATTTGACAAGATAAAAAACTCATAGTCATACCTGAGTGTCAGGCCGGCTCGATGCCACGGCTTTCGAGAACACACTCTCACATAATCTTTTTTGTTGACGTTCTCCAAGAACTTCACATACAAACGCTGGTAGCGCATTTTAGCATCACCAAAGTAACCCAGATACTGATGGAAGAGACATGAAAAATAAGAATCACAATTAAGTAAACTTTAGTTTTTGTGAGCTATTTTTCATTTTCATTATGACAAAAAAAAAGTTGAATTGGCCTAGAAAGGGGGAAATCAAGCATTAGTATGTACAACTTACTTTAGACAGAACTCTCACTGTTATTATGGAACCCCTCCATCTAAGGGCTAAACCATTTGCTATTCTCAGACTGTACTGACACCAATCAGATTAAATCTATTAATTGGTTAAAAATGATCAATTAAACTGTCTATAAAAAAGACTACAGCAGTGTCCATCCCCACTTTCGATTCATAAAGATACTAAGAATAAAAAACCTTGCTTACGCAGGTTCTAAGAAGCCCATTTGTAATTTAGGAACCTGTAATCTATGAATCTCAAATTAACTTAATTCATCAGTGATTTCCCCTTATATAAAGCTAGCACAAATTAGGGTTTAGACAGGAATAGCCATAGTTACTTCTTTCTGACATAATATTTATAGCACATTGCATCCTTTTTTTAATTAAAAACCTTGTGTCTGGCAGTTCATTCCTCAAACCTGTACCTATTGGCATTGGTGTATATTATCCTTTATGGACCAAAATGAAAACTTTTTTTCTGGTATATAATGCAGAAATGTCTGTAGTTTTTTCAGTATTTCTACACTATTTATTATTTATTTTTATTTATTCTTTATTTTCTCAGTGTCCATTCCTGGAATTGGTTGTCAATGTAGCCTATATGTTACATTACTGAATGAATATTTAACTTAAATATTATTTAATAAAGTTATGTGTTTAAGAAAGCAGCAGTCTGAGTACCTTTGCATAGTCATACTACAAAATCTTTTTTATTCCAATTCAGAAATTCACTATATCAGCTGCCAAATAGTAAATCAGTGAATTTTTCCCCTCTAAAATTGGTATCAGTATTAGTCTAAAAACAAAAAACATCAGTCGGGCTCTAGGAAAAATAACTAGCCTACAGCCAGCTTATACTCTAGGACTGAAAACAAGAAAGCAAGATGAGATATTACACCTATATATATAATATAAATTGTGTAGCCAAAGATCTTCTAACTTGACACTACCATGTATATAATGATGTGGGCTCATACGTCTGGGACCAGGCTACAACAAATGGTCAGACACACAATCATTTTTTTCAATTTAAGGACCAGTGTGTAGGATTTAGTCGCATCTACCAGGGAAGTTGCAGAGAAACTATGGTGGCCATGATACTCCCAAAAATGCAAATGGCCTAAACTAGAGCCAGTGTTAAGTTTGTCCCTTCTGGGCTACTGTAGAAAGAAACATGGCAGACTCCGTAGAGGAGGAGGAACCGCTCCCTCTGTAGATAAAAACAGCTCATTCTAAGGTAGCATAAACACAACAATTCTTATTTTCAGATGATTTTACACTAATGGAAACATATGTATGAATATTACATTCAATATCTGACAATAGATCCTCCTAAATGTTACACATTGGGTGAATGTGTGAATGGGTGAATTTAAAAGTTCCATTTATCCATTTTACATATGAGCCTCAACCATTAGGTGGACACCTCTAATCTACATCATCATTGCAACACCTCTGTCTCCCTTAGTACACCACAGTTTTCTGCCTGATGCAATTTAGTATTGACCATCTGAGAGTTAAACTCACATTACTAGTTGCACAGAACTGCCGCTGACCATCTTTGATCTCTGGGCTGAATTTCTGGAGCAGAGCTTTCTGTACCCTCCAGATGGGTGGGGGCTCTCGGCCTGTCTGCAAGGCCATCTGATAACACAAACAAACAGCTTATATCATTAATGGGAAGTTATTTATTCACCTTACGTACTAGCTGGGAGCTGCGGGGGCACTCACCTTAAGAGTCCCGATGTCCTCAGTTCGGACAACAAACTCATCTCGTTCCCGAAAGATCCCCTCGCCTCCACTCTCACTGTCCTCTTCTTCACTCTCACCAGCTATGGCGGCATCGGCCTGCTTCTTTGCCAGGTGGAGTGAGGTAAGACGCTGGGATGCTGGGGTCTCTTCTGGGGTTGGAGGTGATGGGGGCGGTGAAGACGATGAAGAGGGTGAGGAAGAGGAGGGGGAAGGCTGCCCGGCTTCAGGATCCTGGTCCTGATCGGAGGATGATGGGGGTGGTGTGGTGGATGGAGGAGGGATGGACTGGGCCAGGGGAAGGTTGGAGAGGGGTGAGGACGTGATGGCCGGAGGGGAGGTGGAGGGGGGTGGGGAGGTGCCTGCAGTTGGAGCTGGTTGGAAAGAGGGCTGATGCTGCTCAGAAAGACGATAAGTTTGATTCTCCTCTTCCTCATCCTGCTGGATCTGCATTGGGGAGGGTACGGAGAGACACAGGGGAGGGAGGGGCGAGGGTGAAGAGTAGGTGGGCGGCGAGGGAGAGATGGATGGTGATGGGGATGGACGTGCAAGAGCAAGAGCAAGCACAGGTCCTGATGGAGAATCTGAAAAACAGGGTGGGAGAAGGAAAATAAGAATGTTACCTTCTAACTTGGGACTCTGTAAAGTACTCTATTTGAAAAGTGTCCTGAGATAACTTTTGTTACGAATTGGCGTTTTTGGAAGTTTTTAAGGTCACAGGAAAATGACTTTGAGATTTTCATTTCTGCATTAAACAGGATACCATGGCCAAAAGAACAGTCTGATACTTGAGAAACCAGATTTTTGTCTCTTTTGAGAACAAATTGAGTCACCATCTGCTGTTTGTCAGAAGCTTTACCGGGACGGATTAACAAGCTCATGATCCCTTTGAGAAGGCTTTCCTCTGCTGTGCAGGTGCCCAAATCTGCCAGTAGGACTCTGATAAAGGCATGATGACGAAACATGTTGGATGAACAATGCCAATTGATTTCCCCCTCCAGTCATAAATCAGTGTTTTTTCTTGTTCCTACAGTGTGATGTTCGAATGATTTATGTGCAGAATTTGACACTAGAAGGATGTTTTCACATTATTCTGCTGAAAGTGGAAAGTCCTTACAGAAAATCTGATTGTAAGGGGCAGGGCCTACAAGCATGATTTGTGTCATCACAAATAGTCTGGAGTTCAGCCTGGTCCAGTGTGCTGTAGAAACTTGTGTTACTTATGTCCAGCTGGAAAACTTTAGAAATGAAACATTTACATATTCATAGATTCTGGAATCTATGAAGGCCACACGATGTAGTTGAAAGCTCTGAAAAAAGCTAGTAATAAAGACTATTTGGCCAAATTACTGTTTCCAAGTTCAAGAATGAACTTTTAAGACACGATATACATTTTTTGCGTATGAGAGAAGTTGACATTCAGTAAACATTCCTTGTTTTACAGACGGTAGATAACAGACATACATTACCTTCAACCTTAGGAACCTCCGACATCTGCATTTCAGACATCTGTTCCTCCTGCTCTTCCTCCTGCTCTTCCAGGGCTCCCTGCTGCAGATTCTGTGGAGCTCTTATTATTTCTTCATTATCTAGAGTCTCCTCTCCTCCCTGCTCCTCCTCTCCTCCTTGCTCAAGCTCCCTGTCCTCTGCTTTTTCTCCATTCGACTGTGGAGAGGCCAATTTTTGTTTTTCCTTGTCCTGTATGTGATGGTGAGTGTATGTGAGCGCCTCGTCTTTTCCATTTTCCATACTGGGGATGAGGGGAGGCATGGCAGGGATAGGGGGGCTCATTGGCGTCTCCTGTGGGGTGGGCGGGGACAGGCTGGGTGGGGCTTTGGCCATGGCAGAAGCCATTGCAGCAGCCAATGAGTGTGGGGTGTCATAGAGGGCAGAGATGGCAGATGAGATGCTCTTCTGTAGATCCTGATTCTTACTGACGGAGTCCTCCTCATCAGAGGAGAAGGAAGGCAGTGTCTCCAGGTTCCTCTTTAGCTCCTCATCCAGAGGCTTGCAGGGACTTGGGCAGCTGCTGAGAGCGAGGTCCGCCCCCTCGCCCTGCCCTCCCTCGCTGAAGGTTCCTGCAGGCTGCTGTGGAGGAGCTGAAGGCAGTGGAGCAGGAGGCGGGGATAAGGGCCTGATCCCTCCCTTCAGAGAGGAACAGGCGTTTAGAGCCTCCTGCTCGCCTGCATCATGTTCCAGCTCAAGGCCTGACTGTTTTTTGCCTGTCTTCAGGAAGTCCAAAAAAGAGGCCATGAAGCCAGGTTTGAAGTCGAAAGCCTTCTCATCAGCCTGCAAAAGAGCAGAATCTTATCAATGATGAGTGCTTTATGATGGTGTTACTCCTTGTCTATTGTACTGGCAAGGTTTGTCAGTTAGCTGTACTCCTCTGTACACTGCAAAAAACAGTTCCAACTAGTAATTTGGTCTTATTAACACGATTTATTTGTCTTTAAAGCAGTGTTAATTGATTGTTTTGACCAGTAGGTTGCCCCGGTGCAAAGAATGAATGAATGAATGATGAATGAGTATAATTTTCCCTCTTCTTTTAGCTCTTAGCACTCATTGCTCAGATCAGATTTTTTACAAAAGTAACGTGTTACAGTAATATATTACGTTTAGGCAGTAATGGAGTAATATAACGCGTTACTAACTATATTTTGATAATATTATTGCAGTTACTGAGTCCGGTAACGCGTTACAATCCGAGCTGTCGCACAGGCGGAGGTTTCGAAAAAACAACCCAGGCGCAACAGCAGTAAATAAAGAGGAGAAGAAGGCGGTTTTAAATCAACAGAAGAAGAAGAAGAAGACGGTTTGGTTTGGAGATGGCAAGATGGCAAGGTGGCAACAACAACAACAACAACAACTGATAATTCAACGTTTTTAAGTGGTTATACTCGCACTATTTTGAATTTGTCACAGAAATGGATAAGAACCTCACAGTAAGGTGCACTTTATGTGCTGGTGGGAGGCCGAGGGAACTGTACACGGCTAAAAATAGTACAAGTAACCTCAAGAAACACCTGGAGAGAGTGCACAGCAACCTTAAGCTAGCGGCTAAACGACCTCTTGCTATCAAACAGGTGGAAGATGACGGCGCGAGCAAAGCTAAACAACGAAAGTTGGATTTCTCCAGACCAGAGGTGAAGATGCTTGACCCACGAGAAGTGAGAAGGCTGGTGGCTGAGTATGTCGTGGAGGATGCGCTGCCTCTTTCTACAGTTGAGTCGCCGGCGTTTCAAAAGCTTGTCTGCAAAATCCCTGTTCGATCAAGTGACAAGGTAAAAACAAATCTCTAATGATATAGTCCTATTGTTGAGGCATAAACACATTTCCACAGATAGTTCATTTAAGAAAAGACACTACAGGTGGTGTGAGAGGTGATTCAATGATTAAAAATTGTTTTAATTTGTTAAGTCAGTTGTGTTTGCAGAGGGATTTTCATGGTTGTTATTGTCACATCATCTCAGAATGACATTTAATTCAGCTATTCATGGTAACCACTACTTGCAGATGCAATATAGACCTCATTAGACTTTAAATGTTGCTGTATCTGATTTGGACCACATGTGAAAGCGTCCCAAATCAGAATTGGAAAAGATATCTGATTCCATGTGATTTGTGCTGTTCACACAAACAGATGGATATGGTCACATATGAACAAAAAAAAATCTGAATTAAAACAGTAAAGTTGAAGAAAGTAATACCAAAAAAAAAAAAAACTGTGTGGTAAATGGACTGTACTTGTATAGCACCTTTCTAGATTTCCAACCACTCAACGCACTTTCCCACTACATGCCACATTAACACAGTGATGGCCAAGGCCATCAACAGAAACTAATACTCATTCACAATCAAACAGCATCAGGAGCAACTTGGGGTTCAGTATCTTGTTCAAGGACACTTCAACATGTAGTCAGAGGAGCCAGGGATTGAATCGCCACAGCCTGCGTGTAGTGTGCAAAGGTGATAAAATGTTCCATAGAGCTGAGGGGAACTGCTGACTTAATAGTTCTCTGTGAGTTGCAGTGGGAAAATGCATTCAGGGATAAGGTTCTGTGAACATGAAGCAAACTATATTATGTTGTGTTATTTCATGTTTAATTTTACAGGCTTACAGTATATTATTTTATGTTCATGTATGTTCGTCTTCATGTATTCACATTCTGGTTGTCTCACCCTAGTTAGGAGAAGTGTTATTCAGTGTGTCGTGAGCTAAGCACATTCCAAACACCAAGGCTGTCTCCTCCTAAGGACATAAAATCCTGGATGACCTGCAATTTTCTGATGTTAAACTCAGAAAAAACCGAAATTCTTGTTCTTGGCCCCAAAAACCTTAGAGACTCATTGTCTAAAGATATAGTCACTCTAGATGGCATTAACTTGGCCTCTAGCACCACTGTCAGGAATCTTGGAGTTATCTTTGATCAGGATTTGTCATTTAACTCCCACATAAAGCAGACCTCTAGGACTGCCTTCTTTCATTTACGTAATATTAGAAAAATTAGACACATACTATCACAGACAGATGCAGAAAAACTAATCCATGCATTTGTTACTTCAAGGCTGGATTACTGCAACTCTTTATTATCAGGTTGCCCCAATAAGTCCATTAAAACGCTCCAATTAATTCAGAACGCTGCAGCACGAGTACTGACAGGAACTAGAAAAAGAGATCACATCTCTCCTGTACTAGCTACTCTGCATTGGCTCCCTATAAAATGTAGAATTGAATTTAAAATCCTCCTCCTCACCTATAAAGCTCTTCATGGTCAGGCCCCTTCATATCTTAAAGAGCTCATAGTACCCTATTACCCCACTAGAACACTACGTTCTCTGAATGCTGGGCTACTTGTGGTTCCTATAGTCTCTAAAAGTAGAACAGGAGCCAGAGCCTTCAGTTATCAAGCTCCTCTCCTGTGGAACCAGCTTCCAGTTGTGGTTCGGGAGGCAGACACCCTCACCACATTCAAGAGTAGGCTTAAGACATTCCTCTTTGATAAAGCTTATAGTTAGGGCTGGATCAGGTGAGTCCTGAACCATCCCTTAGTTATGCTGCTATAGGCCTAGACTATCGGGGGATTTCCCATGGTGCACTGAGCTACTCTCTTCCTCTCTCTTTCTGCACTCATTCATGTCCCTTTAATGCATGTTACTAACTCCACTTCTTCCCCGGAGTTCTTGTGCTTTCTCGTCTCGCAGGTTCTCATGGATCCTGGTGGAGCCTCCTGCCATGGTCCTGCTTGACTGCCATTGCCAATACTGTTGTTGCTGTGCACCTGTCTGTCTGTCTGTCGCTCTCTCTCTCTCTCTCTCTCTCTCTCTCTCTCTCTCTCTCTCTCTCTCTCTCACCCCAACTGGTCGAGACAGACGACCACCCACCTAGAGCCGGAGGATCTGTCCTAGGTTTCTGCCTTTTAACAGGCAGTTTTTCCTTGCCCTTGTCGCCAAGTGCTTGCTCATGGTGGTACTGTTGGGTCTCTGTAATTAATGTTAAAGAGTTCGGTCTAGACCTGCTCTATTTGAAAAGTGTCCTGAGATAACTTCTGTTATGAATTGGCGCTATACAAATAAAATTGAATTGAATTGAATTGGAGAGTAGGGCATCAGATGTGTTATGACTACTGCTTATCAGACATTAGACGTCACCAACAGACCCCCTTAGGAAAAAGGCTACATTCTGTGGGAAAGAGGCATATAATAGAGTGATTTTCTTTGTTCTAGTTAGTTGATTCTCGAGACAACTTGGTTTGCTTGTATCCTGTGTTGATGCAAATAAATCTTGCACGTGGAGTGAAACGGTCAGTTCTCTTTGCTTTCTGTGAGTCTGTGTCACCATTCAGGGTACCTTCAATGGGAGTTTGTGGTCTCTCACTATAGTAAGATAGCTAAAGGTTTATGTCAGATAGACATCAATTAAGGTGCATTGGGACGGAAAAATTAAACCACAACAGATTCATTACTACGAGACTCCTTTCATAATATATTGTCCACATATTTTTTCAACCCATTGTTCATATAAAAATATTGAATTGTATAGCTTGAAATTACAAACAGCTGCCAGTGCTGGATATACTGTAGTCCCAGGTGTTCCCTTTGTAAAGGTCCAGTGTGTAACATTTAGGAGGATCTAGTGTCAGAAATGATAATATTAATATTCACAGGTATGTTTTCATTAGTGTATAATCACGTGAATATAAGAATCATTGTGTTTTTGTTACCTTAGAATGAGCTGTGTTTGTTATCTCTTCTACGGAGTCCACCATGTTGAACCATCATGATTCTACACATTTAACTTTTAGCATTTTGGTCGGTTTCATTGCCACCGTAGTTTTTCCTATACACTTGGAATTCTGAGCTGTATTCAAATGGTTGCAATCTGCAACTTCACTGCTAGATGCCAATGAATCCTGTGTACTGGTCCTTTAATTGACTTATCAGTTGAAAAAAAATTTAACTGTGAAAACTCCAACATGATATCATCAAACATCTTGTTAAGTCATTCTTGCTTAAAAAATAAATAAAATAAAATAAATTGTTTATGATTAATCAATTATCAAAATAGTCACAGATTTTTTTTTCTTTCTGTTGAATAATTGATGAGAATTACTACATTACTACTGCAAATGGCAGATTTATGTTTAAAATCGTAATTATATATTATCACGTAACTAATCTGATTATTCCTGGCTGGTCCACATTTTGTGTTGTTCTCAAGTATTCTGACAAGGCACACTGACATGGCTGCCTGCAAATGTGTCTGAAGACATTTTTTGTTAATCGACATCGCAAACACAGACATTGAATTTTGAGATAATCTCCATTGCCCAATTAATCAACAGACCAATTAATTGGTCTATCACTAATTTGTATTTTTTTTAAAGTTTATTTTATTTGTGTGAAGCCTTTATACATGTGGAACGAACAACATGAAATAGGGGTAAAATATTGAAATCATTAAGGACAAATTAATACCACATCAATTGCCGATAATAAATGTGGAAAGTTTGAAAAGTGATTGGAAAAAACAACAGTGACAGCTTTATTCTTGTTTGTACCACTGAGGATTTAGCCATTATTTAATGCTATATTATACAGTCATTCCAACAATGCAGTGTGCTTACTTCAACTCAACTTAACTTCTGGAGCTCTCTTCAATTCAAGAGCATCTTTAACCTTAAATTTGTGAGTAGGACTAGTTCAATTAATGTAGGTCCTGAAAACCAGGCTATAGGTAATGAAGCTTAACAGACAGCAGGTGGCAGCAAGGTTCCTGCACTGAAAAATGTAGTAACCGTGGCAACAGCTGCCCTGGTAACAGCCTTCTCTCTCCTCTCTCTTTTGTCAGTCAGAAAGAGCTGGCTGTCAGTCAACTATAACCTCCTTCTCTCCAAACCTCAAATCATGAAAACACGACAGTAAATTTAAATATTGTGTTTTGTTCCACTGGATTCTACAGGACCGAATTATTTCCTACCTTTAGTTTTAACAAATACCAGGGCAAAATTATACCTTTTTACACAAGTATTGAAACAAAGAGTGTCGTGAAGGAATGAAGGAGGTAAAGAATGTGTTGCTCTCTCTACCAGAGGCTTGAGTTAGAATGGATGAGGTATGAATTATATATGAAGCTCCTGGCTTTGCTCATTTTTGTAGAGGGTGTGAAGCAACTTACTGAACTGGAGAGTTTCTGCATAGTAGCCCAGTCTTCAGGATTCAGTGGATCACCAATTTCCTTCTTCCACATCATCTGTGTTAACATCAGAGAAAACTGCTTTCAAACATCCATTTAGCAAAGGTTAGGTTAAACTCTTTAGAGAGACTGTTGCTTTTCTTTACATGAGTAACAATATTATGTCATCCCTTTCAAGGTGTTTACAGATGCCAGTAATCTTGTTAATTTCATGGTTGGGGTTGCATGAAATCAGAAACACGTTTATCTATCTAGATCAGGGGTCAGCAACCTTTACATATATGTATATATACACACCTTACTAATTCTCCATTTTCAAGACTAGTTTTTAGATTTTTCAGTGATTAATGGCTACATGTATTTACAAGTGGAGAATTTAATTTAGGCCTGCAAAAATTATAAATGAAAATGAAAGTATAAAAAAAATAACAGTTACTCATTCCATATAATTTTTTATTAAAGCCACAGGGAGTCTCTAGAGCGCTGCATGTGGCTCCAGAGCCGCAAGTTGCCTATCCCTAATCTAGATTATATTTAAGAGGAATAATGTGCAAATAATGTAATCTAAAAGAGGTACAGAGAGCAGAAAATATCAATTGTTGTCTGTGTTATTACCATTGTTAATATCTGTTGTTGTCCTATAATTTTCTTGCCCGCCTTTCACACTGTAAATTGGGGAGTGACTGGTTCTAAATGCACACTCAGCTGAAACATTTCAATGTTTGGCTCTCAAAAAACTCCCTGGTTGCTTTGGCTGCACTATAATAAGGGCCATTGCCATGCTGCATTGTTATAAAATTGCTACAGATGTGAACACCATCTAACATCCTTAAAGCAGAGTCAGCACTTTAACCTCAGCCCCTGGTTAATGTAAAACCCAATGTGCAATATGTGTTCAAATACTTATTGACTGAACTGTACATCAGTTTGACTTGATTTGGTTTCCCTTCATGGTCAAAATATTGTCTGCAGATACAGCATGTATGTTGCTGAGGTAACTAGCTTTCATTTCACACTGACATAAAATAAGTTGAAGCTGTCATGCACAGGTCTTCTGCAGTCATATCTACAACTCCTTCTCCCACACAAGTGACAGTCGTAACAAACACAGCCTGCACAACACTACATGGGTATCCCTTATTTTAAATTGACATTTTCATTCAATCATATAGTCTATCTGCTTATATTTTTTTCCTTTAAATTCTTTGGCATTTTCAGAGTTTTCATGAAGAGAGAGAAAAATTATATCAAAGGCAATAAGAATAAAAAAATCAAATCAATTCATGTCCTGTCAAATTGGTACTTTCTTTCATACTTACGTTCTGAGGAAGATGGATCAAAACAAATAAAAACAAGGAAGGAAGAATATCTAGGTTAATATCGGGTGGCAGGTTCCGCTCTCCCAAAAGATATTGTTTCCAAATCCCTTTTTGAATAAACAAATCCACTGTTCAGATATTTTACCTTTGATTAATGCTCAAACAACACTTAATTTCTTTGCAAGATATCAGATCATTTTGTCCTTCCTCCAATGAAGTGGCCACTCCCCCTCAAGCTGCTGTGTATAATTTGATAGAGGAGATGAGAACACTTTTTTGTGAAGCTTCTTGTGTGTGCTCTTTACCTCTCCAGCTTTCTGCTGATGCTTCAACATCTTGTCTTGAGTCTGGTTCAGCTCACTTCTGCTCATGTCCATGGTGGTGCTGGGTCCAGGACTCAGGCCAAGAGATGGTGCTGACCCCACTGATTCATCAGACAGAACTGGCTCAGTGCTGGATAGTGAGTCTGTCCTCAACAAGGATTCTGATGGAAGCATTGTGCGAACGGGAAGCTTGATCTGGAAAACAGAAAGGTAAATGTATTAAGATATTAGGCAGAATTTCTTCATCGAAGCCATCAACCTGTCTCTTAGACCCCATCCCAACTAGGCTGCTTAAAGAAGTCTTATTCTTTGTTGGCACTTATTTATTGGATATGATTAATCTTTCTTTATTGTCAGGTTATGTACCACAGTCCTTTAAAGTTGGTGTAATTAAACCCTTTCTTAAAAGGCCCACACTTGACCCAGGGGTTTTAGCCAACTATAGACCCATTTCTAACCTCCCCCCCTAAGATTCTCGAAAAAAAAAAAAAAAAATTTTTTTTTTTTTTTTTTTTTATAAAAAATTTTTTTTTTTTTTTTTTTTTTTTTTTTTTTTTTTTTTTTTTTTTTTTTTTTTTTTTTTTTTTTTTTTTTTTTTTTTTTTTTTTTTTTTTTTTTTTTTTTTTTTTTTTTTTTTTTTTTTTTTTTTTTTTTTTTTTTTTTTTTTTTTTTTTTTTTTTTTTTTTTTTTTTTTTTTTTTTTTTTTTTTTTTTAAAAAAAATTTTTTTTTTTTTTTTTTTTTTTTTTTTTTTTTTTTTTTTTTTTTTTTTTTTTTTTTTTTTTTTTTTTTTTTTTTTTTTTTTTTTTATTTAATTTTTTTAAAAAAAAAAAAAAAACACTGGGTTAAAATTAAAAAACCCCTTTTATTTCTTCCGAAAAAGAAACTCTGTCTCTGTACTTGTATAGTTAGATCTTAGTGCTGCATTTGACACCATTGACCATCATATTCTATTACAGAGACTTGAGCATCTATTTGGCATTAAAGCAACCACACTAAGCTGGTTTAGGTCATACTTATCAGATCGTTCTCAGTTTGTACATGTTAACGATAAATCCTCCCTAAATACTACAGTTAGTCATGGAGTTTAACAAGGTTCTGTGCTTGGACCATTTCTATTCACCTTATATATGCTTCACGTAGACAACATTATTAGGAATCACACGATTAACTTTCATTGTTATGTAGATGAAACCCAGTTATATCTATCAATCAAGCCTGATGGAATTAATCAATTATCTAACTTACAAGCATGTCTGAAGGACATAAAAACCTGGATGAGCTGCAATTTTCTGATGTTAAACTCAGACAAAACTGAAGTTCTTGTACTTTGTGAATGACTTGCTACTGTCTATAGATTCAGGGTCATCAAGTGTTTTATTGCTGTTAGATCTTGGCGCTGCTTTCAATACGGTTGACCACTGTATACTATTTGATAGACTTGAGAATTTTTTTGGCATCTCAGGACAAGTTCTAGAGTGGTTAAGATCATACCTGTCAGAAAGATTCCAATGTGTTTATATGACAACATACTCTCTGAGTCCTGTGCCTTCAAGCACAGGGTTCCCCAGGGGTCTGCACTGGGTCCATTGATTTTTCACTTTACCTATCCCCATTGGGTCAGATTTTCCGTTCTTTTGGGATTGCTTTTCATTGTTATGCTGACGATATGCAGCTGTATATGCCATTAGGTGTAGGAAGCAAGTCTAATACAGCTAAACTTGAGGCCTGTCTTGCAGCTGTTAATAGCTGGCTATCAACAAATCTCTTGTTGCTTAAGACAGAAATGATGGTTATCGGACCAGCAAAACTTGGTCATCTTTTTGATCACATTACTTTGTCTCTCGATGATTGTGTAATCAATCGCAGAGACCAAGTTAAGAATCTTGGTGTGCTTTTCGATCAGACACTTTTGTTTGATTTGCATATAAAGGAGGTGACCAGAGTTGCTTTTTTCCATCTTAGAAACATCTCCAAGATCAGATCAATTCTGTCGTGTAAGGACTCTTAGGTCCTCATTCATGCCTTTGTGTCATCTAGGCTAGATTATTGTAATGTCCTTCTGTCGGGTCTGCCAAAGAAAAGTCTTCGGAGTCTGCAGATGGTTCAGAATGCTGCAGCTCGTGTTCTGACCGGAGCCTCCAGATATGAACATATTACACCAGTGTTATCCTCTCTCCATTGGCTCCCTGTTCATGCCAGAGCAGACTTTAAGGTGTTGCTGCTGACCTATAAAATATTAAATGGCAGCGCACCGTTGTATCTTAAAGATCTAGTGAACCCCTATGTGCCTGCTCGAGCCCTGCGTTCTCAGGGGACGGGTCTTCTGAGTGTCCCAAAGGTTAAAAAGAAGACAATTGGTGAACAGGCTTTTTCTTTCCGTGCATCGACATTGTGGAACAGTTTACCTCTGGACATCAGGCAGGCTTGTTCTGTTGAGGCTTTTAAAGCAAAGCTAAAGACCCATCTGTTTACTGTTGTGTATGAGGCCTAATTTCTCTGTATGTTTTCCTGAGAGTCCAAGTGTGTTTATTTTTGTTTTAGTTATTTGAAATGTTTTTAAACTGTATTTTCTATACTCTGTACAGCACTTTGACCTGAAAGCGCTTTACAAATAAATGTATTATTATTATTATTCTCCGAAACTCACTCTCTAACGATATAGTAACTCTAGATGGTATTACCTTGGCCTCCAGGAACACCATCAGGAAACTTGGAGTTATCCTTTATCAGGATATGTCCTTTAACTCCCACATAAAGCAAACCTGTAGGACTGCCTTTTTTCACTTACGTAACATTGCAAAAATCAGACACATCCTGTCACAGACAGATGCAGAAAATTAGTTGCATTTGTTACTTCTAGGCTGGATTACTGCAGCTCCTTATTATCAGGCTGCCCCAATAAGTCCATTAAGATGCTACAATTAATTCAGAACGCTGCAGCACTAGTACTGACAGGAACTAGGAAAAGAGATCATATTTCTCCTGTATTAGCTTCTCTGCATTGGCTCCCTGTAAAATTCTGAATAGAACTTAAAATCCTCCTCCTCACCTACAAAGCTCTTCATGGTCGTCTCCCTCTCTTTCTGCACACATTTATTTAAATTCATTAATGCATTTACTAACTCCACTTCTTCCCCGGAGTTCTTGTGCTTTCTTGTCTCACAGGTTCTTATGGATCCTGGTGGTGCCTGCTGCCATGGTCCTGCTAGGTCCCCACTGCTAATATTACCGATATTATTATTAGTGTCCGACTGTCCGTGTCTCATAAGTGGTGAGTTAATTCATCATCAGATAACTTGGACCTAAGACCATTTTTACCCCATTCCAACTTTCTATGTACATAGCCAGATTATCTCTTTATTTGTTCACTATTACCTTGATAGGTCTAATTGGATCTTGCTGCTGCTGCTGGGGTGGTTGTTGTTGTTGGTGGTGAGGATGATGCTGTTGATGTTGCCGCTGTTGATGATGAGGTTGGTGATGCGAACAGGAAACATGCTGCTGAGGATGATGCAGGTGGTGATGTTGTTGCTGTTGTTGCTGTTGTTGTGGTGCTTGGTGTGGGTGTGGATGCTGCTGGAGATGCTGCTGTTGGCTGAACTGTTGCTGTTGATGCTGCTGTTGATGATGATATGGGAGACTTTGTGCTTTGTTAATATCTTGATGCATTTCCACAAGCCCTTCCTCCCTTCTGCCTCGCCCCCGACCGCGCCCTCGACCCCTCCTACTTTCTCCAGTCACTGATCCCATCAGCCCCCTGCAGTAAGGAGGCTCTGGAAGAGGACGTATGCGTGGTCTACCTCGTGGGCGAGGAGGGCCTTCACGTTTTGGTTTAGTTGGTTTCCTGCCTCTTTTCTTAGGGCCATCATGGGGAGGGGGTTGAGGAGGCTGTCCAAGGGAAGAGTAGCTGGAGGGGTGGCAGAAGTCCATGTCACCCATCAGAGGACTAAGCCCACTTACTAATGCCCCACCAGCCTTTCTACAACTAGACACCAAGTCAGGGAGCAGGTCAGGAAGGCGCCGACTGTTAAGACGAATGTCAGCTGGAACATCAGCTTTATCCTCATCATCCTCAAATTCATACTCCTGCGCATAGTTTTTCTTTGTTTGAGGTTGTGGCTCACGCCGCTGTTTGAGCAAGTGAAATGAGCTGGTCTTCAGCAGTTTCTTGGGTCGAGAGGAACAGAAGATAGGTGAGGTCAGACCAGTAGTGTTTGAATTTCCACCAACTCCCACAGCTCCTATTATCTTGTTGACTGAGCCATCCCTTTGAACTACTGAACTCAATCCCATAGTGGGGGTTTGGGATTGGATGAGGCCAAGCTGGTCAGTATTCACAGTGGAGGGAAGCTCGTGGGTCTTCATAGAGTCAAGGTCTAAATGCAGATTACCATTTCCTGTTCCTGGAAGGCTGTGGCAGTATTGTCCATAGCCTTGGTCGCTATGATGACCCACCATATCATAGCCCTCTCCAGCTCCTCCATTTTTTAAGGCCACCATACCTTCTTGCCCCTGCCCATGACCCTGGGTAAGGCTGTCTTGAGCAGACTGCCCAGCCCCAGAATCCCCAGCACAGCTTGACTTGTAATTAGCTGAACAAAACATGTCCTCCATCTCAGGAAAGAAAGACCGGTCTTCATCGTGTAGGAGAGAGTCTGGAAAGCAGATGGGTGTTAGAGGTGCAAACCGCTGAGGCTGCTGAGCTTGATTTTGTCCTACCTTACCCACCGGACTCACTGTGTCAAACTGGTGCTGTTTGAGCTGGTCTAACTGAGTGTGTGACAGCTGAGTTTCAGGCTCTCTTTGTTGGGGCTGCTGCTGTTGTTGGGGAGTTCCCATATTTGCTGCCATCCGGTGGGAGTGTGGGTGAGCTAACTGAGAGTGTGACAGCTGATGGTGAGTGTGTGCTTGCTGTGGGTGGTGGGCATGGGGGTGAGGCTGGTTGAGGTGGTGCAGATGTGAGGGGGTGGACAAGCCCAAATCTGGTTCAGAAAGGAAGTCATGAAGATCTGAGGCTGTTTGTTGGGGGTGGTGGTGGGGAGTAAGCCTGTGCTGCTGTCTATGTATGTCTCCACCACCTCCTTCCCCTCCTGTAACAGTCACCCCAACCCCAGTTCTGTCCAGAGCTCCTCCGCTGTCTCTGCTGTTTGTCCGTGAAAGAGACTGTTCTAGCATGTCTAGCGGAGATACTGAGTTCTGACCAGCTCTGGTTTGATCTCTTGACTGACCTCCAAGGCTGTAGTGGGTATCCATACCCTGGGTTTGGAGCTGGAGTTGCAACTGTGAGGACTGGTTCTGTGGGTGGGATTCCACCCCAGCAGGTCCTGCTCCTCCGGCTGAACCCATCATGGCCTGCTGGCTCATAGGATGCTGCTGTTGCTGCGACGGAGCTTGCTGGGGGTCCATCTTGGTGCGGGTTGTATGAGAAAGAACCGACTGCAGCATGTGAGTTTGCTGGGGGGGGGCTGGTGGTGAATCCATTAGAGAGAGGGGAACCTGGTTTTGTCGAGCCTGCTGCACATCTGGTGTGTTACACAAGTAGGCATTGTCATTTGCATCTGAAGGTTTCTTCAGCTCCATGTGAGGGTGTCTGTGTGAGTGGGAATGGGGATGGCTATGCTGGGAATGTTGAGAGTGCTGTGTGTGTTGAGTATGCCGAGAGTGCTGCGAGATTTGGGAGTGCTGAGAGTGTTGCTGAGAGTGAGAGGATACGTGTGAGGTGTGATGGGAATGTTGTGAGTGTGAGTGCTGTGTGTAGGGGTCCCCTCTTCCATAATGGACCACAGAGCCCAGGGAGTCATGCTGTTGTTGATGGGAGTGGGTAGTATGGGAGTGGGAAAAAGAGTCAGGGACCCCTCCTACCCCTGCAGCAGTTGATTTTGATATGGCCAACTCTGACTTGGTCTGTTGCTGTTTCTTCTGAGATATTTCCAACTGACTGTTTATTCCACTTGCTGCATCACCAATTGCACTTCCAGGACCTGAACTGCTGGTGGTGTTATTGGTACGAATGACACTCTGAAGGTGGTAGCGCTCTTCTGAGATCTTGTTCATGTCATAGGTCACCCCCTTGCCTTCCACATCCCTAGCCTGTGAGAGTGTTTGGGGTAGTTGCTGAGGAAGTGGGTGATGCTGGGATGCATGAGGAGTTGAACTCTGCGTATGTAGTAAGTGGTGGATGAGGAAATCGTCATCATCCTCTTCCTCATCTTGGGATCGTTCAACTTCCAGCATGTTGGTCTCTGTTTTTAGCTTGGGTGGTGTTGAGTGATAGGACTGGCTCTGTGTTTGCCCTGTATCAGAGAAACCTTGTGGTGAGGACATAAAAGCAGGAGAGAGGATGGAGGACAAGTATTTGGAGCCTCCAGGGGACTGTACAGGGCGAGCAGAAGCAGGAGAGTGCAATCCAGGGCGACTGATAGTAGAATTGATGGAGGGTGATGGACTAGACTCAGGCAGGTGGAAAGAGTTGCTGCCTCCATTACCAACACTAGCAGTCCCACTCACTGATCCTGCAGATCCAACTCCACTGCCAAGTGCCGCAGTTCCTGATATTGGTACACTTCCTGTTGATCCTCCAGAACTCCCATAACCTAAGGAAGGACTGCCTGCTCTTCTGAGAGAAGCTGAGCCATAGCTTGAGTCCCCAAAGACTATCTCAGCAGAAAACGATCGCCCTCCTGAGCCTATACCAGTGAAGGACTTGCCTCCATTTCCCCCTGCTCCAGAGCTCAGTTCCTGGGCATGAGGTGAGTTAAAGCCCCCATAAGACGGGGTCATGTGTGTAGGTGGAGGCTGGTTGGGAGAGCAGGACTGGGTATGTTGCTGGGGAGGGGTCTGGTCTGGTAGACCTGTGTTAGATTTGACCACAGAAGGGGAGCCATAGCTGGAGAGGCATTGTTTGGGTGCTGGCTGTTGAATAAGGGTGGATGACACCACTGGTAGAGGGGGTGGTGCCGGTGCTGACTGAGGTGGGGGCTGCTGACGAGAGGGAGCAGACAAGGAGCCATTGCTTGCCTTGGAGCTAGAAGAAGACGAAGAGGAAACCGAAGAGGCTGATGGTGGAGTGTGTGGGGTACGGGAAGAAGATGATACTGAGCCCGAAGAAGAGTAGCCACTACTAGAGTTGGAACTCTTGGCTCCCTTAGTGCCAGATGAGGAAGAGGCTGAGGAACTTGAGGACGAGGATGTGTAGGGAGTTTGGATGATAGGCCGATACGTCTTGGATTCCATCCGTGGTGAGGGCTTGGCGTCAGAGGATGGGCTCTGCTCCTCCAGAGGACTGCAGGATACTCCAGCATGCCGGTGATGGCCAGCTATCTGCTGGTAGCCTGAAGACCCGCCACAGCTGACATATTGATGTAGGGGGAGTGCTGTGGACTGGGCTGGGGACGAGCGTTGGTAATGCTTTATCACGCTGTCCTGGCGGGAAACTGGCCTATCTGGAGGAGCCTGGGAAGGGGGGGCTGCAGGGGGGGCAGTGGGTGGCAGGGCTGGTGTAGAAGAGAACATGGAGGCATTGTAGAGCTGGGAGGACTGGTTGTGGAGCTGGGAGGACAACAGATTGAACTGGGGAGGGGGCAGGTGGCAACTGGAGGAAGAGGAAGGCGTTTGGGTCTGAGGGGGGGCTGGGGGATCCTGGGAGCTCCGATAGGTGGCACTCTGGGAAGACAGCAAGCGATCAAAGCCCAAGCTGGACTGGGATGGTGTTTTGATGTGTAGCAGGGGCTCATGGGGGGATAGCAAACCATTGGAAGTTGGGCTAAATGTAGGCGGGTCCTGCAGGGATAGTGAGGGAGTGAAAGATCGTCCAGAGAAGGAGCCAGGATGCTGGTATGCAGAAAGGGCTGAGGAGGAAGGGAAGGAGCTGGAACCTGGAAGTGCCCCTGATATAAAGAGCTCCGCTGGGGCTGGGGTATGCATTGCTACAAGACACAATATTATATGGACAGAGTTGGTCAATGCAAATCACTATTCAAATTTAACAAATAAGCTAATTTTCACTTTGAGACTACAAAACGAAATGAAGTTAATGAAAATAATTTTCCAAATGAAGTGATTTTTTATTTCTTCAAAATAGTTTTTATGTAGTGACAAGAAATAACAAGAAATTTGTTTGAATCTTTTCAAGGGTAGTGTTTCACTTAACAGGCTGACACTCACCAGTCTGCCAAGAGGGAGTGCGAAACTGAGAGAGGAGAGAGGAAGCGGAGGGTGGGGGCTGTGGACCTCGGGACTCCAAAGCTGAAATCAGATTCATGACGGAGGGGTCAGGACCGGAGGGGCCGGGATGGTGAAGGCTGGCATCAAACAGCCCTGACAGGCCTGGCAACAAACCACAACACTCACTTAATTCATACAAATCATATCATAAATCACATCATTATCACATAAACAGTTTAACAAAAAGTCTTTGTTTTAAATTTGTATTTCTGTATTTATTGTATTACTTGCCCAAAGACTTCTAAAAGACAATACCCGTCCCAACCACATCATGTTCACAAAACTGCCATCTGGCAAGTGATACAGAAGTATCTGCTGACATACCACCAGACTAAAAGAACAACTTCTTTGCTCAGGCTGTGATAGTCCTCAACTCATCCCTTTTATTGTGTGTAGCATGAAGGACTAGAGCTAGCATTTTGTTGTACAACCCTGTATTTTAGATACATAAGTAAATACATCTTGCACCTTTATTTTGGCATGTAACAGAGTCAGAACGTAGTGATTACTATGTAGATCACTGTGTTGCAAAATAAAAGTCAGACCACAGAGATTTTACAGAATTTGTGGTGCCATGCATTTACATCCTGCCTCTCTGCACAGTTCACTTTGTGACAAAAAACAGCAGTTGCGTCTGAAAACACACACTCTGCAAGAGATGTAGTTCTACACTACGGTTCCATTAGTTGCTCAGTGAAAACAGAGGCTTAATTCTCATTATCTATCAATTTAATACTAACTAACTTATTTCTTATCAATATTATAATACTATGAATGTTAAAATATGTATGGTTTAAGTTATCAATAAGAAAAGCCTTGAGAGATCTACCAGAATTTCTCTATAATGTAACACATGTCTTTTTGGTATAGAAACTGTATGAGAAGATACAAACCAAATTAGTAAAAAATCTACTTTGAAATAACTTATTAATACTTGAATATATTATCAAAATATTGGAAATTAAAAAGCAAGCAGTGTAAGACATGAAAATAATGTATAAACATTATAAACATTAGGATAAATATATGGGGGCACATTTTTGTTACTGTCTTTTTAGATAATGTTTGCAAACCCTGCAAAAAAGCATTTTCATCGATATACACAAAAAAAGAGACGTGATGTCCATCTTTTATATGTCGATGATCTCTTTTTAACCGCAAAATAGTGATTATGTCAGATCATACAATCACAGCTATGGGCATAAGTCTTGTAACTAGATTTTGAATCTCCTGAACTGCTGCCCTACAGTCTGATGGAACCTCACACCATCTAATATAACACTGAGTAGTTGTTTTTTTTATATAGTTTTTCATTTTCCATGCTTGCTCTACTTTCCAACCTGATGTTTTCCTTCACTTGTGATTTCATACTAATTATGGAGTCATACGTTTTGTATCTTTGCATAATCACTCAGTGAATTAACCAACTCATTGGAAACATACTTTTTTGGATTGGAAAAAAGCCTGATAATATTGTGAGCAGAGGGCTTATGTACCAGTAGTGAGAAGTAAAGATAACTGTGTGAAGACAACCAGAATTCATTAAAGGTTTGTGACTTTCAACCTGTGACCACTGCACTTTAACCAAAAAAAATCTCGCCCCCTTCCGTCAGGCCTCCTTCCAAAGCCATACTCCCAAAACACATTTTTGTGTGCAATGAGTTTATGAGCAGTGTGTGCAGTTAGGCAGGCAGTTAGCTAGACAGTCAGGTAGATAATTCATCCATTATCTTTACCCACTTAATGATGGGTCTTTTGGGATTGACTCTTGTCAAGAAGCAGGCAACAACTCACTCTCACCTACAGATAATGAATATACATTACTTGTACAATGAAACCTTACCCAGCGTGCGTCCCGCAGCACCCCAGGCCCCGCCCTGTCTGGAACTTCCTGGGTGGTGGTTGGTTGCATAGCCCTGGAGGGGGTGAGGGGTACCATAGGCTTGCCGGTGGAGCAGCTCTGAGTCTGGGTGGGATGACCTGGAGCTCCCATACACAAGGCTGAGGAACACATTACACATTGTTATGAGGTTTGAATTTTATAAATACCCTTATTTACAACAAACATCTGCTCTCATATTGGACAGCTCAGACTGCTGGGTCTACAGTTTAGTTGTCCATTTACCTGTTCATAGCATCCACACTCCACGCTCACTGTCTATACACAATGTCAAACAAAGATTCTTGTCTGTATGTAGCATCTTTTCCAATAGCATTTGTAGCTTTTGTCCAACGTTTCTGAAAGGCTGAAGCATGTTCCAAGAGTTTTTTGTTTCTGTACTGTACTAGCTAGTACAATTTGTTAATTTAATCCTTCATGCAACATACATAGAAAATATATAATAATATAATAAAGAAATAAAATAAAATAAACACATATAACGTGTGTGTATGTATAATCCTGGAAATAATCCTGCAGTGCACCTTTTAAATTTGCGTCTGGGGCAATGTAAACAGCAGCAACAAGATAGTGATGATAATTACTGCAATTACCAGCTTCAAACAACGTTAGCATCCAAGTTGTAACTACAACTGGGAGTTTTCTGAAAATCAGTATGTGCTAACAAACATGGTTGCCTCAAGTCAGCGAACATCTGTTACTCAGGGATAGTAAACACTATTTCAGATCCCCTTCAGACAGTTTTATTACATAAAACATTCTGATTTGAATCTATGAATATGCATGTTTCTATTCAAAAATGTATATGTAATATATAATATTATAATCATTTCTATCGGTCTAGCTTTCATCAGACATGACATAAATGCAGAGTAACTCATATCAAATCATCCTGGCCTAGAAAGGCTGTAGACTAGGGGTTCTCAAACTTATTACTCAAGGATCTGCATCTGATTTTTACTCAAGGTCTGGGACAATTGATGATAACAAAATAAAATTGAATCACCTATATTTACTGTACCAGCACACATGGTCTTTCCAGCAGTTAACATTACCATGACAACAATGTCCAAGTTATTTTTTCTTTGCCTTTTTCAGAGAGACAGCTTAAGATTGACAGGAAAGGGGGGCAGAGAAAGAGAATGACGCGCAGCAAAGAGCCCGGGTCGGACTCAAACCCGGGCCACTGCAGCAACTCCGTATATGGGTCGCCAGCTCTACCGACTGAGCTAACCGGGCGCCTTCCATGACAACAATGACAACGATAGGCAATGAAGCCACGGTAAAACCATTGCTGTGAATTAGAGCTGGACCTGAATATTTGATTATTCGACTACTTAGATAGATAGATAGATAGATAGATAGATAGATAGATAGATAGATAGATAGATAGATAGATAGATAGATAGATAGACTTTATTAATCCCCTAGGGAAATTGGGCCGTCACAGCAGCCAGGTACATTTAAATACAATAAAAAATACAATAGAATAAAATAAATACATTTTGGGATTTTTTTCACCAGCGTATCCATTTTCAACAACAGCAGGTAAGTCGTGTGTGTAAGACGTTCCCCTTTGATAAAGCTTATAGTTAGGGCTGGCTCAGGTGAGTCCTGAACCATCCCTTAGTTATGCTGCTATAGACCTAGACTATCGGGGGATTTCCCATGATGCACTGAGGTCTTCTCTTCCTCTCTCTCTCTCTGCACTCATTCATGTCCATTAATGCATGTTACTAACTTCACTTCTTCCCCAGAGTTCTTGTGCTTTCTCGTCTCGCAGGTTCTCATGGATCCTGGTGGAGCCTCCTGCCATGGTCCTGCTTGACTGCCACTGCTAATATCACCGATATTATTATTGTATTTGCTTCGTTTCTTATTATTAGGGACCGAGCCAGCGACCGCTGGAGGTCCCTATTGTTTTTGCTCGATTTCGTACCTATTATTATTTTTAGGCCACTTCGACTGCATTTTTCCCCCCCGAACATATACGAAAACTCAATTTTATTTGGCAAAGTTGTCAGGCCTGGTGAAAAATTTGATATTCTATGTGTCTTTTTCGGGTCGGCCACTAGTTGGCACTATTATTCAGTAAAGTATTTTCACTTTTTGGTTACTTAATAACTTTTGCATATTTTGTCGCACATTCAAAAAACTTATATCCACGCGTTCGGTGAATGGAGCTGAATCTCTCCATATAGGCCCCGCCCACTTCCGCCTATAATTTTTTTTCGTTAGACCGCGAAATGTCCTTAAACTACTTTTTCGTGGTGCTCCTACACGCTTTGTCCGATTCGCACAAAATGTTTCACCTAGCACCTGGGGACCGCCCTGGCAAAAAGACAAATTTGAAAATTTTTGAAATTTCAAAAAATAAGCGCGCTATAAAATTAAGACTTCCTGTAGATTTTTCGTCAAAAAAGGAAGTGGACCATTTCTCCACTTTGGTATGTCCAATTGACATCAAACTAGGGTCCATAGTTCCTCATGTCCTCCTTAGGCACCGTGCACAATTTCAGACCATCATCACGAGGTGGCGCACTTTAGAATGAAGAAGTTTATATCTCTGCAACGGCACGTGTGATTAAGATGTAACTTGGTACGATGCTTCCCCATGGCTCCCTGAGGCTCCCTTAGAAAGGACAAAAAAAAATACGCCACTAGTTTGCGCTCTTTTGGCATGATAAATCACTGTGCGGAGACCGTAATAGTTATGAATATGAAATTCACAGGGCACGTGTAGAGTAGTGCCTGAAGCTCACATACCAAAAATCGTGTTTGTCGTGTGTGTAGCGCCCCCTACAGGATAAAGAAACAGCAGCCTTTAATTATTACTATTATTATTACTACAGTTACTATTATTACTATAATCACTGCTCATTGTCCCCCATCGTTGTCGTCGCCATCATCTTCTTCATGTTTATCATCATGAGTCACTACTATTAGTGTAGTTGTTGCTACTGTTGTTGCTGTGCAACTCTGAGATGTATGCCTCTTAAAAGGACGTTTTTCCTTGCCGCCGTCACCAAGTGCTTGCTCATGGTGGGAACTGTTGGGTCTTTGTAAATAATTTTATAAGGAGTTCGGTCTAGACCTGCTCTATTTGAAAAGTGTCCTGAGACAACTTCTGTTATGAATTGGCGCTATACAAATAAAATAGAATTGAATTGAATAGCTTCCCACCCATTACCGTTACAAATTGTGTTCAAAGCCACCCTGGAAGCACCACCACTTAGCACAACGTGGCTCTTTGTGCTGGTGTTGAGTTTTTCTTCTTGCACCACCCAGGGGGCCAAGTCATTGTAATTGTACCTATCGATCTATCTGGGACCCCAACTCACTTTAAAGCCTCTCTAACCCTGGGGTCTCAAACCATAGATATGGAAAGGTAGATACCATATTCTTGATTTGACATGAGTCTGCGTGGCTGCCATATAGCAGAGGTCAAGATCTGCTAGTTAACAATACTGAGAGATTCAGACTTTACTACAAAATGGTGGTTGGGGGTGGAGCTAGTAAGCTCTATGCCAAAAAACTGTCAAGAGTCACCACTTGGACAAACAAAGGCGTTGGTTCTATGTCACCTGTGTGCACGGAGCATCTGCATGCAGCCTCTGCAAGCAAGAAGGGTTGTTTATTTTGGATGATAGCTAGTATGATTAAAAATTAAGGAACAGGCTACGCTAACAAGTGTCTTTTTTACTGGGGCTGCTGAAAAAAGGCCCACTGAAGATGAAGACAATGAAGGGGATATTCTCAGGACAGGAAGAATCTACGTTTCATGATTGGTTCAGAAAAAAGCAAGATCATAAGTAAAACATAGGATGCTTCAGTTACACAAACAAATTCATGAATTTAATGGTATTCATGTTAGATGGCTCTTGGCCTCTACATCATCTGTGACTGTAGAATGCATCTTCTATTATCTCATTCATGCAACAATTCTTTAACATATAGACATAAAAGCAAAGACACAAAATGGAACTTACTGCAAGCACTGTTAAAGCCTGACTATTTACATTTCTGCACATTTTCATTTATACATTTCTACTCAATATACAGAGGGCTTACTTTAGTGTTTCTATAATGTTAACTCTATTCTTATTCATGTTATTATTTGCTGCTGCAATGACCCAATTTCCCTATAATGCAACTTTTATCTCTGTTCTGATTTCTGTTCATGTTTTCACCCCCCATAGAGTAAAGGGCAGTACATTAATTCAATTCAATTCAATTCAATTCAATTTTATTTGTATAGCGCCAATTCATAACAGAAGTTATCTCAGGACACTTTTCAAATAGAGCAGGTCTAGACCGAACTCTTTAACATTAATTACAGAGACCCAACAGTACCACCATGAGCAAGCACTTGGCGACAAGGGCAGGGAAAAACTGCCTGTTAAAGGCAGAAACCTAGGACAGATCCTCCGGCTCTAGGTGGGTGGTCGTCTGTCTCGACCAGTTGGGGTCATTAAGGTACTTTTCAATTGTTAAAAGGCTTTCCTGGGCTCTCTTAACCGCTGGTTGCCATCCTGGGTGTCCCAACCCCCACTATGGGTTGTAAAAAAGCTTCATGGGGGGGTTGTATTGTATATTATGGGATGTAAGAAAACCTTTAACAACATAAGCAGTAGGCCTAAATCTAAGCCTTTCATTAATTTCTCTGAGGAAAATATAATATTCATAACTATGGTTAGTTAAAATCAAGAAGACCTTGCGACCCCCAACGAAGCTTTGGCAACCCCAATGTTGGGACCACTGCCTTAGAATGAACCGTTTTAACCTACAGACACCGCAGGTTCCCTTCTGTGGAGGTCACTATGTTGAACTGAAAATCAGGGAAACTCATCTCTGACCAATATTCACAGGAAATAATCAGTTTTACACAAACTTCCTGCAGTTATTGGGTTCACTATTTGGATTCATTGCACAGTTTATCAGTTGTTCTTTCCTGTTATTGTTATTAATTGAATATATTATGAAATATCCATAAAATATATCACTAAGTCAGTCAATCTGTTTCCATAATTCTTTTTAACTGTTATGAATATACTGACTGCCCCATCCATTCTTTTCCTGCTATAGGCAATGTATGTCATCTGCTTTACTTCAACTGTTCTATTCTCTTCCGGGAACAGGACATGGCTCACACAACTACCTTAAATAACTTGCATTGACAAGTTCAACTGCAGCACATGAATGCCAACTGTAAAAACAATTAAACAATAGAACACCCTCTAAAGCTTTAAAATAGAGGTGCACAATAGTTATCAGGGCCAATAAATGATTTGTTTGTAATGGGAAATTTATATTATGTATTATTCTGATAATTAAACTATAGCTGATAAATTATTGGTCCATAATAATAATTAATTATGAATTCTTATGAAAAATGTTTGAGAGGCTTTATGTTGTATGAAAGACAAAAAAATTTTATGTACTTTACTAGAAAAAATAATTCACATTTGAAGAGTCAAAACTGTTTTTTGTTGTTGCTGTGTTAACAAATATGATGTCTCAATATTTTGAGATTCTATGTCAAAATACTGAGAAACGTTCTCAGAATTTTTTTTTTTTCCGTCACCTTGGCGGAAATGGGCTTCTATACTCTGGTATAGTGGCAGGTGACTGCAGCCTGAGCTGTGTGAAGCAGGAATATGCACATTATAACAGCATCAGCTCTCACTTTCAACCAGAGCAGCATGAGGCAGTCAGATCAACTACTGTACGTTCTCATACGTACGTTTGTGTAGCGTAAAGAAAAGCATCATGCACGCAACTAACCCTATCTGTTCCAGAGATGGAACTCATGGAGTCTGACGAAAGACTAATGTGGTTGTCAAGGCGACCGCTAACTGGGGAGCAAAGCTAACAGGAGCTAGCTAACTTTAGCATGGCTCGAGGCCGCAATTGTAACACAGAACACTGACGTGTAATGTGTCATTTATAACAGTGAAAGCTCAGATACACCGACACGGGCTGAATGTTATAGTCTGCTAGCACTGAAGACGGCGTTTGCTATATTAGTGGACATTAGCATGTTTGCTAATGGTTGCTGTACAGCCTCACAGAGATGCCAGTTTGATGGAACACAAGCCGCAGCTGCCTGCCGCACAGATGTGTTCACTGTCAGACACTGGAGAAGGTAGCGTTAGCTGAACATATATATTGACTGAACTGAAAGTTACCTAATGTTAACATGGTGCTGGCTAATATTAACTTAATATCTGCGTTACTTACAGATAACTTTAATTAGGTGACGTATGACAGCCGGGGCGCGTTTGTCAGTCACGTGCCACTCTTGTAAAGTAATGTTTACTAATAAGGAGAATGTCACCTTTGATGTTGGAGCCAACAAGTTCATTCACATTATCATTAGCCATATCCCACACAGTCACTGAGTGTGTGAATGCAGGTGCTGTCATTATCTCCGGGAACAGTGCTGTGTGAGGATCAACTCTTTTATATAAACTTAATTAATGAGAATGCTCTGTATTTCGCTTCATTATCGGTTTTTTGTTTTATATTTCATATATTTCATAGAATGCAGGGCTTGTTTTCCTTTGCTAGACAGCAACTGTGCACATTGCACTGCTTTGATTTGTAGCCAATTAGTAGTGTACCAATCAACCTTGCCAACCAACCTGCGGGTGCTCCTGTCACGTTAAGTCAGAAGCTAGACAAAGCTGCAGCAGGGACAATGCAGTGCTGGAACCTAGATGTGATCTTTCTTTCTTTCTATTTTTTTTAAATAACAGACTCGGCTTCAAGCAACCCATCCCCCTTCCCTCTCCTCTGTCTCCGTATCACTATTAACCTTCCATCGCATTCCATGCATTTTGGAGACAGCCCCCATACCCCTCCCCTCCTCCGAATGACAATACGGCTGGCTGTACCTGAGACTGGTGGCCGTGTAGGAGCACCGTGCAGCCTGGCTGAATGCAGGCGCAGGCAGCGCTATGCCCGTGGCATTGTTAAGCACACTGGTGCACCCAGAGGAGCAAACAGTTGCCCACCGAGGCTTACCTTGCTTTGGCCGATCTGTCGTAACTCCATCCCGTCCCAGCCCCTAGATCTCCGAAGCCTGCAGCGGGGTAATTCCTCTCCATGAAAGAAAGGGATGAAGATGGGCAGATAGCAAGGGGGAGGGGAGGGAGGAATGTCTTCTCTTCTCTGCACTCGCTTCTGTTTATTTCTCCGCTTGACGAGCCTGTAGACTGGGAGGAATGGAGGGAGGAGAAGGAGCGAGAGAAGGAGGAGGGGAGGGGGTCACAGCAGCCAAGAGCACCTCCTCCCTCCTCTCCTCTCCTCTCCCCATATATTTCACTGTCTATTGTCTCTTGTGTTAAGCGGATGGGCCGTAGAACAGATGCTCTACGTTCTTAATAAGCGAGGCTGTGTTCACACTGATCCAGCGCTGACTGCTGTCCTTCTGCCGCTCACACACGGCTCACTAAAGCTATTTTCGCTCATTTTGTTCACAAGACGCCATTTTTAAGAGGAATGACTGGGCTGGCGTTCATCCTCTCCTTCCCTCCCTCGCTCTCTCTCTCTCTCTCTCTCTCACACACACACACACACACACACACAATTTGTCATGCACAGCAGCGCAGTGTGGTGTAGCATTGTGGAAGACAGTAGAGTCTGGTGAAAGAGCTCAGCTTCTGAAGCCAGCTGTAATTCTATAATAAATAACAAACACACAAGTTGCAACATATAAAGAATGAATGATATGGTGACAGCAGTGTGTACTCTCTACTGACTTGAAAAGTTCCAATAGATAAATAAAAGGACTCAAGCCATGTGTAATCGTATGCGATTTATTGTATAAAACATGTAGAAGGAATGGATTGTCTATTGTTGTGTGAACAGTGCAGCCACAAACACGATACCCACCCTCAACCATCAGTTATGGACAGTAATACGCAGATCATACTGTCAGCAGTGTGCATTCTGGGATTGTGTCCCAACTTCACTCATAAATACAGTATATCAAAAAATAATTCAATATTTCAAAGTTCACTCAAACCACCAGTGCCCATCAAGCATAATGAAGAGGCTCTGCCAGCCCTCTCATTCGTTGTCTCCTGGATCAGCACTCTCCGATGGCGCACCCCTGTGGTCAGAGAGAGGAAAGATCTGTGTGAGAGGTCTTGTACCCAGCAGCACGGTCTATGAGGGTCCAACAATGAGTGTTTTTGTTCAAAAAGGGACGAGTATTTGGTTGGAACGTAAAAGAAGGCAGTTAACTCCTCAAGGCGCAACATCAAAATGGAGTCTGACTATACATATAGTATATATATATACTATATAACACCCTCAATTACAATTTAATCAAATACACATAAATGGAAGAGTCAATGCATCTGAAGACCCAGAGAATACAACAGACAAAAAAATGAAAATAGAAAATACTGAATGGGAACTGCAAAATGAGTACAATTCATCATCGCAAGAAGTTCAGAAAAGTTAAGGTGGTTGTGATTTTTTAGTTGTACATTACATAGGCCCTAACTGCTGCTGTAATATTTAACATTATTGTTATGAATGACTTAGCTATTCAAGCCATTCATTTTCTTTTACTGAAATTAAGCCTATGACTGAAATGTGGTCACATAGATCATTCAATCATGTGTTGATTTCCATTTTTAAGACAATTTACAATATTACTATAGATTTATTATAGATATAATAGATGACTCGACAGTTTTACCAAAAACAAAAGAAAGAAAACCATGATGATGATATTTCTATGTTTGATGGTGTAACATGGTATGTAACTTGGTGTGTAGATAATGGTGGTCTGGAACATCAAGGTGCTTCTCGTTAATTGAAATAAAAGTGCTACAAAAGGTGTTTCTTTGATACAAAGTTAGTAAGGTAAATACAGTGTACATACAGTAGTGTTGCTAAAATAAAAAAATGTAAGGTCCACACTTGTATCCTTTTTGTAGGTGTTTGGCTGGATCTTGGACCGCTACAAACACTGGCCTGGATCCATGTAAGGTGCATGTGCATATTAGAGCATCCACTTACCCTGAATATGGAGGTGGCGGAGCATCGTGCTGTCCACTGCGGGTCAGAGCCTCATTGTAGCTAGGTAGACCTGGGGCGGTAATCCCAGCTAGGGGCACCATCTCTGGGGCTGGACACCCATCTGCTGCCATTCTCACTGGAGCTCTGGACAAGCACGTAACACAAATTCAGAAGAATTGAACAAGCCAGTTAAGTTACTGTAAAGCCAATGTGGTCTACAGCAAATTCATTTTTTAACCGTAAGTTTGATTTCCTGTTCTTATTTATTGTGTTGTGTACAAGTGGACATTTGCACTGATTGTGATGCTAAAGAAAAGATCAGTTGAGTTTTTCATTAACGTTGTTAAAAGGGTTATAGTGATGTTTGTTTTTTCTTTTTACTTGCAGCCAGATATTCTCTAGTTAAAGGCTTTGCTTGCCACACAGTGAAAAATATCAGTAAGTTTACTGTTTTTTCCCGTTTATTTTACAGATCGTTTTCTGTGTTTTTTTACAGCGAAATAGTTCAGGCAGTCAACTCGAGCTGTGCTGCTATACAAACGACATGCCTCACTCCATAATCACTAACCTAGCGCACCCTTTCAGTCTGGCGGTCTATTTAAACTGCACAATTTCCCAGCTCTCCTTCTGCTCTGTCAATGCCGCTGTTGCCCTGTATCTGTATTGCTGCCTGCTGCGCTGTAAGATTTCTCAGTTATTGATTGGTCTGACCATGTCTGTAAATGCGATTGTCGCTGAGGTTCGCTCTGAGAAGGACTCAGAGACCCCTGCTCCACGCCGTAGCTGCCGCATCACCCTCAAACGACTCGTAGTCCATGAGCCAGGGGGGTTGATCGGTATCGTTGGGGGGACAAAATGCTATCATTGTTTTTTGGCAAGGTATACAGCCCTAGTACTAGAAAAATCACGATAGCAGTGCAGGGGTGGTAGCAAAATAACTTTTTTCAGCTCATAAAGTTACTAACCCCTTAAGATAAATTCCGTTTTTGAAATCTGGTGTATATCTGGTTTAGGCTCATGGTAGGGATATTGTCAATATTCTATAATATGGTGCTTGGTATCGTTGGAAAGGGGACCTTTTAGGCTTTCATTTAAGCCCAGTACTGAATCTGTCTGACAAACACAGAGGTCACATGACTTCTTTAAACCAGAAATAACACACTTTTTCTCACAATTTCCGCCTCAACTGTATGCTTTCTTTTATCCCTGGGGCATGAAGGAACATCAAGGACACAAAACTCAACAACTTCAATACTCAAGGCACTCTGATGATTCAGAAAATGTATAATATACCCATACTATTTATTTGTGAGAGCCTTAAATTACACTTGTGGAGCCAGCACAAGTCTTCAAAATAGAATAGAGCGAATAGAATGGACAAATAGGATGGAGCCCTACTAGTTGTAAAAGTCAATAAAGAAACAGGTTGTAAAGTCAATATATTTAATCAAAGACTGGTTTGTATGTTGATATCCATTATTTTATTATCTAATCATCATCATTCTCCATGTCGTCCTCGTCTTAATCTGAACTTTCTACACAGGTCGCCTGGTTTTCACACTTTGTCAGTTTACACATGTCTGTGCACCTGAGGCCATTTGCAAGACACATACATCGAGTGAACATTTTTTTGTGCAGTTGCAGGCGAGTAGATCCAGGAGAGCTTCAGGTACTGGTCGGCCTTCCATCCAGTGCAGCACCAACTGTTCACCTTCCTCCTCTGTCTCCATCTTCCATCCTCTGCCAACAGGGCTTGGCACTTGTGGGTCCGTTTCTAAACATCTTCTCCAAATACCAGCCTGATAGTTAGCTCGCAGTGTGTGTTGCCTCCAGTGTTGGGCAAGTTACTTTTAAAAAGTAATTAGTTACAGTTACTAGTTACTTCTTCCAAAAAGTAACTATATTAGTTACTCAGTTACAAATTATAAAAGTAACTAGTTACTTCAGAAAGTAACTATTGCGTTACTTTCAAGTACATTTTTAAATGCTCAAATGTGACCCCACCTCCACCCCTCTTTAACGGAACTTAAAATACATGTGCATGTTCAATTATTTATGATAAATCTGAATATTATAATGAAATGGACACTTAATACAATACATTATTAACACAAACAATGTACACAAATCTAAACTATTTTAATGTTGCTGACAAAGTGAGACTAGCCTCCAATCAAATGCCATGTATGTAGATATTATGTTTATATAGTGGATCCATACAAGTAACACAATAGATGTTTTGGAACTTTTGATATTTATTGTCCCTCAACAGGCCACAACTGGGCAAAATTAAATTATGCTTGTTAAGAACTATACCAAAAATGAATAACAAATATATACACTCTTTGTAGTGCCAATAAAAAAAACTTCAGACAATTGGTAGATATACTTTACTTCAAGTATGTTCTTCCTCGAAAAAGTAGAACAGTGTAACAATATGAGGTGCTTTCAATCTAACATAATAATAGCATAATGTGCATTTCACGATTACATTTGTTCCTTTCATTTCTTGGAGGGAAAAGTAATGGCTATACTGTCATTTAGAGAAGGCTACTTTTGGATTATTTGGGCTCGCCATACCTGTCTCTCGTTGACTAACTCACTTGTGTTGTTCGTTGTGTGTCCGACTATGCGTGCTTTCGAACACCCGCCCAACTCTACCTCTGATTGGCTTACCATGAAATTTTACTCAACCTCAGCCAATCGTCAGCATTTATGCGCTTGTCTCGTGCACTGCCCACTAACCGAGGAAGAACAGTAAAAAAAAGTATTTGCCTCTCGGCTCAGAGATCTAGTTGGTCTGATGAAAAAAACAGCTTCAGTTATAGTAACGCGCCGCATTTTTTGGTAGTAACGGTAACAGCGTTATTAAGATGGGAAGAGTAATCAATTAGATTACTCGTTACTGAAAAAAGTAACGCCGTTAGTAACGCCGTTATTTATGACGCCGTTATTCCCATCACTGGTTGCCTCAAGCTATCCTTGCACGGTGGGAGTTGATGACTCGATTTCACCTTTCTTTGCACAGAAAAGGTGGTACCTGAGCTTGTTGATCATGGTGGTTGATGCTTTTGGGCATAGAGGACACATGTAAATGCCTCCAGTTTGTTGCTCAGTTCTGGTGAGAGGTCCCATTCCTGGCCCAACTTCAAGTCTTGTGTTTCTTTGTTGTTCATCAGGAGTGTAAGTGCCCTTGTCTTCCCTTTGCCTGCAAAAGCGCTTACAGTGTCACATCCTGTGTAGGCGTGCAACCCAGTGAGAGCCCTACAAGTGTCCATGCCAACAGTGGCTGCAACCTTCCTGATAGCTACCAGCCTTGTACGGGTTCTTGTGCCACACTTCAGGAACAATGGGGCCTCAATCTTGTCACAGAAGGCTAAAGACATGATAAAGACATCTGTGTCTTCTGAACAGATAACTATAGATTGGTATCCCTCTCTTGCGGCATGGGCGGCATTGAGAAGTAGTCGTCCATCTGCTTCTTCTTGTTGACATTGAAGAGTTGACACCTCCTGTCTTGATATGTGATTCTGTAACATTTGTCAATCACAGTTGCATAAAGAATCTTCTCCTGTAGCTTTTCTCTGTATTCTGGCTTCTTCCATTCATTCACTATGAAGCTAGTGAGACTAGTTTTGTTATTGACTTTGGTCAGGAAGCTCCTCCACTGCCTCACCATCTGTGTGCTTGTGATATCCTGCAACTCATGACCAGTCTCTTCACCCCGTAGAGATCTTTTACTATTCTTGATTGAGTTCTGCTTGTATGTGTCGAACACAACATCTATTCTTCTACTCTGACTGCCTTCCCTCAGAGCCATACCCAGGATTGTTGTGGCAACATCTCTGAAAGTAACTTCATCACCTTTCACTCGTTGGACATCCCATCAACCACTGTGGCAGAGTTTTCTGGGTGTTTCTCCTGTAGTGCTACATTTTTCTGCAAGGCTGTGGCCAAAGTAGCATTGTTTGTTTTTCTCAGTGTGAATAAAACAAATAAACAAAGCTCTGGCTCTGAGGGAAGGCAGTCAGAGTAGAAGAATAGATGTTGTGTTCGACACATACAAGCAGAACTCAATCAAGAATAGTGTAAGATCTCTACATATCAAGACAGGGAGGAGGTGTCAACTCTTCAATGTCAACAAGAAGAAGCAGATGGACGACTACTTCTCCATGCCGCCCATGCCGCAAGAGAGGGATACTAATCTATAGTTATCTGTTCAGAAGACACAGATGTCTTTATCATGTCTTTAGCCTTCTGTGACAAGATTGAGGCGCCATTGTTCCTGAAGTGTGGCACAAGAACCCGTACAAGGCTGGTAGCTATCAGGAAGGTTGCAGCCAAACTGTAGGGCTCTCACTGGGTTGCACGCCTACACAGGATGTGACACTGTAAGCGCTTTTGCAGGCAAGCTCAGGTACCACCTTTTCTGTGCAAAGAAAGGTGAAATCGAGTCATCAACTCCCACCGTGCAAGGATAGCTTGAGGCAACCAGTGATGGGAATAACGGCGTCATAAATAACGGCGTTACTAACGGCGTTACTTTTTTCAGTAACGAGTAATCTAATTGATTACTCTTCCCATCTTAATAACGCCGTTACCGTTACTGCCAAAAAATGCGGTGCGTTACTATAACTGAAGCTGTTTTTTTCATCAGACCAACTAGATCTCTGAGCCAAGAGGCAAATACTTTTTTTTACTGTTCTTCCTCGGTTAGTGGGCAGTGCACGAGACAAGCGCATACATGCTGACGATTGGCTGAGGTTGAGTAAAATTTCATGGTAAGCCAATCAGAGGTAGAGTTGGGCGGGTGTTCGAAAGCACGCATAGTCGGACACACAACGAACAACACAAGCGAGTCAGTCAACGAGAGACAGGTATGGCGAGCCCAAATAATCCAAAAGTAGCCTTCTCTAAATGGAAGTATAGCCATTACTGTTCCCTCCAAGAAATTAAAGGAACAAATGTAATCGTGAAATGCACATTATGCTATTATTATTATGTTAGATTGAAAGCACCTCATATTGTTACACTGTTCTACTTTTTCGAGGAAGAACATACTTGAAGTAAAGTATATCTACCAATTGTCTGAAGTTTTTTTTATTGGCACTACAAAGAGTGTATATATTTGTTATTAATTTTTGGTATAGTTCTTAACAAGCATAATTTAATTTTGCCCAGTTGTGGCCTGTTGAGGGACAATAAATATCAAAAGTTCCAAAACATCTATTGTGTTACTTGTATCGATCCACTATATAAACATAATATCTACATACATGGCATTTGATTGGAGGCTAGTCTCACTTTGTCAGCAACATTAAAATAGTTTAGATTTGTGTACATTGTTTGTGTTAATAATGTATTGTATTAAGTGTCCATTTCATTATAATATTCAGATTTATCATAAATAATTGAACATGCACATGTATTTTAAGTTCCGTTAAAGAGGGGTGGAGGTGGGGTCACATTTGAGCATTTAAAAATGTACTTGAAAGTAACGCAATAGTTACTTTCTGAAGTAACTAGTTACTTTTATAATTTGTAACTGAGTAACTAATATAGTTACTTTTTGGAAGAAGTAACTAGTAACTGTAACTAATTACTTTTTAAAAGTAACACTGGAGGCAACACACACTGCGAGCTAACTATCAGGCTGGTATTTGGAGAAGATGTTTAGAAAAGGACCCACAAGTACCAAGCCCTGTTGGCAGAGGATGGAAGATGGAGACAGAGGAGGAAGGTGAACAGTTGGTGCTGCACTGGATGGAAGGCCGGCCAGTACCTGAAGCTCTCCTGGATCTACTCGCCTGCAACTGCACAAAAAAATGTTCACTCGATGTATGTGTCTTGCAAATGGCCTCAGGTGCACAGACATGTGTAAACTGACAAAGTGTGAAAACCAGGCGACCTGTGTAGAAAGTTCAGATTAAGACGAGGACGACATGGAGAATGATGATGATTAGATAATAAAATAATGGATATCAACATACAAACCAGTCTTTGATTAAATATATTGACTTTACAACCTGTTTCTTTATTGACTTTTACAACTAGTAGGGCTCCATCCTATTTGTACTTTCTATTCGCTCTATTCTATTTTGAAGACTTGTGCTGGCTCCACAAGTGTAATTTAAGGCTCTCACAAATAAATAGTATGGGTATATTATACATTTTCTGAATCATCAGAGTGCCTTGAGTATTGAAGTTGTTGAGTTTTGTGTCCTTGATGTTCCTTCATGCCCCAGGGATAAAAGAAAGCATACAGTTGAGGCGGAAATTGTGAGAAAAAGTGTGTTATTTCTGGTTTAAAGAAGTCATGTGACCTCTGTGTTTGTCAGACAGATTCAGTACTGGGCTTAAATGAAAGCCTAAAAGGTCCCCTTTCCAACGATACCAAGCACCATATTATAGAATATTGACAATATCCCTACCATGAGCCTAAACCAGATATACACCAGATTTCAAAAACGGAATTTATCTTAGGGGGTTAGTAACTTCATGAGCTGAAAAAAGTGATTTCGCTACCACCCCTGCACTGCTATCGTGATTTTTCTAGTACTAGGGCTGTATACCTTGCCAAAAATCACTATGAGACTTTGTCCCCCCAGATGATACCGATGGCCCAAATTTGGGGCCCTGGCTCATGGACTATCGCCCGTGCACTGCATTCCGGAAGAGCTGTATGCTCACTACATCTCAGTTCCATCCGGTCTTAACCATGAGGAGCTCTTCAGTTACCTCTCGGTTCAAGAGAGCTCCGCTGATGTTCAGGACTCAGGTTTAAACGCCGCTAATCAAACATCGCATGTCCCCTGCCGACCATGTTCCTCAAAGATCGAGGCGATCTGATCCTGGTCCCGATACTGAAGAATCATTATGTCTATTGGATGTGGAATCTGCTCTGAGTGTCATCAATTAATTCCCTGGAAATCAACGCGTTTTCGTCGGCCCGTAAAATAAACAACCAGGGCCATCTTCTGCTACCTGTGAGACCGCTCAACCTGTCCGCTGCCTGCTGACGTCACACCCCACAGGATTCTGGGAACTGCAGTCCCAGCTCCAACAATGGGCTCTCGGTCCCTGAACCCCTGCAGTAGCAATTCCTGATTCCTTCAGGAGTCAAATTCTAGCAGGTAATCTGTTTCTAACTCAGCAATTAATAAAATAATACATTCATATAAACAAATCTATACTGACAGGCTTAAGGAAGTAATAGAGAAATAGACGGGGAAGGAAATAAACAAATAAATAAATAAATTAAATAAATTAAATAAATAATGATAATGACATTGGTGATGGTGGTGATGATGATGATGATGATGATGATAAAAATGATTGTGATTGTTATGGTGATTAAAATAGTAATTATAATGATTGTGGGGATTATTATTATTATGTAATGTGGTTCTGATCTGCTTACAAAAAAATTTGCGGATTGTTGAGATTTTCCATAGTTTGGAAGATAGTAATCCAGATTGTCAGAAACTCAGCGTTGCTTTTGGTGTCTTTAGAAACACCACATGTGAAGTTATGTGCAGCGTAGGGAGGAGCTTGATACCTGTAATATCAGTATTTGCTCTTCTATGGTGGCTCTCTTTTATGAGTATCATAAGTCCTTCTCTGCCAAAGCTGCAACGTACATTCAGAATTCAGTCAGAACTAGACTGGTATATAGTTGTCCTGCCACTAATCGGCAGACAATTTACAGGTCATAAAACTCTAGTCTGCTATCTCTGCAGCAAACTGCAGAGATGTCTTGATGCTGAGACAAGACCTCGTTGAGGGCCTGAGTATTAACAGCCTGGTTCTCCTGGTTATTCGTTCCACTAAGGCATTTAAAACATATTCTTATTATGAAAGTATAAGGATTAACTAGCTGGCATCTAAGCTATAGTTGATAGTTGGTTGCTGTTAACAGCTTGACACGGTTGCTTTTGACATTTTCCAGTTTTAGAGTGATGTTTGGGTAGTGATATTTCTCTTTTAGTGGACAAAAAACATTAACACAAATATATTTTGTCAGTTAACTTAGCTAAAGTTAGTATTAGTGGTAGTATTAGCATCATCGCAAACATTATCTAACAACTTCCCTATGTTCAAGAACTGCGTTGCAAGAACTGGCAAAATCTTAGAAGTAGTAAAGGATCTTCTTTTCAAAAGAGGTTATTAAGGAATACATGTTAGGTCATTGTTAAAATCAGCCTTCTCCTTCTTCAGAGTAAATTCTTAAGTGTTGCAACAAAAAACAAAAAACCTCATTGTTTTCTCAGCTCCTCGCGATTTTTCCATTCCGAGCTTAAATGGCTTTCTCAAGAGCCGTTTTCCTTCTTTGCTTCGTAGAATGCGCAGTACCCAGGGGTTTGTGTATAGCTGGGAAAAGCAGACATTAGATGCCTTCAAAGTCATACCACTTTACCCTTTGCATGGCATCTTTTCAGTGTAGAGATGGTCTTTTAAATTGTACTTTCTGTTAAACTGACATTTGGTTGCTGCAGTAGCCCTTCTTGACTGAAGCATTTTGCTGGATTCTCTACACATTTGCAAACTCTGTTTCGTCTTGCATCTTCAAGATGATTTTTGTAGTAGTTGACTTATCCTCGTCCCTGCCAGCCCGCAGTATGTCTACAGTCAGAAGCTTTTCCAGGAGTTAGGAGTATTGCTTTCCGAAGAGAAACCGTAGACGCCCTTCTACGTGTTTTGGAATTTCTTGACATAACCCTTGATAGTGTGCTCATGCAAGCGTCTCTGCAACACGACAAGCATCAGCATCTGGCATCAGAACTATCAAATTTGGTCTGCCGCCCCCATTCTCTCTGGAAGATTTTCTCTAACTCCTTCAAGGTTGTCCATATCACACTTGCTGGTTTTGGCTAAATCTGTTAAAATCTTAAGATACTGCGTCTTTGACTAAGGCTGTTGCTCAGATATGCAGTTCTAGTCTTTGCTATGTGCTGATGGACCAGCATTTCATTTTAAAATGACTACGAGGAATCTGTAGATTCCCCCTAGGTTTGACTGATGCTGCTCCTCTGTTGGTTTTGGGGGGTTCTCATCAAGAGTGGTTTGCAGACGACAGAAATTCAGTCCCTTATAACCAGTTCTAAATTCACTGCTCTTTATGAAATCTACCCAATTGTCATTTGGGGCAGCAGATGGTCCGGGAAACAAATTATGGTGTTTTGTGAGCTGTTATAGTGGAAATAATTTACAGTTTGTGCATTTATTGTTTTTACTTGATCCTATCATCTTCAAATGCAAAGTATCTAGCTATGCTAGCAGGGATTCAGTTTCACATTCGATGTAAAGATCCAGCATCCGAGAGTCTTCTGGGAAATCCTTCCATTTAGCTGCTCCTAAATGGCTTTAAAAGGTGCATCCTCAAGGCAACGATAAGACTCGCACAATAACACTCACAATTCACTGGTGCATAAATAGTTTTTCACTTATATTGATGTAGTGTTGGAAGAAGTTCTGTTAATGGCTTTTACGGGTTTCTCAGGTGTGAATATGCACGCAGATCTCATCTTAATCCTCAGCATGATCTTCCCTTGTCTGGTTTAACCTTAGAAGATAACGTCACATGTACTCAATGTTCTTGAAGCATTCACAATTTGATAGATGTCATCAAGGCACTAAAATTTTATTGCTAAGACTAACATTACATTTTGTCCTTTCTCTGCTATGATGAAATCCCTGCATCATCGCTCCAACCCATCGGTTGGCTCCCTTGTTCATCGTCGATGGTTGCAACCCATGACAAGATCCTGGTTCTGCTTAAGCTGTGTGATCTCTGCTGAGCTGTGGCCCAACACGAACACTATTCCTTCACTACCTAAGATTGGCGCAGCTACAACCGCAGCTCTCCATCTGCCCACATCAACCAATCTACCAAGGCTATGTCAGGCTCCACAAGACGGAATTTTGACCGTGCAAAAACTGATGAGCTCCTGCTCCCCCTTAATACATTTAAATATTTGTATCTGCTGCCTAATCATATATTTGCACATCAGGTGGTTGCTGGGTTTAGAGTATTTATATATTTGCTATATGGGAAATGTTCCTGCATAAGGTTTGTTAAGTATACACACATAGCAGTTCACTAGATAGTGTATTCCACTGGGGCCAAGGTGCTTCCAGGGAATAGCCACACGGCGGCTGGTGCCAAGGTCAACACATAGAAGATTGTTTCACTGATAGCGTCAGGGTCCATTCCGTGCTGTTTTGGGGGTTAAGGTATTTGCGCATCACTCCCCAATATCCCTATGTAAGCATATCTGCGGAGAGTGATTAGGTCGGAGCCTAGACGCCAAATTCTAGATATGCTATACTGCTTTTGTAAACATTTCAAACGTGAGTTGTCTGACTGAAATGGAGCGAAGTCTGCGAGCTAGTTCATGCAGTCAACTCTAGCTGCGCCGCTATACACACATGACATAAGCACTAACCAAGCACACCCTTTCAATCTCGCAGTCTATTTAAGCTGCAGAATTTCCCAGCTCTCCCTCTGCTTTGTCAATGCCGCTGTTGCCTTGCATCACATAGCTGCTGCTCTGTAAGCTATTGCTGCCTGCTGCACTGTAAGCCCCACTACCACCCCAGCTTCCACCTGTAGGCTCCGGCTAGGGGTTAAGGTATTTACGCATCACTCCCCAAAGGAGGGCTCCCAAGGTGTGGTCTGTTTTGTTAGAGTCACAACTAAATAAGCAAATAATAACATTTTGTTAAAATGTTAGAAACAGACGAAAAATGTGGCTTTAAATAATCAGCAAAGTAAAGACAGGATGTAACACTCTAGTATCTCTGGCTGTAAGACAGCCGGATCCAGTGTCACGAAGAAGGAAAAACACTCTGGACAGGCTGTTTGGATATATGAGCTGGTGGTTTCCTCAAAAAACAGGAGAAACCAGACATTCCCCCTAAAGGAGCCGTAAGTCCTCCTCAAGTCCGCAGGTGTTGTGTGTTTGATTTGAAGTCCTCCAGCTCAGTCACTTGTTCAAAAAGGCCGGAGCCTAGACGCCAAAATCTAAATATACTATACTGCTTTAATAAACATTTCAAACGTAAGTTGTCTGACTGAAATACAATTACGAAAAAATATTTTCATAATTTTATTACATGAAAAATGTGTAACTGTAAATAATGATAAAATTACTGCTGATTTAAAAAAGACATTTGCTGATCTTTTTTCTTTCACGGATGTTTACTGTTTATTTAATTGATTAAACTGTTAAATTCAAGTTTATTACTGTTAATACATTTCTAAACTTATGTAAAATTAGTGACAATTATATATAAATATTTGTTTTTTTCTTTCTTTCACAACAAAAACATTAAATAAATGTTGTTTTTTTTTATCAGTGTAAGCATTGCGCACTATCAAAATACAGTTTTTATCACTGAAAACAGCAATAATTAATTTCACAGATGGTGACTTTAATTCTTGTATAACCTTTAAAATTCAGAATAAAACAAGATCTAATAACTCTAAATTTGTAAATTAAAACCTGATTATCTATATTATAACAGTGTTCACCTGTATTTATAGATAATTTAACAATAAAAGCAGAAACAAAAGGGATTGTATGTCAAAATAAAGCTAAAATTACTGTATTTTTACAGATCAGTTATTTTCTGTTATTTTATTTGGATTTCTGTCACCCCAGCTGCTGGAATATTACAATTTTCCCCTTTTTTTATTATTAGTTTTACAGTGTAGTGTCATAAGTAAAAAATTTGGCCATAATAGATTATTAAATTAATTTCTGTTTTTCAATTAATATATATGTATGTTGGGCATTTTTCAGGGCTGCCACCCTATTCTACCCCTCAGAGTAAACTGACCTCTGTCCACTCTTGTTCTTGGCTTTGTAGCAGTAGATTCCCAGCACAGTGACAATAGCAGCAGACAGCAGGACAGCCAGAATCCCTGCCACCAGCCCTGACACATCCACTCTGGGTGCATACTCTTCAAAGACAAACATCATTAACATTAAACCATTTCTTAGACAGTTATCATACCAGTCAGTCAGTCACTAATCACTGCAGTGATCAGTCATTATTGTCTTCTATTTGTGTATTGAAGCTCAGCACACTTTCTATCAAGACTTATGACTCATTCAATTGACAATTCTCTCTCTCCCTCTTCCTGCTAGTGACAAGTTGTTCAGGGCTCTATGAGTCGGCTCCTTTAAATGAACGATGGGAGCCGGCTTCTGAGAGTTCAATAGAAATAAAACGGTCAATCCATGTGTGGAACAGTGTTTGTTTTTAAATAAGATTTGTATATCGAGCATAGTGTAAAATGGTATGGTGTTCTGGAAATTATAAGGCTTGGGGAGTAAGGGGAGTAAGAAGACATATAAAATATACACAGTAGGCCTACATCTAAGCATTTCATTAATTTCTGTGAAGAAAACTGAATTAAAATGTAGTTAAGACATATTTACAGAGCCTTCAATCTCTGATAAACAGCCTCGTCATGCATTAGAAAAGAAAACACAAACAAAGAGCTAATAGAACAATGAGAAGAAAACACTTAATCTATCAAAAGAATATGAAGCATGCGTGATTGTTTAAAAAAATCCTAAAACAAACAAATTGTATATTTTACCTAAAGATATCAAGAAAACTCATGTCTGATGCAATATTATGTGTTCATACAGTTGTACAGTTTATCAGTTGTTCAGTACTTGTTATGCATTGAATAAAATATGAAATATTCATAAAATATGTCACTTAGTCAGGGGTCATCAGTTTATTCAATAATAGAAAAGGGGTCCGTTGGTGAAAAAGGTTTTAAACTATGGTTCTAAATGACAAAACATACATGCTAAGACTGTATTGCAGCATTCAATAGCATGCCCAAGTGAGTGCACCCTTAACCAAGCACATAAAACAAATAAAATATGTGCAATACGGAAATTATACTGTGTATAATGTTAATTATAAAAATGATGTACTTGTTGTTACACATGTATGCATGAATGTGAAAAAACTACATTCTGTTGAATGAGCCCAACACCAACAACACATTTTTTTGTTGTTGTCTTTTTCACAGCAGCCATTTTGACCAATGATACTAATTAAGGTTCTGTTACATTCAGTCCAAACAGAGTCAGAGTGTCCTAGTATCATTGGTAACACTTGTGTTTACCCTACAATTTCATGTCAAAATGGCTGCTGTGAAAAAGGTATCTAATGGATAATGTTTATATTTTACAGTATTACCTTGCTTGTAGTCCTTCCAAAATGCTTGCTAAAATGGAAATAAAAGAAGATTTAATTAAGTATCTTTGTGAAAAAGGAAGAAAAGGAACATGAGGTCCTAGGGTGGCATAGGATATTTAATTTAAGCCAATGTGGACATGCAAAGGTTTTCTTAAGTATGTTTAGGTAAAAAATCTGGTATTTATTGTTTGTGTATTTATTTACTGTTTATTATTCAAGACTACAACTGTAGCAATGCAGTGATAATGAAACCAAAAGGCTTTCAGTAAACTCTTGTCACTGTTCACACAACTATTTCACAAAATCAAACAATTAAGTGATATCAACCTCCCAAAAACCCTTCAGGGGCACTAAAGTCAGGAGTCTCTCCCTATCTGTATAGGTAAATGGGAAAAAACAACCAGTAGAATTCTACATCCAAATGAGATTTAGATGAGACAGTAGAGAGACAATCTTTGCCAGCAGCATTACCGCCATAGAGTCGTCCTCAAACACCTCTCTGGCCTCCTCATAGCTGCACATCTCTTCCACGCACTCCCTCTCCAGGTTGTCAGTCACCACCAGCTCCAAGTCCCAACTGTTATAGAGCAGCGAACGGGACAGGAAGGAGGTCGCTGACTGTTCATCCACTAACACTGGGTCTCCTGCACAACACAGGCCACATGTATACACACACAGAGTGGCAAGAACAATACAACTCCCATACTCTGGAACCCAATACAGAAATAAATAAATAAAAGTTTGTGAAAAATAATTTTCACTGTTTTTCAGTGTTTTGGCTCTGTAATATAGCTGTTTGACTTCCAGCTCTAAAGGATATGTGCAGAACCTGCAGATATTTACAGTTTATTGCATAGGTTAAACTGTTACTTTGTACTGTTAATGCATTTCTAAAATTATGTAAAGTTAGTGACAATTAACAGTGAAAAAATTTGTTCTGTAATTTGACATGGATTGGTTTGTCATCTGACAAATTGGACATTTTCACAACAAAAACATTGAATACATGTTTTTTTTTTTATCAGTCTATAAGAATTGGTATATCACTGAAAACAGCAATAATTACCATTATTTCACAGATGGTGACTTTTATTGCAGTTCTCTAACTTAAATTCAGATTAAGATCAAATATCAAAATCAAATAATAACAGCACTCTTCTGTAAAACCTGATTATTTGTATTATATCAGTGTTTGCCTGTATTTGTAGATAATATAATTGTTTTTACATATGTAAATATCTTTAATTAAACAATAAAATGGCAAAATAATAAACGAGTATTTCTTTGGCACGACAACTGCTGGAATATTACCATTTTTTAACTTAACACTCCAATGTGTGATATATCTTCTCCCACTGTGCCATAGAGCTCTATTGTTATCCACAAAAACTATTTATTTTGTCATTAAATGACCCAATGTGGATTAATCCACAGTGTAAAATAGTCCCCAACGAATGCACTATTTCCTCCTGTTATTGTAATGTTAGCTAAAGTAACAGTGACCAGAGGGGGTTGGGGACAGTGCTACAGATGGGTTAATGACAGACAGTACTGAGAGATTAACTAACTTGTTGTTGTTTTGGGTGTTTTTATGGTATGTGTTGCAAAAGAAAAGAGAGGTGAAATAAAGAAGGTGTTCTTTTCTGAAACAACCCCATTATTTAAAATCAGAAAGCCAGTGTCTTGGATAACTAAAATGAAAATAAAATGAAATGCTAAAATATTTTCATAATTAAAACTGATGAAGGATGAACTAAAGAAAAAGTCAGAGTGGTAGAATATGCAGCAGGGAACATGAAAAACCTTTAATTAAAATGTCTGAAGTAATAGATACGTGTAAATTGTTATTTTACAACACAGGATAATCAAATTCAGGTGGTAGTTCCCTTTTACTACTTTTAAAGAACAAAAAATATATATTCAAAAATGATACAGGGTGAAATTTAGTGGCATTTGGCAGTGTGGTTGAAGGGAGTTTCTCCCTCCAAACTTGAAGAAGAAACTCCAGTGGCCCTGAAATGCGCAAAAAACGTGACTGGCCCTATCCACAGCCAGTGTTTGGGTTGTCCATTCTGGGCTACTATAGAAACATGGTGGTTCAACATAGCGGGCTCTGTAGAAGAGGACCTCTTTTCATAAAAACGTCTCATTCTAAGGTAACAAAAACACAATTCCTATATTCAGGTGATTACTAATGACAAATAAACATACCTATGAATATTATATTCCATTTAGACAATAGATCACTGAAATTCAAATGAAATTAAAGCTGCAAGCAGCATTGGGTGGGACCTCGCCATCAACCTACATCGGGGCCTGCACTGCGGCCACCCGCCGCAGCCGTGCCATGCCACGTCACCCCACGCCCAGTCCCTCATCATTGGAAGCCGAGGGAGACCGCTCTACGTCATCACGCATTTCAGACACCGTGCAAAAAACTTACGCGTTCAAAACTTCACATAAATCAGATTAAAGTTGCCATGCAGCGCTTACTTCCTGTTGCCAGTAGGTGGCGCTATCACTATATCTGAATATTGTCATGTAGATGTGTTCAGGTCGGGACTCATATCAAACGTGAAGTTTCATTGAGATTGTACCATGTACACTGAAGTTATGAGGACGTGTTCAGGGTGGGGCTGTTACAGAATATGTGAAGTTTAGTGGAGATTGGGCATTGTACACTGAAGTTGAGTACTATCTGTTTTTTGGTGATTCGGCGGAATTTGACACGTCGTCGTACAGTCACAAATAGCACAACTTTTCATCTACAGTTTGTTTTGATTGTACTGACCAATTTTAAAATTGATCAGATATACTCTCTAGGAGGGGTTCGTTCAAATACAACGCGAAAAATCACAGAAAATGACCAAAACATTCAAAATGGCCACGCCACAGACACGCACTTCGACGTACAGTCACAAATAGCACAACTTTTAATCAGCATGATTTTTTAACTGTACTGACCAGTTTTGATGTTGGTCCGCTTGGTCCAAGAGGCTTTTTTGCTTGTCCCATCACGATACACATACCAACTAATTTTCGTACATGTCGGTCATACGTGTCTTGGGGGCTGATTCTGGGGGGTGTGGCTAAGCCATTTCACAACGCCCATCTAAGGGACCAAGACAATACCTTAGCCTTCGCCATGACTGAATTTTGTGCAAAGTTTCATGAGTTTTCACGCATGTTTAGCCCCCCAAGTGTTCAAATGTAAATAGAAAAGCTGATTTTTGCTGTGTCGCCATGGTAACGTGGTTCCACGCAAGTCTCAAGATTCATAAGATGTCATCGTCATTTTCCTAAAGAACTTCTGACAGAACTTCAGCTGGATCCGGTCAATCTGCTGGAACATAAAAGTATAAAAATGACATTTCCTTTCATCACTAGGTGGCACTCTCACTATTATTGAATATTATCACATAGAAGTGTTCAGGGCAGGACTCTTATCAGGCAAGTGAAGTTTGGAGCCGATTGGACGATGTACACTCAAGTTATAGCAACTTCGTGTGTTCTGGCGGTACATCAAAGTTTGACGCCACGCCACAGACACGCCCTTTAACAAACCGTCACCACAATCATGAGATATCATCAACAACATGTTTTGTATTTCCTGACTGGATTTCAGCTCGATCTGGTCATCCTGCTTAGAGTAGAACATGGAAGTATTAAAAAATGACATTTCCTTTCACCACTAGGTGGCGCTCTCACTATTACTGAATATTATCAAATAGACTTGTTCAGGGCGGGACTCTTATCAAACATGTGAATATTCGTTATGACAAATCCCTCTTTCATGGCGAAGGTTCGAAATTGGACCTCACGCCACGTGTACGCTGTTCGATTGAATGTCGTAAATAGCACAACTTTTAATCGTGAATGTGTTTAGAAGGCTGTGTCCAAATCGGAAGTTGTTCCAATCAATTTCCTAGGAGGAGTTCGTTCAAATACAATGTGTGCAAATTGCCAAAAATGGTCGCTAAATCCAAAATGGCCGACTTCCTGTTGGGTTTGGGATATGGCACCCACTGGATTTTTTTGTTCGTCTGGATCTACGTGTGTACAGATTTACATGCATATCGGTGAATGGGGCCCCGGATGGTACAGTTAATGGGCCCCTGAGGAGCCATTTCACCACGACTGACGTGCGCTGCTTTTCATGAGGTTTCGAACATGTTGCGGCCTCCAAATATGCAGTCGAAGGGGTTAAAAATAATAATAATAGGTAAGAAGAATAAGAATTCTAGCAAACGCAATAGGGACCTCCTGTGGTCGCTGGCTCGGTCCCTAAAAATATGAAACCTTAGAGTAAAAATGTTCAAAGAGTGTCATTTTTATTAAATACAATATTGTCCTATAGTCCCAAACCTATAGAAAGGCCCTCTGTAACACCAGAGGAGCCTATTATTCAGCACAAATAGAAGAACATAAGAACAACCCTAGGTTCCTCTTCAGCACTGTAGCCAGGCTGACAGAGAGTCACAGCTCTATTGAGCCACATATCCCCATAAACTTAAGTAGCAACGACTTTATGAGCTTCTTTTATAATAAAATTATTACTATTAGAGAGAAAATTAATCACCAACTGCCATCAACAGTTATCAGTGGCTCTCCAAGTTTAGGAACTTTAACTAATGTAAACTCAGATATAACGTTATATTTAGACTGTTTTTCTGCTATCGATCTTCATCAGTTAACTTCAACCTGTCATCCCAACTAGGCTGCTTAAAGAAGTCGTACCCTTAATTGGCACTTCTTTACCTGATATGATTAATCTTTCTTTATTATCAGGATATGTACCACAGTCCTTTAAAGTAGCTGTAATTAAACCCCTTCTTAAAAAGCCCACTCTTGACCTAGGGGTTTTAGCCAACTATAGACCGATCTCTAACCTCCCCTTCCTCTCTAAGATTCTGGAGAAAGTAGTCGCCAAAGAGTTGTGTGACTTTTTACATAACAATAGTTTATTTGAGGATTTTCAGTCAGGATTTAGAGTTCATCACAGCACAGAGACAGCTCTGGTTAAAGTTAATAATGACCTTTTGATTGCTTCAAACAATGGACTCGTCTCTGTACTTGTATTATTAGATCTTAGTGCTGCATTTGACACCATTGACCATAATATTTTTTTACAGAGACTTGAGCATCAAATTGGCATTAAAGGAACCGCACTAAGCTGGTTTAAGTCATATTTATCAGATCGTTCGCAGTTTGTACATGTTAACAATGAATCTTCAATAAATACTACAGTTAGTCATGGAGTTCCACAAGGTTCTGTACTTGGGCCAATACTATTTACTTTATATATGCTCCCTTTAGGCAAAATTATTAGGAATCACTCCATTAACTTTTACTGTTATGCAGAAGATACGCAGTTATATCTATCAATCAAGCCTGATGAAATTAATCAATTATCTAAATTACAAACATGTCTTAAGGACATAAAATCCTGGAGGAGCTGCAATTTTCTGATGTTAAACTCAGAAGAAACCGAAATTCTTGTACTTGGCCCCAAAAATCTTAGAGACTCAGTGTCTAAAGATATAGTTACTCTAGATGGCATTACCTTGGCCTCTAGCACCACTGTCAGGAATCTTGGAGTTATCTTTGATCAGGATTTGTCATTTAATTCCCACATAAAGCAGACCTCTAGGACTGCCTTCTTTCATTTACGTAATATTAGAAAAATTAGACACATACTATCACAGACAGATGCAGAAAAACTAATCCATGCATTTGTTACTTCTAGGCTGGATTACTGCAACTCTTCATTATCAGGTTGCCCCAATAAGACCATTAAAACGCTCCAATTGATTCAAAACGCTGCAGCACGAGTACTGAACTGAGGAACTAGAAAAAGAGATCACATCTCTCCTGTACTAGCTTCTCTCCCTGTAAAATTTAGAATAAAATTTTAAATTCTCCTCCTCATCTATAAAGCTCTTCATGATCAGGCCCCTTCATATCTTATTACCCAACTAGAACATTACATTCTCTGAATGCTGGGCTACTTGTGGTTCCTATAGTCTCTAAAAGTAGAACAGGAGCCAGAGCCTTCAGTTACAAGCTCCTCTCCTGTGGAACCAGCTTCCTGTTGTGGAATTAAGGAATGTCTTAAGCCTACATTCAAGAGTAGGCTTAAGACATTCCTCTTTGATAAAGCTTATAGTTAGGGCTGGATCAGGTGAGTCCTGAACCATCCCTTAGTTATGCTGCTATAGGCCTAGACTATCGGGGGATTTCCCATGGTGCACTGAGCTCCTCTCTTCCTCTCTCTTTCTGCACTCATTCATGTCCCATTAATGCATGTTACTAATTTCACTTCTTCCCCGGAGTTCTTGTTCTTCCTGGTGGAGCCTCCTGCCATGGTCCTGCTAGATTGCTAGATTACCAATACTGTTGTTGCTGTGCACCTGTCTGTCTGTCTGTTTGTCTGTCTGTCTGTCTGTCTGTCTGTCTGTCTGTCTCTCTCTCTCTCTCTCTCTCTCTCTCTCTCTCTCACCCCAACTGGTCGAGACAGACGACCACCCACCTAGAGCCGGAGGATCTGTCCTAGGTTTCTGCCTTTTAACAGGCAGTTTTTCCTTGCCCTTGTCGCCAAGTGCTTGCTCATGGTGGTACTGTTGGGTCTCTGTAAATGTTATAAGGAGTTCGGTCTAGACCTGCTCTATTTGAAATAACTTCTGTTATGAATTGGCGCTATACAAATAAAATTGAATTGAATTGAATTGAATTGAAATTTAACTAATTGTGTTTAGTTTCAGTCAGTTTCCAGGGTGGGCTTGCGTGTTTCAGTTTAGTCTTTTATTGTTTCAAAATGTCTATTTTTAGTTTAGTTTTATATATTTTTTGTAATTATAATATTTGTCGGAATTGGTATTACATTAATAATATTGTTATTCAGGTGTAAGTCAGGTAGACATCAGTCTCAATATACATGACATGACATGACATGACAAATTTATCCAAAAGAGACATTTCCTGTATTTTTATTATTTTAGTTTATTTAGTCAGTACACAATGTCATTTCAATTTGTTGTTGTTTAGTCTAGTTTTTATTTTTATTTCAGTTAACTAAATGTTTTTTTATACCTAGTTTTAGTTTTTAGCTCAGTTTTAGTGAACAATAATAACCTTGGTACTAAGACCAATAAATGTCTTGTGTTATTTTATGCTATTTTATTTTATTTCAGAGTCTTTGGCACTGCGAGATAGACTTCAAATCTTTTCCTTGATGGGTGCAGTGTGCCTTTGTATGAACTGACAAACTCTGAGTGAGAAAATGTATAGTTTACCTGGAGCGTGCCTGTAGGTGACAGAGCCGTTGGCCAGCTGCAGCAGGGATAGCAAGGCAATCCACGCAGCTGAAGAGGCTGCCATTGAAGCAAAAAACAACACGGAAAATAACAAGGAAGGACGTCTGGGGAATTATTCCAACACTGCTGTAGAGGATGAACCTGTCCAACGTTGTTGCCTCTTTACTTGGTTGGTCTGTCAAAGCTTTCCAGGAAAAAAACACCACATATCCTTCTTGATTTTCAGAAACATGGAGGCACCAATATTTCTTCCAACTGAACTTCTTATTGCTGATTTTTCTGTTGAAACCGTCCGGCCACAAAGTGTATGCCGTTTGCTTAGAGAGAGGTCACATCACAAACCTGTTGGACAGCATACCAGCAGGAGGGAGGAACCTCTATAAACCTGTCTGTCTGCCTGCCTGTCTCACTGTGTGTGTGTGTGTGTGTGTGTGTGTGTGTGTGTGTGTGTGTGTGTGTGTGTGTATTCCAGTTTACTAAAGGAGTGTAATACAACCGTTTTTAAACATGACATGACTCATTTTGGAGGCTGGTGATATAAAAAGGTATATAATTATGTTGTTTGGAGGATATATTAAAAAAGGGAAGAGGGAAACCTGGAAAAAAAAAAAAAAAGTCATGCCATGCCTTCCTTGTGTTGTTTATTGTGTGTTTGTGTGTATTTTAATGTTGTGTAGACTTGACCAAGTAACCTTTATTTTATTGAAAGAAATTAAAGGTGACATATTAGGTACTAGAATTGGTTTACATGCTTTAATGTTCAAGAAAACACATTTTTCTCACATTGTCAATTGTTCTGCTCTGATTGGTCAGCTCACACAGGACTAAGCATTCACCACCCACCATGTTTCTGCATCATCTGCTGTCTATTTGCAGCCAGGCAGTCATTATAATGAGTTTACCATGAATATCACCAAAAATCGCTTATAAACCTAAAACTTTTAACCTCACATATTCAAGCGGCAATCTGACCCTACACTTGGATTAAACAAAACTGGGAATCAAGATTAACATTTTCTCAGCCGAAATGCTCATGTTTGTGACAGCACAGAATGTAAACATTAATGGCGTCCTTGGCTGAGTTGTAACGTTAGCTAGTTTACCTAGCACCACAGAGATAGCTAACATTCAGCTACAGGTGGGGGGTGTAGTTCCTACATAAAACGTCTCACAACAAGGTCTATGGATTATCCTCAGTAAACCTGTCATGATTTCTGGAAAGAGACATTGCTGTTGAGTTTTTTTGTAAGAGCATTTTTTACAGTGCCATTATACTGGATAGAAGGCAGACATCTCTACAGCTGATATCTCCAAAACTCAGCAACTCACACTAAAACAATCTACATTGATGAATAGCACTACAGGGGAGAGTAAAATATGTACTTTTGGGGTGAACTGTCCCTTTAAAGGGACATTACATTTAGGAAGATCTATTGGTAGAAATTGAATATAATATGCATAACTATGTTTTCATTAGTGTATAATCACTTGAAAGACAAACCAAACACTGTAATAACAAACAGCTGATACACTAGCAGGTCAATCCAGCTTTAATCAAAGCAGAGAAGTGATTCTCTGTATTAAATGCCGATTGTTGAGAAAGTGTGTTTTTTCTTTTAAAGCACTGATATCTGTAGAAGTCAATTTGTTGTATTACTTTGTGCCATTCATATATTGTCCTTTTTTCATCAGCAGTTAATCTATCAATTATTTTCTCTGTTAATCCATTAGTTGTTTGGTCAAGAAAATGGTGAAGCATTTTTATTAGTGTTTCCCACAGCCCAAGGTGACTTTCTTTATTGTCAATGTTTTGTCCTCAACCCAAATATATTCAGTTCACTGTCATAGAGGACTAAAGAAACTAATATTCTCATTTGAGAAGCTAAAATCAAAGAATTTGCTTCTTTAAAATGACTAAAATTATTTATTGATTATCAAAATAGTTGGCGATTAATTTAGTAGTTGACAACTAATTATTAATCGACTCATCGTTGCAACTCCCACAATACAGTGACAACACAGTAGGGTTCCACACTGACTGACATCTGTTGGCCCACACCATGCATCATTTTCTTTTTGTACAGTACAGTACATTAATTTCTAATATACCAACTTACAAAATGGCGCATTGTCAACACACACACAACACAGTATACATCAGTGTACAGTCTCTCAACTGGGAAAACTAACACATTAAGCTCCACTTCATTGTTAGATTGGATGTAAAAAGTGTAATCTTGTTCATGTTCATCCAATATCTAATACAACAAAATCCTAATGATGAGAATTTAATATCAACCGAGGACCTAAAAATATCACCCAAAACTAAGACACAACAGAAAGAAATGTTTGAGTAAATGTTTTAATGGTGTACAAAAGTGATTTGACAATTTTTCTATATAAAACTTATGATGTGAAATGCAGGTTGTAAGGTGGATATAAATATTAATTCTTAATAAAAGGGGAAAGAAGTAAACCAAACTGCCCAAAGCATTACAAATGGGAGATATAAAAGTGGATATTTAGAAAAATACTGTGAGATTTTTTTTTTCAAGTGAGCTTGATAAAGCCTTGTTTTGGTGTGCATCATCTTGAGTTAATGTTTCCTTGCAGATAAGAAGCAGTGACGAAGGTGCTTGAAGATGTGAATTGGACTCCTGTCTGTGGTTTTTGATTGTCTTGATACCATGGTCCAAATGGACCCCTTCTAAGTCAGGAGAAAGTTTCTCCTTTCCTGTACTTTGATATGCTATGTGCTAGGCTCTCTATATTGAAAAGATAACCAAATTTTAAAGATGGTTAAGTGATAAAAGTGACACATATATAGTCACATTTTAAGTTAGCTATCTTAGCAAAATGTTAACTAACTAATCTACATATAGGCATTAGCTTGCTAGTTAGCATTTTGCTAGTTACATCTCTATGAATGTAGATTAGGAACTGTCTTTCTCTCTAGCAAAACACCGGTTAATCTAGTTCTTTCCAATCCTCAGATACATGTTACCCATCTCTCAGGCATCTTTGAGAAAATCCACATTCATAACATCTAACATAGAGCATAATGGGATGTTACACAGTAAGCCATTAGCTGTGCTATTGTTTACTTCTGCTTTCCAAAACCTGAAACCAGTTGAGTCTTGCCTAGCACACTGCAAAATCAATTAATTTAACAGTTTCATACTGCATACTAGTATGAAAAGCGGTATGCAGTATGTAAAACATTCTGCATTTGTCGGCAGTACAGGTGGTTCCCGAATACAGCCCTTTGAACAGAAACGGGGTTTACCATCTCTCCCTATATATAATCACCTGCCATTACATGATTGAAGTTGCAACAACACACAATGACAACTGAACCATCTCCATGACTGAGTCCCCCCATCCACTGATGAAGACCATTGTAAATATCTTTCCTGTACAGTTTGGATCTTTCTATCTTTATCCTTATCTTTATTTATGTATATTTTAAAAAGTACTTTATTTTTGTGTGATTTTTATGCACCAATGCACCAAGACAAAAAACTTACTTGGCAATAAACCCGATTCTGATTCTGATCTGAACCCCAAGTTAGGATTATGCTGTTCAACTACTTTACTCAAAGTCAAGAAGGAACTTTAACCTGTAACCAGTTCATTACTACAGTGTCAACTCTGTGGTCACTATTGTTAATTTCTTTGAGAAAAACATCATTGTTTGATTTTACCTCATTTTTAAACACTGATGATGTAAAAACTAAAACAATGGAGAAAAAAAGTACCAGAATGTAGTCAACCTATCCCCAAAACCATGAACATCCAGACCAGGGGTCTCCAACATTTCTGAGTGTGAGGGCTACCTAAAGGAGAAAATGAATGGCAGGGCTGCTATGGATATTTGATGAACATCCATGTTAAATTGATGCTTTCAATAGAATTACATAGAGGCGTGTATCTGCACCTTTAGTCATTTTCTACGTACAGGGTTAAACCAATTGGAATTGTGGATGAGGAAGTTATTTCTTCTCTGGTGGTTGTATTAACACTGAAGGATCTTGAGAGAAATCTACTGATAAGAACTGAGAGTCCATTTACTCGCCTAATCCACCAATTAACTGATAGATCATGAAAATCTACAAATCAGCTCAGAGAAAGTTGGCAAGGGCAGAACAGGGAAGCCTGGTTTCAAGTGGGAATATGTAATATGTAATAAATTATAGTCACAATATACTTTTTTAATCAATAAAAATGTATAGGTAATGTATTTAAATGTTCTGACACAGTCCGGACTTTCCAGTTTGTTCCGAACCAAAGTTACAGGTGTGAAACCTCCCTGAGACCACAGTCCGGACTAAACAGCTTAACCTAGGTGCGACCAAATTAGGTGGTAGACCAAACTGAACCATGGCTTGGTTTGTTTCTAGTATGGAAACATTCTTATGAATGGTAAATCTAACTATTGGACTAATTACAGGAAGTTCTGGCAGACAATTTTCACACTACATTTGGTGAATTCGAGGTAGACTCAATTATTGCGCTTGAAGTTGGTGCTGCTGGTAGTAATGCCATAGTAATATTATATTGGCAAATACATTTACTCCATTCATTCCAACTGTGATAGAAGGCTACCTGCCACACTTATAGCTGACATCAGATAAACGGCCGTCGATAAACCAATCAATTGCAAGTAGAGACCAAGACTCAGCTAAACTGCAATGCGAAACCAAACCTAGATCAAACGTATAGTGTAACAAAATCTCAAACCTTGGTTTGGACTTTCACATGTGAAAAGACTCACATTACACAACATCTCTGGACAGCTCATAGGCTACTCACAGGCTACCAGGTTGAAGACCTCTGATCCAGACAGTATTTGTTTCAGCCCAACATGTTGCAAATGTTAAAATGTGAAACACAGAAACAACTTCTGCTGTTGTGAATACTGCACTGCCAGCTTGAAGTTCATGTAACCTTAATTTAGTCAAATTTTCAATAGGCATTGCACGGCAAACCGACCAAGAGTTCCCATACTGAAACAGTCTGCATCTGGATAATGTACAATCTGTTTAGGCCCTTGAACTGTCATCTGGTATTTATGGATGTTTTCAATCTCAACTTCAGTCTCATTATGGCACTGCAGGTGAAAAGATAGGGAGAAACATCACTATAGCCTGGAACTGCTGCCACGCTTCCTCCCTTTCCTTGTATAATTCTGCTGTGGGGCTCTGCTGCCCCCTTCAGAAAGGCGTGGAACATGGATGTTTCATTTTTGGGCATGCCACATGCCATGAGCACCAAGCTGAAATCTTACATGCACATTTCTTTTTGCACACGAAAAACATAGTATTGGAAATAAAGTGTTAAGTCAGCTGTGTGGTGGCAAAGTCACTGCTGACATCTGTACCTGCAGCAGTTTGGTCATTTTTACAACACGTGATGGTGTGATTTTTATTTGTGGATGCTACCTTTGTACGGTAATGTCATGATGTCACTGGTACACCGGCCAGAGTACTGACTTCCTGTTTCTCCACCAAACTAATTCTGCTGCTGCTTCTTCAGATGATTTCATTAAAATAAAACACAAACGTTGCTTTTGGCAAAAGTGCAAATGAAACCATTTGGAAAGAAAATGATGCACCTTATCTCTCTCTCTCTCTCTCTCTCTCTCACTCTCACACACACACACACACACACTCCTTTCTGGAAAAGCAGTAAAGGGATGAGGCTTTGGTGTCCATAGTAACTTAGAGGAGGACACAGGGACAGCCACCACTCTTCTGTTTCCCTGTATGATGAGCTTGAGGAGGAGGACTCTCCATCTCCTGAAACCTCCTGTGGATCAAGAAGAGTAGGAACAGAAAGAACGTAATGAATCATTGTAAAGTAAAGCGAGTTGTCCACTAATCAGAAGGTTGACAGGTTTGATTCCTATCTCCTCCTGCTGCATGTTGGCGTGTCCTTGAGCAAGATACTGAACCTCAAATTGTTCAAAATAAGATTAAATGATCACAATGTCAGTAGTAGGGCAAAATTAAAAACTATAAAACAGGGATGTGGATTTAGACTAAATCTGTAGTAAACCTAAGTAAAATAATTCAGAACTATACCTGATAATTTGCACCAGCTCCAGGAAGGCCTCATCCACATTGTATCGATTCTTGGCTGAAGCCTCCATGTAGTGGATCCTGTTCTCTCTGGCGAATGCCTGAGCATCCTCCCTCGAGATCTGCACACAAATCAAACACTGGGTATTGTTTGCCCAGTCTCCATCCACTGTCCCCTCATCCTTTTCATTCTGTACAGCTGGGCTCTTCTTTCTCTCCATTCACTTCAATAATGAGTGATCTACCTGATCAATACTGTACTGAGAAGAGATTGGCCCAGATAAGAAATAAAAGGCTTCATTACAAATGTAAAGAACAAGACTAGGTGGAAACCTTGTATGTGGCTGGACTGTGTATGGCAAATGGTAGCGTCTATATTCTAAATTCCTGGATATTAACATACACTACTCACAAAAAGTTAGGGATATTCGGCTTTCGGATGAAATTTCAGATGCACCTAAAATGCACTATAACCTTTACAGGTCAACTTAATTTGACCTTGTCTAAACTTTTGAATGCACTGTTCAATCTTTCCGTACTCACTGCTAACATTGTGTTCTCTAACAAGGTCATTAAGTGCAAATATCACAACAAGTGTCTGATCCATGAATCGACCACTAATTGTTCTGGTTTAATGACAATTTGTATTTAAACAGTCCTCTCCATCATGCTGTTCACATTTTGACATCATGAGATCAAGATGACACCTAACAATCGATCAACAGTACCTGGCCATTGCAAGACTTTAAACGTATTTACTCAGATGAAAGTTGCCACTGATCTTAGAGTGACCACTTCACTGTGAATAGTGCCCTGCGAAACCGGATGGTGTATGCCACTCAGCTCCAGGAACGTTTAAGGGAGGTGAGAGGCACCCGAGTGTCACGTCATGCATGGGCCAGGAAGCACTGTGCTGGACGAGAAACCAGTGGGCCTCAGTGCTGTTCTCAGTCGATTCACATTGAGCAGAAATGATGGCCGCACGCTCTTAGAGGCACCAAGAAGAACACTATGCATCAGCCACTGTGGTCACCAAACGAGCCTTTGGAAGAGGTGGTGTTACAGACTGGGCAGGTGTGTCTAGTCAATACAGAACTGCCCTACACCTTGTGAATGGTACTGTGACAAGCCGATACTACCTGAATAACCTCAATAATCCAGTCATTGTGCCTCTGCATGAGCAACACAGGCCTGATTTCATCTTCATGGATGACAATGCCCCAGCTCATCGAGGTCGCATCATCAGGGAACGGCTGCTGGAGGCTGGGGTACCTCAATTGGAGTGGCCTGCACTTTCTCCATACTTGAATCCCATAGAAAACCTATGGGATCAGCTGAGTCGCCATGTAGAGGGTCATCACCCCGCAACCCAGAACCTCAATGACCTGAGGGCAGTCCTTCAAGAAGAGTGGAATGCCATGCCTCAGCAGACAATAAGTCGACTTGTAAACAGCATGAGATGTTGTTGTCAAGTTGTAATTGATGCTCAAGGACACATGACAAGTGTCATGGATACCCACCACTGTTGTTGTTTTGTTTCAATAAATTGTTTGAGATGAAGAAATTACCATTGCTTGCTTCTACTTAAATGTGATATAATATCACTGTAGCATGAACGTTTTATATTTTCCATAAATTTCACCCGAAAGTCGAATATCCCTAACTTTTTGTGAGAAGTGTATATATCTGCACTTAATTATATTAATTAATACTATAAAGATACAGAAACATGAACAAAGGTCTTACTTACAACTCTTTGCTGTTCCAGGTCAGCCTTGTTTCCAACCAGCACCATGGGGAAATCATCTCGGTCCTTCACTCTCAGGATCTGGGTGTGAAATTTCTGGACCTCATGGTAGCTTTTGGGAGAAGGGAGGCAAGAATTAGCTGTCCCAGTATCAAAAAGCATATATTCAAATGGATTTTTTATCAAAGTATGAATAAAATGTCTTTTTGTTTCTTTGCACCACGTACAACAGTAATAATAACTTTAGTTAATAACTTGGGGGAGTGGGGAGTTATGGTGGTAGTCATTGTTCTTGGTGTGGACACAAATAGACACATTGATCACAATAGTTTCACTATAGCTTCAATAGTGTATATACCAAATATTTGTGCTTTTTTTATATGAATTTGTGAATTGCTAACAACAGACGTTCAGAGTGGTAAAGCACAAGGTCTCTGTGTAAGAACTGACAGACCCTGTTAATGCTGCCTGTATCTGCTGGTGTGCATTTAGCTCAGCTGCAAACTATATAAAAACAGAGACAAGATCCGTAAAACTTCAAAGGGAGTGCAGAACGGTTTGACACAATCATCAACACCTCGACCCCACCCCCTCCATTCCCCTCCAGCAAATGTGTGAGACCTGTGGGGATGGAACAATATACAAACACTTAGATACTTGAAGAAGCAATCAAACTCACTAACTTACAGCGCTGTATGGATTTCCTGATTTATTTTGACTTGCCACAAGGGGGAGACTGCATCTTATTTGCTAGAGACGTGTGCAACTAGTTTGTGGTTTTGTTATAATGGAATGCAATTAGTTGTACAGGTATCAGTCACACTGAGTCCACTCCCTGTGTGTGTTGAGCTGTTGTCTAAGTAACAGCTCAACAGTCTCACTTCCAGCAACTTCCTCTTTGACAGGAAGACAGACAGCCACTGTTAGTGACATCATCACACTGTGTCCACCTCTTAGGCACTTATCAAGCTAGACGCACACAATCACACACACACACACGGACACTTTCCATTACCTGCCCCGGTCGTTAAGCGCAAACACCAGTAAGAAGCCTTCTCCTGAGCGCATGTACTGCTCCCTCATTGCCCCGAACTCCTCTTGACCTGCTGTGTCCAAGACTGACAAACACACACGCACACAGTATTAAAACAACCTGCAATGACCAACCTTTAACAGACAAAGATAGAGGTACTGGAATGAAACAACAAAACCAACATTTCCTTTATAAGGAGTGGTGCTTTCCATCTAATATAATATCCAGTTATGTTTAGGTACAGAATACAGTATGTTATAGGTGTTTGAGTTTAGGTGTAACATACAAAATATTTATGCATTAAAGATATCTACATTAGAGGTAAGATCAACAATAGTCGCATTATTTGTGTTAAACCATGGATGGTAATGGATGTATTGAAGCATCATCAGGGTTCTAGATCAGTGGTTCGCAACCAGGGGTCGCCAAACCTTCACAGGGGGGTCACAAGGCCTTGATTTTAAGGGTTGTAAGAAAAATGTAATAATATATACCGTACTAGGCCTATATCTCTGCATTCTGTTCATTTCTGTGAAGAAAACTAAATGAAATTGTAATTGATATTAATACATATTACTTATTTATTTACTATTTAAGATATAAAGAAAGACGATATAGAACACAATTTATATTGACTTATCCTTCACTCTCTGATACACTGCTCTGTTAGTAGTTAACAGAAAAATAGTTCAAACAATCAAAGACCTAACAGAACAATGAGAGAAGTGTGTCAGGGAGAAGTAAACACTGCATTTGTCAAAAAAAGAAGCCTATTGAGTATGAACAATGTATAAAAAGTTCTTAAAAATATAATTGAAACTCTTCTCTGTTGTCACAGGAAAAAATCTGCTCAAAATTCATCCAAATCTCTAGATTTAAATAATCTTCCTGCAGTTATTGTGTCACTATTTGGGTTCATTGTCATAATTAGTCAGGGGAAGTCAGTTTACTCAATGAAAGAAAAGGGGTTGGGAACCACAGTTCTAAATGAGAGCTGTCTGGTGGGCAGGAGGAAGTGATTCAAAACAACAAAAATCCAAACAGGACTAGCTGTCCATGGTGCTAAAGAGGATGATGAATAAAAGTAACCTAGCATATTTAATGGAATGTAATGTATATACTCACAATACAAAACAGTCAGAGCTTGCTGCAAGTTATATGATACATGTTAAGATGCTGCATGTCTTCTATGAGTGGGTATTTGTTTATCATTTCATTAGGAGCGTATTATTATATTGTGAGCACAGCAATCCCTTGCCCCAGTTTGTACCTCTCATGTTTTTAGCGTTGTTCCCTGATAGTCCACCAGAAGAGCCTGGGGTCAGTAGCAGGAAAGGTGACATGCAGGTGACATCTAGAAACATGGTCTAACCTAATTATTACATTATGCTAAATAATTAATGACCCTATTAACATGAACAAATTGCAAAGTTAAAGGTCCAGTGTGTAACATTAAGGAGGAAATTGAATATAATATTCATAGGTATGCTTTCATTAGTTTATAATCACCTGAGTCTCCCATGTTTCAGCCATGTTTCAACAACAGCCCAGAAGGGACAAACCCAACACTGGCTCTGGATATAGTAGTAGTTTCTCCTTTGTGCTTGGAAGGGGAGGGTGAAACGAGGGAGTTGCAATCTTCAACTATACTGCTAGATGCCACTAAATCCTAAACCTGGATCCTCCTGGATTCCAAAAAGAAAAGTCTCAGAGGAAAATAGAGAATTTAATAGTTTGAAGACAGACTTGTTTGCTTTCACCACCAACACTGCTGACTTACTGGTTTGCATGATGTTTGCGGTAAGCATAAAAACAGCCGTACCTTGTTAAACAGCAAGTGATGTTTAACAACCTTCTGGGTTTTTCCAATAATTGCCAGGGAATTAACATTCAGAAACACCAAGGCTTGGCTGTGTGACTCAAATGGATGGATGTTCCTGTTGATGACTCTGCCAGAGCCAGTGAGATATGCTAGTCCAACCCTTTACTCCACCCTTCGCAATCACTCCAACATCTGTGTACATACCACTCTAAAACATACAGTATAACATATTATGTAATAAAAATCAAATCAAATATATGTTGTTTTATAGATAAGAACCTCTTAGTACTTCTAAAGGAGAACCCTAATTTCACCCAACTGTATCATTTGGACTACAGTAATGTCTGTGACGGGCAGTGCTGAAAGAAGAACACAGAACATTCTGAAAATGGAGTAAAATGCTGTAAACAAATGTGAAAACATATAAAGAGCAGCCAGACCAAGTCACATAAACAGCAGCTTTGCATATTTAATCTGTATACATCTGATGATTCACATATTACTGTGTGGTGAAACAGCAGTGTGACCCAAGACACTACAGCCTGGCTTGATGCAGCAACACTGGCAGAGTACAAGTCCTAACAAGGGAATGAAACATCCAGAGAGCAAACACGCTGCCTGTGTCATATCACATCACAGTGCAACACACCCTCTGCTTTCAAACAAAGCCTCACACACCTTGTAATCAACCTTAACAACAGTGTGAACTATGAATTCATGTCCAGTGGGACGGATTCTTACTGTCCAGCCGGGTCTCCTTTCCATCCACAGTACAGATCTTGGTGTAGGAGTCTTCAATGGTGGGGTCGTAGTCTGACACAAAGTAGGACTGTGGGAAAAATTCAAGGTTAATAGCGAGACACAGCCGTGGGCACAGCGCATTACGTCTCTTAAATACAGTGATTTGTTTTACAATAGACCTAGAGCAGGTCATCCACTAATCGGAAGGTTGTTGGTACGATCCCCGGCTCCTCCTGCCACATGTAGAAGTATCCTTGAGCAAGATACTGATCTCCGAATAGTTCCAGATGCTGTGCATCGGTGTGTGAATGTGTATGAATGCGTTAGTTTCTGTTCGATGGGCTTTGCCATCACTGAGTGAATGTGGCATGTACTGTAAAAGTGCTTTGAGTGGTAGGAAGAAAGAAAGAAAGGCACTATACAAGTACAGGTCCACCTACCATTTACCTTTTTCACAGCAGCCATTTTGACATAAAATAGTAAGGTAAACTCAGGTGCTACCAATGACCTGGTCAAACAGAGTCTGGGTGCTGTAGAAAGGATCTGCCTCACTAAATGGAACAGAAGCTTAATTAGTATCATTGGTAACACCTGGGTGTACCCTACTATTTCATGTCAAAATGGCTGCTGTGAAAAATATCTATACCGTAAAAAAATATCTGGCTTCATCTTAAAGGCTGTTGTGTGGTCATTTATTGCTAATGCTTAAATATGGCTAGAAAGTCCACTGGGCAAATGCGAATATTCCAATTCCAAGGTAGATAAACTGAGTTTATCTAGGCGAGGCGACCACCCAAATATAGCCTGACATGAAGGAAAACTGTGTGATATTCTTAAAATGAAAGTGCAAATTAATGGGAACTCATCAGAACTGTTACTGTGTAGTTACAACCATGTTACATAATGAAATACAACCACACATGTTCACTGTGGTGGACTACCGACTGCATGTTTTTTTTTTCATAATGTAAGGAAAAATACATTTAAACATCTATCATACTAACTGATGTGTGGGAAATTGTACAGAGATTTTGGAGAAAAATGGTTGATTGTTGAGTCCCATTCCCAGGTCATTGAACACCGAAATTTAGGGTTGGCCCTAAACTATGGGAAGAGATGTTTTGATACCATTTTTTCCTTCCTGATACTGATTCCAATACTTGAACTTGGCATATCATTCAATACCAAGCACCATTCCAAGACCTGTGTGTTAAAAATCGATCCCAGAAGGGTCCCATTTCTGGTAGGGTTGCACAATTAATAGAAATATTATCGATATCAATTCTTTATAAAGTTAAAAAGGTGTGAAAAACATTATAATAAAGTTCTGTTGTGCTGGATATGGAGATGCACTGGAATCTGGAAACATTTTTGTTTGGTACCATCCCAATTACATACAGTACATTTCACATCATAAAGATTTTAATAGTTTTTCTGTGAAAATAAAATTTGTGCTGCAAACATTATCATTCCCACAATCATATTGTACTACTGCTTTCTAGGCAGTTTTTTATACTGATATCGCTATCAGAATAACTCTTGTTATTTGACGACATGGGAATAAGACTCAACAACCAACTTACTGCCCTGTGATTTGTCAAAGTCTCCTGTCACAGCCTAGATTTTCAGAACAGACAGATTGTCACATTTGCTGCACCCTTTGTACAGGGTTTATTAGCTGTATCTAATGGCGTTATAAATGTCCTTACAATACTTTATAGATCAGTAATGAGCATATAATGTGAACAATAGCTTTGGTATCCAGGTTGTGAAAATCTGGAGTTTGTCTGGACAAATGTACCGTTTGGCCACTTACCATCTGGAAAAGCTGCAGAGAATCTGGACCAAAATGTATTTATAATTAAGTTTTTCACATTTTGACATCTTGTTATTTTTATGTATTGTTCTAACTTACAATGCAATTTAATATTTATGGCTCAAGAAAAAGTGAGACAGCTGTGACACTTTTATTGATGACTCACAAGTCAGAGAGATTGTTCATAATCTGGTAGTTTTGTTCCCATGAATAGCCAGTTTCTGATCCATAAAGAATTAGTGAGTGATGTATTAAAGGTGCAGTAGGTAACGTTCATTAAAATAACTTTTTGTCATATTTGCAAAAATTGTCACTATATCCTGATGGTAGGCTAGTAGATGACAAAGATAATCTGTGAAAAAATGAGGTTCTTATGGCTCCTCCTAGCACTCCTAACAGAATTTACAAAAATCCACCGGGCCATGCTTTGGGTAGGTGACTTGAAGCTTTGACGACCAGGGAATTAGACTCAACTAGGGATTTTACATGAGAATCTATATTTTAGTACCAAGTTGATACCTACTTTCTGAAAACGTGACGGTACTTGTTTTTCCACAGTATCGAAGGTACCTTCTGACGTTATTAAAGTTATTTTCATAAGTTACCTACTGCAGCTTTAACCAATAATAAAGTCAGAATGTAATAGCAATAATACATGTAACAGAGTATGCCATGTACAGTAGGCTGTGTCTCTAATAAGTATACAGTTGGTAAATGTAGAGTCCGTACCTGGATGAATTGGATGGTCAGGGCGCTCTTCCCCACCCCTCCTCCTCCCACCACCACCAGTTTGAATCTTTCCTCTTCTCCGCTCATACTGTATTGTAACTCGGATCAAAAAGCTTCAAGGGCCTCAACCAGAGACCCACTGTTGACTAGGAGCTAACCCAAGGTCCAAAGACACGATCCAGAAGCGAAGAGCTCGAGTAAAGTCGCCTGTTAATGTTGGCAGAAGACACCAGCATGGACGATTTTATCAAACTGAAACTTATTCAAATGAAGCTAATTTTCTCCAACGAGCTTTTCAACACAGCACCGGAGTTCCACCGTCCATCCGCCGAAACACTAACCGGCAGAATAACACCGTGTTCTGGGTTTAAAGCGTACTCTGTCGTTCGCTTCTTTTCTCTTCTTTCGGCTCTTTTCTCCGCGGCCTCCGGGCTGCTTCTGAGGGCGGAACTGCTTCCTCTTTTCTCTTTCCTCAAGAAAGCAACGCTTACACACATTCACTGACACACGGACACAGAGGTATTCACACAACAACGAGGCGTTGTGTCGGTGGCACACACCAACACTCACAAAATATATGACATGGCGAAGCGCTATACACACTAAAGCTTTCTACTCATTAAAGCTGAAAACTGACCAGAACAAATTCCACTTCCATGTGTCACTTTCCTTATTTGGTCATTTGGAGTATCCGTGACATCATTTAAACCTACTGGCTCGCGCGGGGTGTAAACCCGGCTCCGAAGTGTTGCAAAGTAGTTATGATTCAGAATAATATCAAATAGCTTCAACCGGAATAAGAATGTAACTTCACAACGCTGGCTAATAAGACAACTTCTTACTAGTAAACCTTTTATTCTATCTTTAATCCCTCTACAGCACCACACCATTGTTTGAATCCAAATGCTGCGCCCTGAGGCAACACATAGCTCACCTCTCCATCCGGACACGTGTGAGAAAGTTCCAATCCGACAGATGTAGTTAACCTGTAGTCCACAATGAAGCAGTCTATATCAGTGCTTTCCAACCTTTTTTCGAGACTAATTATGACAATGACCCAAACAATGAACACAATAACTGCAGCGATTTTGAGCATATTATTTCCTTTGACTATTGATCAGAGATGAGTTTTCCTGGTATGTTTTAGTAACTTTATATACAGTTCAAACAAATTCAGCATTTTCTTCTCCCTGTCACTTCACCAATGTTCTTTATTAGCTCTTTGCTTGTTTTTGTCTTTGCTACTTTTCTAATGCAGGACAAGGCTGTTTATCAGAGATTGAAGGCTTTGTGCAGCTTCTGTTCACCTCTCCACAGTCTTCTTTTTACTGTATATCATAAATAATAATCTAAACTTTAAAAATTATATTTAGTTTACTTCAAAGAAATGACCAAAATATTGAGATATAGGCCAACTACAGTGTATATTATTTAAGTTGTCCTAAAAATCAAGAATGCCTCATGACCCCCATGAAGCTTTATCAACCCTTCGTGGGGGTCCCGACCCCCAGGTTGGGAACTACTGCTCTAGGGTGCCCTTCCAGTGGAGAAAACGTAATGAACTGCCCTCCAAGTTGCCTTTCCAGTAGAGAAAATTTAAAAAGTGTCCTCTAGGGTGCACTGGCACCCTTCCAGTGGAAAATATGTGAAAATGTGCCCTTCAGGGTGTGCCCTCTGGCCTGCTTATCCTAACCCTGGCTAATCTGTTACACCATAAATACATCAACTTTCTGTGCACTGGTGCCCTATTTTATTTTTTTCACCCCTGCACCTCAAACAGTCCACTACTGGCTATTATCATTACTGAATACACAATGAAATTCACTTACAGATTTTCATGCTTTGTGACTGATGAAGTCCATAAAGTGTTTAACGATTATGTATTCTTATGGTTGATAATAAAACTATAATAATAATAATATAAAAATATAATAGTCTTAGCAAGTTTTCACATCAAATATTTTCATTTAATTCAATGGTAAATGGACCTGTACTTGTATAGCGCCTTTATAGTCTTCTGACCACTCAAAGCGCTTTTACACTACATGCCACATTCACCCATTCACACACATTCACTCAGTGATGGCAAAGTCCATCGAACAGAAACTGTACCGTGTGTATTGTATACAGCAGTGAAAGGGGCCTAAATGTAGACAACCATGCAGTGAAAGTGATTAACATTGCCACATTGGAAATACACCTGTGTTAAAAGAACATTAAAGGCCCAGTGATTATCAGGAATGAAATATAATATTAATCGGTATATTTTCATTTGTGTATAATCACCTAAATATAGGAATCATTGTGCTTTTGCTACCTTAGAAAGAGCTGTTTTTATCTACAGAGGGAGCGGGTCGCCTTCCATGGAGTCTACCATGTTGAACCACCATGTTTCTTACAGTACCCCAGAACAGTCAAACCAAACACTGGCACTAGATAGGGGCATTTTGCTGTCACCAAGGCCCATGGGCACTGGAAGTAGGGGTGCTGAGGGGCCTGCATAACCACCTAAAATCTGGTAACTCATTAGTTCATAAAAATATTCAAACATATAATAATCTATCTTATCATTTCATCAAAAGTACAATCAAATTTGTGTAAAATTTAAAAATGTTAAATAGGCTATAAAGGATCCTGGCCATTTAAATGAATGCAAAAAACATGAATGTTATGCATTTAGCATCTTGTGTGAGTTTCTCTCAGCACCCCCAAATCAGACTGACATCCGGCAACGCTGTTGTGGTCTCCTGCACACTTGGAAGGGGAGGGTGAAGCGAGGGAGTTGCACCTGAATATTATCTTAATTACTTTGGTATTTTTGTCATAAAGAGATATTCAGTGATGATATCTGGGTAATATGTATTTTGATATAGCCAAGTTTCCATTTGATTATGTAAGGAGAGAGTACAATATACAATAGCTAGGACCCTTCAGCGTCCTGTCTTAACTACCTTACCGGGCCAAATCTAGCCCTGCAGTAAAAATATATAATAATAACCAAAGCTTTTATAATATACATCACAACTTTTACAAAAGAAAACTCATAAATGTACAGAGGGGAACAATGAAAACACAAACCTCATGTGAATCAAAATAAATGTGACCTCAAATAATGATTTATGTCTCAAATAGGTGGCATTCTAACAGAAACTGTGCATTATTAAAAAGAAAAAAACAACAGAACTTCCATTCAATCATAAATTAAGCAGACTACTATTGTTCATCATGTATGCCTTTTAGAACAACACAGAGCATTTCCATATATGAGTATTGACATAAGCTGCAGTAACTCTGTTAGTCCTCATTTACCAATGGTAAAAATGACACCTGAGAGTAGGGAAAAAAAGTGTCGTTCCATATGCATTTCTTTTTCCTCTCAAGTCTTCTATGTGGTCCTCTCTATACAACCCTCAGTGTCCTTAAACAACCACTTCTATAAATCAGTTTCAATTGCTGAATGAGATAAGTTACTCACAAATAAAATACAAACAGACCTGCGTCTCTGCACTGCTCCTGTAGAACTATATTGTATACACACATCAGCTAGAAAAGCTTCAAACCTCCATTTTGACACATGGCTATAGGGTGGGGTAATGAATGAAGCCTCTGATAGTGAGCTTTAGTGGTGCATATTCCAAAATACATTTTAAATAAATTAGTACAAACCACTCACAGTTGAGCAGTTGGGACCTCTGGGGTTCTGCTGTTACCCACTTTGCCTGCTTGGTGATCAGGCCTTAGTTATTGTCTGGAAAACTGGATTGATGAGAGGCAACATCTTGTTTTTAGCTAGCGCTATAGAGCCATTTAAAGATTTTCTTGACCAACTGATTATACCCATATATAGTCTCCACTAAAAACCAGATACCACTGTTGAGAAGTCCTGCTTTAAACTAAAGCCTCATACTAGGAAATAGGCAGTAAGACGAGGTTGAAATGTCATCTTTAATCTTCAAGAAATACAATTCAAACCATTGTGCCAAAGTTCTTTCTCTTTAAATACCAGAATCTTACAAATGACACAATAAGGTGACCTGTATCAACATGTAATAAATAAGATGTCAAGTACAATTATATTATATTCAGCTCTGCAATAAATAAATTAATTAATAGAAGACCTCCTATATGTATGTGTGTATGTGTGTGGTTTGGTTCCTTTTGACAAACATGCAAAAACAAACCAAGCATCCTGGACATTAAGTTGTCCTGCCCCCCCCACCCTCCCACCAACACCCTTAGCACCTATATGGCAATGCAGGCTGTCCCATCCTTACAGGGTGGACAAAAACCCCTCCCAGCAGCACTCTCTCCCCCCAGCCCAGCAGTTTATTGAGGGTGAAGCTGAACGGCGACAGCAGGCTCTGCTCCTTCACCTCGGCCCTGCTACACTTGTTGTGGGAAGGACTTTGTTGGTCGTGGGTGTCCTCTGCCTGCCTGTAGGACACAGTGTTACTCTTCGCCTCAGGCCTTGGTCTCATCTCCCTGTTGTGGACAGTCTTGGATGTGAAGGGGGCCTTTGCTTGCTGGCTGCTTGCTTGGGAGGGAGGGCAGATTCCCAGAGGGGTCAAAGAGAGGGTGAGGCTTTTGCGTTTCTCCAGTAGAGAAGCAGAGCCTACTGGGAGTTGTGGCTGTGCAGGCTTTGCTGTTGGTTTGACTGGCTCAGAGCCAGTCAAATCTGAGCTGCTTTGACTTGGAGCTGGAATCTCGCGTAACATCTGGACTTGCTGATGGTTTTGATTGAGAGTCAAATGCAGATACCGGAGTTTCCCTGACAGGGAGAGCTGCTGGTTTCGATCTGAATGCGAGTGTCTCTGCTGTGTTTTATCTGTGTGGTAGAAATTCTCTGTGTGGGCCTGTTTGACCTCTACTGAGCCACTGGTGACACTGTCAGCCTGATAATTCATGCTGTGACCGATGTGATTGTGGTTAACACTGTCACCGATGAATGGCAGGCGATTGTCCAGCTGCTGGGCGAGGAGGTCGCCACCAGAGGCCTTCTGGCTCAGAGTGCCCTGGAAGTGCTGCAGCTGACCCAGGAAGTTGAAGTTTGGGGAAATGGAGGGCCGGCGGTCTTTCACAAACCTTATAAGGGGACAGACAGTATGTGAATTGTTAGAGTTGTTAGTCTTGCACAGCTCACACACTCTCTGGTTGATACCAGTCGATTGTACAGTGAAGTCAGACAAGATCAGGACAGTGTTTTTTATCTTCATCAGACAAGCTAATTACAACAACACTATACAAAATAAAATAAAAAAGAAAGGGAAAGAGACAGGTAAAGTACCTGAATAAAGAATGAGCATAATAAGTGGCTTATATGTTAGTATTAATTGTTATCTAAACTGATCATAGATATGTTTAGTTTTGAGCCCGACGGATATTATCAGCCAATATTGGCCAATCGCAGACACATTGGAATCATATTGGTATCAGTGTATATGTTATTTGCTTATTTGGAGGGGTATATAATGCAGAAAAAAATTACAGGAAAGGGGAGCAGAGAGAGGGGATGATACGCAGCAAAGGGCCGCAGGTTTTGAACCCTGGGCCGCTGCAGCAAGGACTCAGCCTTGGTACCATTCCAGCTCAAAACTTCACTATATCAGCTGCCATATTGGCACTGATGGATGTAGTAAACTGCAACTATGGAATACTACAGGCAACTTTATGCTTTTCCAAGAAATTCACTTCTATTCCAGTTTTTCAGTCAATTACATAATATAGAGTTGACGTATACTGGAGGATGCAAGTGAGCAACCAATCGCAGGTAATAACAAGCTGTAGGCAGCCAGTGGAATGAGTGAAAGACCACAGTGTCTCACTCTGAAAATTAGTGGTCACACCACAATGACATTCGTTCGGACTCTACTGTATATATAAACAATAATTAACATGAAAAACAAATGTACAGGATAAAATATTGAACATTCACAACCCTGATAATCACATTGGCAGATATGATGCATTATTGCACACCTGTAGGCCTGGTCCAGGTCCATTCCCAGGCTGTACATGATGTAGGCTACAGCCAGAGCCGGGGAGCGAGAGATTCCTGCTGCACAGTGAACCAACACAGAAGCACCCGAGGACATGGCTGCATCTGAAAACACGCACAATGGCAGTTATTCAAATTGCAGTAAGAGACAGGCAGCAGTAAACTATCAATCAATATGACCAATATTTGTACAACAAACTGGACTTTTTGTACTGAAAATATTTGTTTAGTTTTGTTTACGCAGAAAAACTAATCCATGCATTTGTTACTTCAAGGCTGGATTACTGCAACTCTTTATTATCAGGTTGCCCCAATAAGTCCATTAAAACGCTCCAATTAATTCAGAACGCTGCAGCACGAGTACTGACAGGAACTAGAAAAAGAGATCACATCTCTCCTGTACTAGCTACTCTGCACTGGCTCCCTGTAAAATGTAGAATAGAATTTAAAATCCTCCTCCTCACCTATAAAGCTCTTCATGGTCAGGCCCCTTCATATCTTAAAGAGCTCATAGTGCCCTATTACCCCACTAGAACACTACGTTCTCTGAATGCTGGGCTACTTGTGGTTCCTATAGTCTCTAAAAGTAGAACAGGAGCCAGAGCCTTCAGTTACCAAGCTCCTCTCCTGTGGAACCAGTTTCCAGTTGTGGTTCGGGAGGCAGACACCCTCTCCACATTTAAGAGTAAGCTTAAGACATTCCTCTTTGATAAAGCGTATAGTTAGGGCTGGATCAGGTGAGTCCTGAACCATCCCTTAGTTATGCTGCTATAGGCCTAGACTATCGGGGGATTTCCCATGGTGCACTGAGCTCCTCTCTTCCTCTCTCTCTTTCTGCACTCATTCATGTCCCATTAATGCATGTTACTAACTCCACTTCTTCCCCGGAGTTCTTGTGCTTTCTCGTCTCGCAGGTTCTCATGGATCCTGGTGGAGCCTCCTGCCATGGTCCTGCTAGATTTCCATTGCCAATACTGTTGTTACTGTGCGTCTGTCTGTCTGTCTGTCTCTCTCTCTCTCTCTATCTGTCTCTCTTTCTCTCTCACCCCAACTGGTCGAGACAGACGACCAACCACCTAGAGCCCAAGGATCTGTCCAAGGTTTCTGGCTTTTAACAGCCAGTTTTTCGTTGCCCTTGTCGCCAAGTGCTTGCTCGTGGTGGTACTGTTGGGTCTCTGTAAATAATGTTTTAAAGAGTTCGGTCTAGACCTGCTCTATTTGAAAAGTGTCCTGAGAAAACTTCTGTTATGAATTGGCGCTATACAAATAAGATTGAATTGAATTAAATTGAATTTAGTTGATGGGTGTTTTTGCAGTGAGACTGTGGGATGGTGAGTCCAGCAGTCCTTACCGATGAAGTGCAGAGCCTGAGGGATCCAGGGCAGCAGGTCATCCCACAGGGAGTCGTCAATGGGGATGCGAAGATATCTGGAGCGGGGCAAAAAGGAGGGCTGTGGGCTGCAGCGGCTCACATTCAGCACGTAGGAAATACCCAGAGAGGCCAGCCCATCCTACACACACGTATGTAAACACACACACACACACAGGGATGGAAAGAGTAAAATATTTTAATTCCATAGAGAGGAAACTGTGGTCACATTTCAGTAGGCTCTGACACTATTGGTGGTAGTGCATCTTTGGTAATATTCTACAATGGTAGAAAGTGACTTGTTATTTTCTGTTCCTTCTAATCCAATACATTTTAATTAGCATATTCATATAAAACATGTGACCAGTGTCTAAAATGTAGATTTAAGGCTGGACTTTTATAAAAAATAACTCTTGTGATATTTGCTGAAAATTTCACTATATCCTGACAATAGTACACGAGACAGATAGTCTATGAATCTGGCTCCTGCTCCTAATGGCATTAGCAAGAATCCACCAGGCCTGAACGAAAACAACCAGTCAGAGCTGAGGAAGATAGTTGATAGTTCATTTCCAGGGCATCAAATACCAAGGCTTTAGGTACCACAGATTCAGGTGGATTCTCGCAAATACCATTAGGAGCAGTGGGAGGAGCCAGAGTAACAGTAACATATGACAAAAAGTTATTTTCTTTAAAAGTTACTACTGCAGCTTTAACTACCTATTAAACAAATACAACAGTAAAAGGATGCTTGCACATTAATGCATCAGTTATCAATCCAATAGATTCACATTTTATATTGTTTCACATTTGCTTTCTTTCACACTCCTGCAACCAGGTTTATCTGCGGGTCCACAGTACTACATGACATGTACGCCCTCAACAGTCGCAGTTAGTTTTAAGCACAAAATTTGGTTTAGACATTCTTGGTTATTTTTAGGCACCTAAACCGTTTTGGTTTAAATTTACATTAATTCAGGAAGGTATCTCAGGGGGTGGGTTATGTAGTAAATATCCAGAAGTTATAGCAACTAGAGGCAAGTTGGAAAATTGATTTTGGTTTGAACATTGAAATGTTTTATGTTTATAGACATTTTCATGTGGCAGTGTTGGAGTTTAAAATTGAAAGCAGTATTTTGACATAGTTGAAACTTTACTTTTACATGTGTGAAGGATCACTAGTAGTCCTCAACTTACCTGCGTCACGTCCCTCTCCGCTCCGAGGTAGAGCCGCGGCAGGATGACGGACAGCGGAGGCCGCTCGGACTCTCTCTCCCGGGACCAAACCATATCTGCAGCACATGTAACACAGCAGCTGGAGGCAGTGTTTTCTCTAACAGCTTTGATGACGTAAGCCTAAGTTGTCTTGACAATGCCTAAAATGTTGCTCTGTTCTATCTGAGTGCAGAAAACGCTTCTTAATCTCAGCACATATATTCCATCTGAAAAACAACCAGCAAATTGTGAATTGTGTTTTCTTATTTAGAAATAGTATTTATTTTTCTGAAAGTAAAATGTTAATGCTACATATTCATATTACTCACTGTGAGTGTCCCTCTTTAAAATCGCGTCCTCTTCTAGTATCAGAAACCAGAGCAGGTCTCAGGTCTGCAGAGTCAGTCCTCCGCTCCTTTCTGAATAAAATCGCTCCTGTGCTGCTGCGTCCTCTGTCCTCACTCTGCTGTCTCAAACTGGCTTCTAAACGATGAGCTCATCCTGTTTCTAATAATAGAATCTTGACTGGATGATGTCATCTTCAGCCAATCAGCGCCTTGCCGGACTTCCACACGCGCAGACGCATCTACGCTGTCTGAGCGCGCCCGTCAGCAGCAGGGATGTCAGCATCCAGGCCAGTGTGCAGCAGCACAGTCTGTCCACCAACAGCACTTAATGTTCAAGTGCTCATTGTGATAGACAGCTGGAGTCTGCACCACATGCACTGTTCTCTCCAAATGATCCAACAGACACATTTCACACGGATTATGAATAAAGTCACACCCTGCTCACCTTTTTCTATCATGAATTGAATTTCATTGAACACTTACTAGGTTCAAATATTTCAGTCAGCTCTGCATATCTAGAGAAATATACACGTCATAAATTTGACAGCAAAGGTGGCCAAGCATTTTTTGGCAACCCCTCTAGATCCGCCCTTGTCTGTATTTGCTGCTTTCATGAACCTCATTGTGTTGTTCCTACAGTGTTGTCTGTGTGCTAGGGGAGTGTATTACTGCCAGTCAAGAAGTAAAATGGATCAGTATAACGTTATAATGTCAAAAGTTTATTGTTTTACCATAAACTGATGGTTTTCACTATAAGAACATATTTAGGGCCTGAGCACTGACCGTGCGACCATGTAACTGAAGGAATTATTTTTATTTTTCCTCCCAAACGAACACATATTTGGAGGCTTTCCTGTGCACAAAAACACATGAAACATGTCAGTTGTGACGAAAAATTTCGTATTTTCTAGGGGTCCATTATGAGCACAGCAAAATGGGCCCTCAGGCACGATTTTTTCGTGCTGTATTTGAACGAACTCCTCCGAGGGAATTTATCGGATCAACTTCAAAATTGGTACAGTTAAAAATTATTGCTGACCAAAAGTTGTGCTATTTGTGACTGTACATCGAACCGCTTGCCAGGGGTGTCAAATTTCAACCTGTCACCATAAAACAGATAGTACTCAACTTCAGTGTACAAAGTCCAATCTCCATGAAACTTCACATGTCTGATAAGATTCCCGCCCTGAACACGTCTACATGACAATATTCAGATATAGTGATAGCGCCACCTACTGGCAACAGGAAGTAAGCAGTGCGTGGCCATTTTGATCTGATTTATGTGAAATTTTATGTTGTAGTCCTCACGAGTTACGCCAGCACGTTATGCGGCCGCAGCACACCCCGAGTTGCGTGGAGTGCGAGGGCCCGTTCATCACTGCTTGCAGCTTTAAATTCACATTATTATGACATACAAACTTAAGTTGCATACTGCATACTTGGGGGGGGGCTGTGACTTAGTAGCTAGGGTGGGTCATCCACAGGCGCCTTCCTTGAGCAAGATACTGAACCGAAAATTGCACCCAATGCTGTGCCATTAGTGTATGAATGTGTGTGAATGTGACATGTAGTGTAAAGCACTTTGAGGGGTTGGAAGATTAGAAATGTGCTATGTAAGTACAGTCCATTTAGCATTTCATTTACCATACGGGAACCACCCCTTACAATCAGATTTGTGTGTCAAAACTCATACATACTCATTCTGCACAGTGAAGATCGAACATTCAACTGTAGGAACAAGAAGGAACACTGATTTTTGATTAGAGGAGACTTTAATTTTTTATAAATAATTTAGTTAGGTATATGTAATTTTGATTTTGAATTTTTTCAAAAAACTACTTTGAAATGTAGTCAGTTACTGAATGCAAATTATATGTACAATTTTTTAAGTACTCAGGTAATCTTGTTAATAGTGCTGCAGGCTCACTACGATCAACATTAGACTCTATCGCTCCTATAAATAGGAAATTATTAAAACATAGGAAACTAGCACCGTGGTACAACCACCAAACCCGCCAATTAAAGCAAAAAGCTAGGACATCTGAAAGGAAATGGCGCTCTTCGAAATTATTAGACTATCGCCCAATTTGGCAAGATAATCTTAAAACCTATAGAAAGGCCCTCCGTAATGCCAGAGGAGCCTATTATTCAGCACTAATAGAAGAAAATAAGAACAACCCTAGGTTCCTCTTCAGCACTGTAGCCAGGCTGACAGAGAGTCACAGCTTTAATGAGCCACATATCCCCATAAACTTAAGTAGCAACGACTTCATGAGCTTCTTTTATAATAAAATTATTACTATTGGAGAGAAAATGAATCACCAACTGCCATCAACAGCTATCAGTGGCTCTCCAAGTTCAGGAACTTTAACTAATGTAAACTCAGATATATATTTAGACTGTTTTTCTGCTATCGATCAGTTAACTTCAATAATTTCTTCATCAAAGTTATCAACTTCATCCCAACTAGGCTGCTTAAAGAAGTCGTACCCTTAATTGGCACTTCTTTACTAGATATGATCAATCTGTCTTTATTATCAGGATATGTACCACAGTCCTTTAAAAGTAGCTGTAATTAAACCCCTTCTTAAAAAGCCCATTCTTGACCCAGGGGTTTTTAGCCAACTATAGACCGATTTCTAACCTCCCCTTCCTCTCTAAGATTCTGGAGAAAGTAGTTGCCAAAGAGTTGGGATTTAGAGTTCATCACAGCACAGAGACAGCTGTGGTTAAAGTTAATAATGACCTTTTGATTGCTTCCGACAATGGACTTGTCTCTGTACTTGTATTATTAGATCTTAGTGCTGCATTTGACACCATTGACCATGATATTCTTTTACAGAGACTTGAGCACATTGGCATTAAAGGAACCGCCCTAAGCTGGTTTAGGTCATACTTATCAGATCGTTCTCAGTTTGTACGTTAACAATGAATCCTCCATAAATACTAAAGTTAGTCATGGAGTTCCACAAGGTTCTGTACTTGGACCAATACTATTTACTTTACCGTCTAGACCTACTCTATTTGAAAAGTGGCCTGAGATAACTTCTGTTATGAATTGGCGCTATACAAACAAAATTGAATTGAATTGAATTGAATTTATATATGCTCCCTTTAGGCAACGTTATTAGGAATCACTCCATTAACTTTCACTGTTATGCAGATGATACGCAGTTACGTATATCTATCAATCAAGCCGATGAAATTAATCAATTATCTAAATTACAAACATGTCTTAAGGACATAAAATCCTGGATGAGCTGCAATTTTCTGGTATTAAACTCAGAAAAAAACTAAATTCTCGTACTTGGCCCCAAAAACCTTAGAGACTCAGTGTCTAAAGATATAGTTACTCTAGATAGCATGACCTTGGCCTCTAGCACCACTGTCAGGAATCTTGGAGTTATGATCAGGATTTGTTATTTAATTCCCACATAAAGAAAACCTCTAGGACTGCCTTCTTTCATTCACGTAATATTATAAAAATTAGACACATCCTATCACAGACAGATGCAGAAAAACTAATCCATGCATTTGTTACTTCTAGGCTGGATTACTGCAACTCTTTATTATCAGGTTGCCCCAATAAGTCCATTATTGCTCCAATTAATTCAAAACGCTGCAGCACGAGTACTGACTGAACTAGAAAAAGAGATCACATCTCTCCTGTACTAGCTTCTCTGCACTGGCTCCCTGTAAAATGTAGAATAGAATTTAAAATCCTCCTCCTCACCTATAAAGCTCTTCATGGTCAGGCCCCTTCATATCTTAAAGAGCTCATAGTACCCTATTACCCCTCTAGAACACTACGTTCTCTGAATGCTGGGCTACTTGTGGTTCCTATAGTCTCTAAAAGTAGAACAGGAGCGAGAGCCTTCAGTTACCAAGCTCCTCTCCTGTGGAACCAGCTTCCAGTTGTGGTTCGGGAGGCAGACACCCTCACCACATTCAAGAGGAGGCTTAAGACATTCCTCTTTGATAAAGCTTATAGTTAGGACTGGATCAGGTGAGTCCTGAACCATCCCTTAGTTATGCTGCTATAGGCCTAGACTATTGGGGGATTTCCCATGATGCACTGAGCTCCTCTCTTCCTCTCTCTCTTTCTGCTCTCATTCATGTCCCATTAATGCATATTACTAACTTCACTTCTTCCCCGGAGTTCTTGTGCTTTCTCGTCTCGCACGTTCTCATGGATCCTGGTGGAGCCTCCTGCCATGGTCCTGCTTGACTGCCATTGTCAATATCACTGATATTACTGTTATTATTATTATAAGTATTATTATTGCTATGGTTACTGTTGTTTCTGTTGACTCTGCTCATTGTCCCCCATCGTTGCTGTTGTCATGTTCATCATCATCAGTCACTACTATTAGTGTAGTTGTTGCTACTGTTGTTGCTGTGCACCTGTCTGTCTGTCTGTCCGTTTTTTCTTGCCCCTGTCGCCAAGTGCTTGCTCATGGTGGTACTGTTGGGTCTCCGTAAATGTTATAAGGAGTTCGGTCTAGACCTGCTCTATGTGAAAAGTGTCCTGAGATAACTTCTGTTATGAATTGGCGCTATAAAAATAAAATCGAATTGAATTGAATGAATCAGTTAAATTATATATATTAAAAAAAATAATTTTGGATTACTTTTTGAAGTGTATACCTTTAAGGTCCAGTGTGTAACATTAAGCAGAATCTATTGTCTTAAATGTAATATAATATTCATATAGGTATGTTTTATTAGTGTATAAATCACCTGATAATAAGAATCGTTGTGTTTTTGTTACCTTAGAATGAGACGTTTTTTCTACAGACACCAAGGTTCACTTTCCAGTCTGCCATGTTTCTACGGTAGCCCAGAAGGGACAAACCAAACACTGGCTCTAGATATGGGCGTGTTTTTTGCACATTTCACAGCCACTGTAGTTTCTCCTTTGCACTTGGAAGGGGAGGGTGAAGTGAGGGAGTTGCAATTACACTAATAAATCCTACAGACTGGACCTTTAAATAATAATTTAAAGACGCTGAGGTCCTCATTCATGCCTTTGTGTCATCTAGGCTAGATTATTGTAATGTCCTTCTATCAGGTCCGCCAAAGAAAAGTCTTCGGAGTCTGCAGATGGTTCAGAATGCTGTAGTTCGTGTTCTGACCGGAGCCTCCAGA